GTAATTAACACGAGTGTAAAAATTACTGTCAATCACTAAATTCTTGTGCTAAATAGATAATGATAAGTAGCTGCATTTCATTTTTAATGGGCTTTGTGTGATTTGGAAAGAGATTGTTATTTACTTACTGCACGTTTTGTTAGTTTATTTTATTATTTTTCCTAATATATATTTTAAAGTTCACGTAGATGATACATAAATGTCCGACTCTTGAAAGAAATTCTTTTTAGCTCACCTGAGCTAGCTCGGATCGTTGAGTGTCTGTTGTCCGTCGTCCGTCCACACTTGTTTGTTAACACTCTAGTGGTCGCATTTTTGCCTCAATCATCATCAAACTTTGTCAGGATGCTAATCTAGGTAATAACTCGGATGAGTTCGAACAAGGGTCGTCTAGGAAGAAAAACTAGGTCACAGCAGCTTAAAATAGAAAAACCTTGTTAACACTCTAGTGGTTACATATTTGCTTCAATCATCATGTAACTTTGTTAGGATGCTAATCTAGGTAATAGCTCGTTCAAGTTTGAACATGGGTCATCTCGGATGAAAAACTAGGTCACAGGAGCTAAAAATAGAAAAACCTTGTTAACCCTAGTGGTCACATTTTTGACTCAATCATCATCAAACTTAGTCAGGATGCTTGTCTAGGTAATAGCTCGTACAAGTTTGAACATGGGTCATCTGGGATGAAAAACTAGGTCACAGGAGCTAAAAATAGAAAAACCTTGTTAACACTCTGGTGGTCACAATTTTGACTCAATTATCATCAAACTGGTCAGAATGCTTGTCTATGTAATTGCTTGGATGACTTTGAACATGGGTAATCTCGGATGAAAAACTAGGTCACATGAGTTAAAAATCGAAAAACCTTGTTAAGACACTAGTGGTCACGTTTTCCCCTCAATTATCATCAAACTTGGCCAGCATGCTTGTCTAGGTAATTGCTCGGATTAGTTTGAACATGGGTATTCTCAGATGAAAAACTAGGCCACAGGAGCTAGAAATAGAAAAACCTTGTTAATAATCTAGTGGTCACATTTTTGACTCAATTATCATCAAACTTGGTCAGGATGCTTGTCTAGGTAATTGCTCGTATGAGTTTGAACATGGGTCTCTTGAATGAAAAACAAGGTCACAGGAGCTAAAAATAGAATTTTTTTATAACACTCTAGTGGTCCCATTTTTGACTCATTTGTTATCAAACTTGGTCTGGATTCTTGTCTAGGTAATTGATCGGATGCGTCTGAACATGGGTCATCTGGGATGAAAAACTAGGTCAAAGGAGCTAAAAATAGAAAAAACTTGTAAACACTCTAGTGCCTACTGTTTTAATCCAAATTTCCTGGAAATTGGCCTGAAAGTTTGTTTGGTGATTTCTAGGTCAAGTTCGAATATGGGTCACCTGGGGTCAAAAAGTAGGTCACACTGCTCAAATATTTGTTTGTTTGTTTCACTTCACGCCTTTTTCCAACAGTATTTCAGTCATATAGGCGGGTAGTTTCCTAACCATCGTTCCTTGAGTGTTACACCAGTACTAGACTACCTTCCTCCGTGCTAAACTACTAAACCATCTCCTGGGGATCGAACCCACGCCAGAGAGGTAACTGGATTAGTAGTCATCGACTCTTACCCCTCGATCACTGAGGCAGTCAAATATGGATTATCTTTGTTAACACTCTAGTGATCGCGTTTTTGACTCAATAACATCAAACTTGGTCAGGATGCTTGTCCAGGTAATTACTCGCATGAGTTAGAACGTGGGTCATCTCGAATGAAAAACTAGGTCATAGGAGCTAAAAATAGAAAAAATCTTGTTAAGACTCCAGTGGCTACTGTTTTGATCCAAATATCCTTTAAATTGGTCTGAAAGTTTGTTTTGATAATTTTTAGGTCTAGTTCGACCATGAGTCATCCATCTCTGATGAAAAACTAGCTCACACCGCCAAAATATTGAAAAACCTTGTAAACACACTAGTGGTCACATTTTTGACTCAATTGTCATCAAACTTGGCCAGGATGCCTGTCCAGGTAATTGCTCGAATGAGTTAGAACATGGGTCATCTCGGATGAAAAACTAGGTCATAGGAGCTAAAAGTAGAAAAATCTTGTTAACACTAGTGGCTTCTGTTTTGATCGGAGTATCCCGGAAATTGGTCTGAAATTTTGTTTTGATGATTTCTAGGTCAAGTTGGAATATGGGTCACCTTGGGTCAAAATCTAGGTCACACTACTCAAATATGGATAATTTTTGTTAACTCTTTAGTGGTCACATTTATGATTCACTTGTCATGAAACTTGGTCAGAATTAATGCTTGTCTAGGTAATTGTTCGGAAGAGTTCGATGGGTTCAGATGAGCGATCTAGGGCAATCTTGACCCTCTTGTTATTCATTATAACAAACATTTTTGAGACGTAGAATATAGAAATTGTATTGTATTATATTTCTTTTTTCTTTATTGGGCAAATTTAACGATTTTTTGCCTGAAATGTCATTTTATCATTACTGGCATGCGAGCAGTACCCGTATTTTTCATTTAAACGCTTGATTTTTACCTGCATTGTTCAAAAATTCATTTCAAATCAAGCAGATACATAAACGAGACAAAATCTAAGTGTCAGTTTGGCAGTACGTATAAAAAGTCTCATTTTAAATCACTTTCACCTGTGCGTCGTCAAAACGTGACCTTGTTTTTTCTGGGGGATTCCGTCATTGCGCGCATGCGCAAAAATACTTACACGTGAGGCTTGTTAAAGGGTTTCCACAACTAATTTCACCTGTTTACAAATAAGTAGGCAATGTTGATGAAAAAACTTGTTTAATTAATCAGAATTTTGACCAATATTACTATATAAAATAATTTTATGCCTTTGATGCGTAAAATATCATGCATACAAGATCCATGCATTGCATATGTGAATGCGTTGGGGTAACGGTACCGGGGTAATAGATACCCGCGTTAGTGTACGCTCTATTTCCTGAATTACATCTATTTTCTCTAGATAATGGTCTGTTCAACAATTGTAAATGAAAATAGGTCCGATATAATAATAAAAATTGTATAATTATAAATGGGTTAGATTTTATGTACGGAAACTACTTCTCTTCATACAAAATGGATAATGGATAATTTCGGTACCCCATATGAGGCCTCATAAGTAAGGGTTATTCTATGTTTAGAACATGATGGAATTTCCATGATTTGTGTGACGAGCCGAATATTGATGTGTAACATTCAAATTTTGGTGAGTGAGCGTAATAAAAAATAATGTTTAAGTAACTATGATTTTTGTACGGGAACTGCTCGCATGCCAGTATATAATATCATTTTAAGAAAAAGAGAATAAAAATCAATAATTCTGTAAAATATATCCGTCATATCCGGTATAAAGTCTTTCCGTATAACCATATATTGCGAATTTAATTGTCAAAGCTCCCTTTTAGGGGTACTTTTCAGTGACAGCTTTTGCTTAAATTTTATTCTAAATTTAATGATTTTAAAATTAGTAGGAATAAATGTCTACCACATTAAGACGATGTGTCGAGTCTCATAATCACATCCCTACCTCAAAGGTCAAGATCACACTTCCATTTTGAAGTTCACTTTATCACAATTAGAGTTTATAGGCACACACATTCGTTTCCGGGCTGTAACTTTGTCATGCATCGAAGGATTTTAAAATAACAAGGCATAAATGTCTACCACATCAAGACGACATGTTGCGACAAAGACAAATGACCCTTCCTTCAAGGTCAAGGTCACACTTAAAGTTTGAAGGTACTCATTCTCTCGAGAAGAGTTTGAAGAAACACATTTATGTCCGGACTGTAAGTCATGCATGGAAGGATTTTAAAATAAGTTGGCACAAATGTCTACCACATCAAGACAATGTGTTGTGGCTATGGTCATGTCAGTCTGTCCGTGTGTCCCCACTTACACAACAATCATGGCCAGACTGTAACTTTGTCATGCATTGAGGGATTTGAAATAATTTGGCACAAATGTCTATCTCATAACAATATTTTGTCGCGTCCAGAAACCACGTCCCTTCTTTAAATGTCAATGACACACTTATATTTTGAAGGTTTATGCTATCACAGGCAGAGATAACAGGTACAATAATACAAAGAACAATATTAAGCAATTAGTTACTTTCATTCTCTTTTCTTTTCATAATGCCTACATGCTTAATAAACCTTTTTGGGGGCTTTTGTCACTTGGGTGACATCTTACTCCAAATAGGTACCTTGTTAACTAAAAATGCATCATTTTCCTCTGAAATATTCTTCACCAGAACCAAAACCATGACTTAACAGCAGCTGACTTATATCAGCTAGTTTATAAATTTAATTGACTGATAGACAGAAAGATGTCCATAAAGATAGCTTCTGCTATGCACCACGCATGTTAAATTGAATTGAAATTGAAAATTTTATAAAGTGTGTGGAGAAATTCTCAGTTGTTAGAATTCTATTTCAGGTTTACCCCTTTTCAGATTTTCCATGTTAGATTTTCCTCTTCAGAAAGCCACAAGTTGTTTTGAAAAGTGAATAAAAATTTACTGAGTGGCTCAACTAAGAATAGTGAGAGCTCTAACACTCACCCCAGCATCAGCGTCACACTTAAGTTTTTGCTTGGCTGTTGACAGAATTATGGCTGTTTTTTAACTTAGAAAATTCTACATTATCAAGGCCCTTTTGTTTAACTATCAAGCACTTAGAATAGTCAAACATGCTCTCCTTCTGACAGCTCTTGTTTGATACATGCTAGCAACTTGTTTTTCATTGTAATTAACATATCTCTTAATATTCTGTATGGTTGTTGAGAAGTTTTTAGCTGTACTTTACAAAGAAAAAAAACATTGAGGTGTTGTAATAACCTTGTTGTTGGCATTGGTGTTGCTTAACACTTTTTGTTTTCTCAGAAAGGTCTTCATTTGAATTAAGATATACCAGTTGATGCAAATTGAATTGTCTCATTACCTTATTTTTTTGCTGTTACCAGATGTGATGCCTACAGCTTTGGGTCAAATTGTGAAAATGGTAGAAATGTAAGTCATACATGTCAAGACTACAACAAATGTCAAAATGGTGGCCAGTGCTCTTATGATACCTCTATGATGTGTAGATGCCCAACTAGTAAGTTTTGTTTTATATAATGGACCATTTATTATTGCGAAATTTTAGTCAATTTATTAACAAATAATTATGTACATGTTCAGTATGCTTTTTAAGAACTCAGGCATACTGACTTAATCACAACAACTTTGGTTTAAATAAATATGTTTTGCAGGCAACTTTTCACTGACATGTGAAATATTTTGTAATTGTATATCAAGAATAAACATAATGATGTTTATTTCTTATTGTCAATCTTGGGCCCTAAATACTTTAAATCCAACAATAGATAGCTTATGGCAGCAATAAAAATTAGGATTAGAATGTAGAAGCAAGTTTGTCTAATAACTAAGTAAATTGTACTATAAATTAGGAATACCAACTGATCCAGGAGAAAAAATCTACTGTTTCTTGCTTCTTTAGGCAACTGTTTATTTTGACCATTGTTATATAATATGGTTCTTTAAAATTATTTTTCAATTTCTTCAGAATACACTGGAGATGGTTGCCAAACCCTCGTTGATTACTGTGGAAAGACAAACCCATGTAAGAATGGTGCCATGTGTTCTGTGACAAACACAGGATACACATGTACATGTAAAGAAGGTGAGTTATACAATGTTTTCTTAAATTATCCACTACATTATATGTTATTTTGAAGAAAAAAATCGGTCTTGGTAGAATTAGTTCCCTTGATCCAAACTGTAGTCAATAAGACTTAATGAGCAATATCAAGTACGGTAATAAAAACTAAGTTCATTTTTAATTTTTAGCTCACCTGTCACAATGTGACATGGTGAGCTGTTGTGATTGCTTTTCGTCCGGCGTTTGGCCGTAGTCCGTCCGTAAACTTTTACTGTAAACAACAACTCCTTATAAACAGCTAAGCCAATTTCATGTTTTTATAGTAGTCATCTTTAAGAATTGTTCAAAACATTTAATTCCATGCAGAACTCTGGTTGTCATGGCAACCGAAAGAAAAATCTTAAAATATCTTCTTTTACAAAACCAAAGAGCAAGAGTTTAAATATTTGGCATGAATCATAGTCTAGTCAGTGTCTTCCAAGTTTGTTCAAATAAAAGCCCTGGGATAAAAATTGGCCCCACCCCCGGGGGTTTCATTGATTTTCTTTATTTGTATATAGTAAAAATTTAAAAAAATCTTCTTTTAAAAACCCAAAGAGCTAGAGCTTTGATGTTAAGCATGAAACATCTTCTAGGGAATGTCTACCAAGTTTGATCAAATAAAAGCCCTGGGGTTAAAATTTGCCCCGCCCCGGGGTGTCATTGGTTTTTCTTGTATAAATAGTTATAGTAAAAACTTAAAAATTTCTTTAATAAAACCCCAAAGAGCTAGAGCTTAGAGATTTAGCATGAAATATCTTCTAGTAAGTGTCTACCAAGTTTGTTCAAATAAAAGCCCTTGGGTAAAAATTGGCTCCGCCCCGGGCTGTCATTGATTTTCCTTTTATGTATATAATGAAAACTAAAATTTTCTTTAAAAAAAACCAAATAGCTAGAACTTAGATATTTAGCATGAAACATCTTCTAGCTAGTTTATTCAAGTAAAGGCCCTGGGGTCAAAATTGTCTCCTCCCCAGGGTGTCATTGATTTTCCTTATATATACACATCTTTTGAAACTGTTGTTTTCCCTTAGCAACCAGTAATGTTTTTACACATGTACTATTTCAGATACAAATATGAACTTTGTGATATCAGTTTAAGATTTAGATTTTATATCTGCTTTTGTTTAAGAAATAATATTGGTGTAAGCGCTGTTTAGCGGCTATTTAACACCGGTTTGGAGTTTTGATGCGTAGGAATTGACCATGAAAGCCGTAGGCCTGAGTGGCTTAATTTTTTTGCATCAAAACGACAAAACCGGTGTAAAAAAGCCGATAAACACCGCTAACACCGTTATTATTTCGATTCTTACAATATAAAATAACCAGTGTTATTTTTCAAGCGGAGATTACTTCCGGTGCCGATTTTTGTATAACGCTGATTAATGTGGCAGTCTTCTGTTGCTAAGATATAGAAATTAAGTTATTTTATCAAGTTTTCAACAATTAAAACTTACGTGTTAGACTGGACTGTATTGTGTTAACATCATCAGTGTTTGATTAATCATTCTGTCAGTTTAAAATGGTGTCATTCATGAGTTGTGTACTTAAGATGACGTCATTACGCCGCTAACGGATTGGCGCCGATTGTAGGTAGATAGAACTCAATGGGTAAAAGTGCAGTGCAAACAAACCATAATTCTGCCTTGCTTTATTTTGGAGTTATTGTCCTCTGTTTATTTTCACACTTTGCCCGGGACATAGCTCTAAAACTATAAGAGATATCAATATGAAACTTTGTAGGTAGATAGATTTCTTAGGGAAGAAGTGCATTGCAAAGGAACCGTTACTCTGCCTTGCCTTATTTTGGGGTTATTGCCCTTTGTTCATTTTTACACTTTTAACTTTGTCCAGGATATAACTCTTAAACTATAAGAGATGTCAATATATAACTTTATAGGTAGATATATCTCATTGCGTTGGAGTGCAGTGCAAAAGAACCATAACTCTGCCTTGCCTTATTTTGGAGTTAGTGTCCTTTTTTCACTTTGAGCTTGCTCCGGACATCTTTGAAACCATAAGAGGTATTAACACGAAACTTTGTAGGTAGATAAATCTCATAAAATATAAGTGCAGTGCAAAAGAAATGTAACTCTACCTTACTTAATTTTGGAGAATGAGCCCTTTGTTAATCTTTACACTTTGAACATTATCCAGGACATAGTACTTTGAACATTGTCCAGGACATAGTTCTGAAAGAATAAGAGATATGAACAAGACACTTTGTAGCTAGATCTAGATCTCATTGGGAAGATGTGCAGTGCAAAAGAACCATAACTCTGCCTAGCCTAAGTTTTGAGGTATTGCCCTCTGTTCATTTTTACATTTAGAACTTTGTCTGGGACATAACTTTGACACTACGAGCAGATAGATAGTGCAAAGAACAGTAACTCTGCCTTGCCTCAGTTTGGAATTTTTGCTCTTTGAACTTTGTCTGGGACATAACTCTGAAACTACCAGAGGTATACTTTTCTGTCTAGAACTTAATGGGGAGCATTACCCGGTTCAATCGGCTCTTGTTTAAATAATGGTCACTGTTACATTTGAATTAAGAAGACTATGTGATAATTGTTTTCAATTTTTTTGTAAAACTAGTGTTAATTACGCCAATGCTGAAAGAAACTTTTTGCTTGAACAGAGAAATATTGAGTCCTTTTTTCAAAATACAGTTAGTTTTACTTAAAGTATTTTGAACATATTAACAATGGCCATAAATTTCCATCTGATTTGTGTTTTACCTGATTTGAACAAGGGAGTTCAGTAAAAAATAATTTGAAACACTACAAATGTTGGCATTGTGGGAAACTTTTAATAATTAAATTATCAATTACTAGCAAACTTGATAAGGATTTTTAAAATCAATCATGTTTGCCTTTGGTTTGAGGAAATCTTTATTTCTTATTCCAGGTTATGAGGGAATTAATTGTGAAAAGGGAGTAAATGACTGCCCAAGTGAAAAATGCCCTGATGGCATGGATTGTTTGGATGAAGTAAATACTTACTATTGCCGGTGCCCTATACAGAAAACTGGTGCAAACTGTCAAAATGGTAAGTCTGTTAAATTATCATTTTGTTGTCTGTATGTCTGCCTGCACTTACAGGAAAATACTTTATAATGTTGCTACAGGAACAAAAGGTAACTGTACTTTCTCTTTGATGTCATACATTCTGTAAGCTTTTATGTGGCTATTTTATCTTAAATTTGGCTTACAGAACAATGGGAAGAAAATTGGAAAAGCCACTTAAATACTATATCGTCAGTCTGCCACTAGTAAAAATATATCGAGGGCCATCTAACTGTAAAGAGAACAGAAGAGAACAATTGAGTTCTTTCTATTACTGTGCAAGTAAGGGTGTCAATGACCCACTATTTAACAAGGCATTTATTATGTCCCCCAAAATTTTTGGGAGACATATTGTTTTTGCCTTCGCCGTCTGGGTGTCCATTCGTCATTGGTTGTCCGTACGCATTAAGCTTGTCCGGCCGACACAGGTCAAATTACTGGTGGAATTTCAACCAAACACTACAGGAGTTATCAGTACCATCCCTAGTTGTGCACATCACAGGCACTTTCTGCTTCGCTGCACAAAATGGCCACCAGAGCCAAAAATAGAAAATCTTGTCCAGCCGTCACAGCTCAAAATACTGGTGGAATTTCAACCAAACACTACAGGAGTGATCAGTACCATCCCTAGTTGTGCACATCACTGGCATGTTCTGCTTCGCTGCACAAAATGGCCGCCAGAGCTAAAAATAGAAAAATCTTGTCCAGCCTTCACAAGTCAAACTACTGGTGGGATTTAACCAAATTTTACAGAAGTGATCAGTTCCATCCCTAGTTGTGCACATCGCCAGCATGTTCCACTTCGCTGCACAAAATGGCCACCAGAGCTAAAAATAGAAAAATATTGTCCGCTTTCACAGGTCAATCTACTGGTGGGATTTTAACCAAATTTTACAGAAGTGATCAGTACCATCCATAGTTATGCACATCGCCAGCACGATCCACTTCGCTGCACAAAATGGCTGAATGAGCTAAAAATAAAAAAAATATTGTTCAGCTTTCAGAGCTCAAACTACTGGTGGGATTTCAACCAAACTTGTCAGGATGATCAGTACCATCCTAGTTGTGCACATCGCCAGCACGTTCATCTTTGCTGCACAAAATGGCCACAAGAGCTTAAAATAGAAAAATCTTGTCCGGCTTTCACAGGTCAAACTACTGGTGGGATTTCAACTAAACTTCACAGGGGTGATCAGTACCATCCTAGTTGTGCACATCGCCATCATGTTCTGCTGTGCTGCACAAATTGGCCATCAGAGCTATATATAGAAAATCTTATTCGGTTTTCACAGGTCAAGCTACTGGTTTGATTTCAATGGAACTTAACATGTGTAACCATATATAGTTTTGGGAGACATATGTTTTTTATGACAAAAACCCTTCTAGTTCTATATGCTTTAATGTGGCTATTTTGCTGTATACATGTGGCTAAAATAAGCAATAGGCCACTTAGGTACTGTGTCATAAGGTGTTCCATTTCATAAAATGATTCTTGATAACTTGGCAGAAATGTTCACCATAATGAGAGGAATTGACAAAATCTCTACCTCCAAGTTCAAGGTCACACTTGGAGCCTTTCACAGTTATTGTTTTTCTTTTATTCATAGATGTTGATGTTAACTACGATCTGTCTTTCTATCATCCTCGAGGGTATGGCTTTGCATGGATTCCATATTATATCCAGGTTATCACTGTGAACTATATCTCAGTAACACTTTGGGTGAGATATTCCACAAGTGGAGACACAGGGGTGTACATGACACAGTTTGTCGGGTATGGTTTTGTATTTATGAAATGACAGTGACATATTGCAATATAATTTTTTGATAATATAATCTTTGAGTTTACAATTCATTTTTCCAACAGAATTGTTGCAAGATGTTGGTCAACTCCTTCCCTCCTTCCTTTCACAAGACCGCCTCCGTGGTCGAGGGGTTAGATTCGATGACTTTTAATCCAGTTACCTCTCTGGTGAGGGTTTGATCCCCAGGAGATGCTTTGGTAGTTTAGCACGGAGGAAGGTAGTCTAATACTGGTGTAACTCTCCAGGAACGATGGTTAGGAAACTACCCGCCTATATGACTGAAATACTGTTGGGAAAAGGCGTTAAATGAAACAAACAAACAAACAAAATCCTTTCACAACTCCAACATTTCTCTAATGATTTGAACCAAACTTTCACAGCATGATTCTCATCAAATGCCCTGGTATTCTCATGAATTTGTGGTTTGATCATTGTAATGCAGAATTTTCAATTTTTGTCTTTTTTGAGACAGTTTTCTATGACTGTATCGACCAGGCTGGTACGGTATATAGCAATCAGATGATATTGTATATTCTGTATGTTACCATTGTTTACTATATTAGACCACTTGTGTGTAACAAGTATAAATACAAATTTCTAACAACCTATAAGTTAAGACTCTTTCATTTACTAATTATAAAAGCATCTACCAGCATAAGTTTCGTAAATTACTCGTCCATTATTCATAATGGTGAGGATAGGATTTTAAATTTGAATGGTATACATGTAGTTGAGAGTAAAATAGTAATAGGTTATTTAATTACATGTACCTTTTTGGTCACAGCCATGTTTCCTTGCTGGCTGTCAGGACTATATGGTGCAGTTAACATACAAAAAAGAAAGTTTATCCGAATGTAGCTGAAAGCAGTTGTGGTTAATTATATATTAATTTTTCAAACTGAGGTTTATTTTTTTTACAGAGATCGTTTTGAAGATGCCAGTAGATTTATGGAATTCGAGGAGAGGGGTGTAAAGATTTATATTAATCAACCCAACTCTGATCATGTACTGTTACAATACGGTCGTGAAGCCGAAGTGAATGACGGAAACTGGCATTTAGTGGCGTTAACATGTGACATGATCAAAGGTGTCGCAAGTCTATATCTTGACACTATACCACATGATTCAGTAACTGATCCAGAACTGGTCATGCCATATAGTAGGTAATAAAAATTGAAAAAGACCGATTGAGATATTGATTTCTTTTTTCTAAATATCTTTTCTGTTACCTGGCAAACTTGAGGAGATAAAGTGTAAAGTACAATTAATTATACCCAAACCAAACATGACTGAATGGATTGCCTTCATACTGGGCATCAACCCTAAGAACATGACCTTCATGACAGTAAATGAAGAATTGACCTTTACATTCATTCGACCATGGCATTCAAGGTCAAGTTATTAAATTTGTTAAAATTGGCTATAATTTTGCTATTTACAGATTTCTTGAAGCATAGTTATATAATTTCCCTTTTATTAAATACCTTCAGTAGTAAAAAGCGTAACAAATTTAAATGAAACAAAATAAATTATATTTTCAACTTGATAGAACTCTCATCTTATTTATCCCCTTCCGCGTATCGGGAGGGAAATATTGGAATGGCCTCCGTCTGTCCTTCCGTTCGTCCATCCCTCTATTTGACCGTTGCACTTTCTTGTTTTGAAATAACTTGGCACAAGTGATCACCATAATGAGATAATATGCAGAGCACAATAATTGGACAGCTACCCCAAGGTATAAGGTCACACATAAAAAGTTCAAGTGTTAAAAATGCTCGTTTTATGTCTGCTCCATAACTTATAAACCACTAAAAAGTTGTTTAAATAACTTGGCACAAGTGATCACCATTATGAGACAATGTACAGAGCACAAAAATTGGGCTTCTACTCCCAAGGTCAAGGTCACACTTAATGGTCAAATGTAAGAAAGTCTAAAATTTAAAAACATCTATTTTTCATGTCCGCTCTAAAGCTTATTGACAATTCAAAGGTTTTAAAGTTACTTAGTACAAATGATCCCCACCATGACACAATCTGCAGAGCACATTTTTCATCCAAGTTGCTACCCCCAAGGTCAAGGTTATAAATAATGTTCTACATAATGTTTTAACTTTATGTAAGATTTTAAATAACTTTGCACATATATGTGCCGCAATGATAATGTGAGAGTGACTGCATTTGTAGCTCGACTATTCGCAGAATAATCAAGCTAATGCAGTCACCCATGTGTTAGCGTCGTCGTCCCTGTGGTTAAGTTTTTGCTTTTAAGCTGGTATCTCCATAACTACTGAAGGGAATGGATTGAAACTTCACACACTTGTTCTCTGTAATTTTCTAACATGATTAACACAAGTCCTATAACTCTGAACTGATTTTTTGCATAATTATGCCCCTTTATTGACTTAGAAATCCTTGGTTTCAGTTTTTGCGTGTAAGCTGGTATGTCCAACTACTGAAGGGAATGGATTGAAACTTCACACACTTGTTTTCTGTGATTATCTAGCATGACTGGCACAAGTCCCATAACTTTTGATTTGTTTTTGTTCATAATTATGCACCTTTTCCGGCTTAGAAATTCTTGGTAAAGGTTTTGTTTGTAAGCTGGTATCTCCATAACTCCTGAAGGGTTTGTGCCTTTTTTGGGGACAATTTTATGCACTCATAATGATAAAGCAGTGATTTACTCGATAAAACATCTTAATAACAAGCCTTTGTACCTTATCGGACAATTTTATGTATTCATATAGGTTATCATTATTATATTCGATGAAACACACTTGTGACAACATTTTGAATAGTCGAGCGTTACTGTCCTGCTACTGTTCTTGTTTGTGAAAACAAAAGTGTACAAACCTTGTCTGAATAGGTAAAACAGGGTTTTAGAAGCCAATATAGTACAAGATAAAAAATAGAATTTTAAATGTTGATGACAAAGTTGGTAAAGTCATTGGGATGCAAAACAACTGAAATTTTTTCACTAGTTTGAACCTCACAAATTGTGTAACTTGTTTTTTTCCCTAATTATTTTTTTTCAATTTTACTAAAGATGCAAATAAATTGGAAAAAAAGGTTTTGTTATAATATCGTATTATTTAACTGTACAGTAATACTATTTCATTATGTGTAGTGTATAGTACATGTAGTGTGCAGTAGTCAGGGTACTTGTTCAGTGCACGAGTATTTCGTGCCAAATGAACTATAGTTGACAGTTTCTCATTCCGTTTAGTATACAGTTCGAAGTTTTACCAACTTGTTAGATATTAATTTTGAAAAGTTAAAATAATGTGAAATTGATGTTAATAGAAATTAACACTTAACATTTATTACGTCAAGAAAAAATTGAACATTTTCGTATTTGATTGTTTATTTACAGAAATTATTTTTGCGAAAAAACGATCCGAACCAGTCTTGCATTGATATTTAATTAATTAGAAGAATAGCTGACAACCTTACATACTGTGTTAGGCTGACAGTTGATTATTTAGTTGATACTTTAATTTATGTCGTAAGCCTGCGTGCCTTAAGATAATAAACCCAATATGATAGTCGTTTTACACTGTTAAAGTGGACTTGACCGCAGCGTCACTAAATAATTATCCTAAATATACAGTAATCATCAGCGTGAGACTATGTGCTTTATGATGATATACATAGCACAACATCTAGGCCATGGTTGGTTAAAGGTCAAGAAGAACACAAACATTTTCACTGCAGAAAGGGATTTAGCTGCCCTTCAGGCTGCCTTGTTATTGTTATGTTGTTATGACAAGCGTTTGAATTATACACACGCCGTCATGATTGTGTGAATCTAAGCACTATTTGAATAAGTTAAACTTATTATTGATTTTGAAACAAAGCATGATTTAGAATAAAATTATGGAAACATTTCAGTTAATACATTTTATTGAGTAATACTATGCATTAATTATCTTAAAGTCATTTTGATTGCAAGTTTAGTGTATTTACATTTATGTCTGGACATGTTCTGCAGTTCTAAAAATAAGTTCAAGAAACATGTAAATATAAAAATACAATAACCTCAAGTAGTCTACCATTGTTTGACATAATTATAAAATATTCTTATGGATCATTCCAAAATATCGAATTTTGATAGATAAAGATTTTCTTATTTTCTTGTTTCTTCAGTAAAAAATGTTCTTCAAATACTATAGATGAATAACTTTAATATTTACACTTTGATATTGTTTCATCATGCGTAAGTGAATATTTTTCTGTAATCATGAACTTTTGATAAAACTATCATACAGTTTCAGACATTGGATTGTGCTGGGATGTGAATTTGACAATGACGAAAGGAGATGTACTGAAAATGGCAAAGGTTTCCGTGGTTACATCAGCCAGGTTAATTGGTACACACGAATGCTGTCTTTCGAAGGTCCGGGTGATGGCAGTGTAGGGGACATACCTACAATTTTCATCAACCCACGATACGTGTTTGGAGATTTGAATTACCTCCTCCTTGCATGGAACGAGTATGTGTATGAAAATGGCGTTGGGAAGATGACACCTTCTGAGGCTAATGGTCAACCTTGTAATGATCTGAACAGAAACCCAGCCTGTAGTTCTTACAGAGGTAAAATAATATGTAAAAACTCAGAGGGGATTTTACATTGTACTATTATTTTAAAAAATATATATGTACATAAAAAGCAGGTATTTATTTGATTTTAGTGAATATGTGCTATTTGAGCCTATTTCTATTTTCAAAGTCTCGAATAACAAGAAAAGAAAAACAGTTGTCTGAATGAGATTGTGTCCATATTTACTCAACACTCATTTTTTTAATCTTACAGTACATTCTATTGTTTTAGCCAGATGTGACCAAAATTTGCATAAAAATTGTTATTTTTTTCAAGCTACCCATAATATGACAATTTTTATTCATTATGCATTTTTTTGTTATATATTCTTGTACATAAAAGCAAAACCAAAATTCCAAATCTCTTTCAGTCTCAGATATTGTGATATAATTTATATCTGGAATTTTTGTGCTCCCAATATGGGGGGGGGGGAGTGATTTAGATTTGACAATCTGTGTATGCGTTCTCATGTTGTGTTGCATGTAGCTAGAGAAGTATTTGACCTAGAGTCTTGAACCTTTACAGAAATGTTTTCAATTTTCAACTTGTGTTGCATGTAGCCGAAAACATATTTGACCAAGAGACATCAAACAATACAGAAATATTTCTCAGCATGTGTAGTTATGAACCTGGGATTTGCTTGTGGATTTTGCTAAAATTTATAGAGAAATTGCCCTTGACATAGGAAAAAATTGCAGTTATCAAGGTGTGTCTCACATGGTGCAATTACAAGAACAATTTAAGCTAGAGTCATGTTACTAAAATTCCAGAAATGTTGATCAGCACGTGAAGTGGTGCACGGCATGAAGTTTTGATTGTGGATTGATTCATTATTTGTAAATTTATTGCCCATGACTTAAAATTTGTAATTTTCATCTTATGTGCCCTATAGCCCAAAAGTCTTTGACCTGGAGTCATGAAAAGATACAAAAATGTTGATCAGCATGTAAAGTTGTTTACCTGGGGGATTAATTGTGGATTTATTTATTATTTGTCGAGTTATTGCCCTTAACTTACTTAATATTTGCAATTTTCAATTTGTTATGGCGTAGGTCAAAAAGTATTTTACCTGGAGTCCTGAAAGTTTACAGGAATGCTGATCAGCATGTGTAGTTATGCACCTTTGGTTTGCTTGTGTATTGATTTATTATTTTTGTAGAGTAATTGCCCTTGACTTGGTTAAAATTTGCAATTTTGAACTTGTGTTATGAATATCCCAAAAAGTATTTAACCTAGAGTCATGAAACTTTCTAAAATGTTTATCAGTATGTGAAATTGTGCATCTTGTGGTTTGCTGTGGATTGATAATTATTTGTAGATTTTATTGCCCTTGTCTTACTTAAAATTTGCAATTTTAAACTTGTTCCTGCGAAGCTCCAAAATTATTTGACCTGGAGTCCTGAAAGTTGACAGGAATGCTTTTCAGCGTGTGTAGTTTTGTACCTGTGGTTTGTGGATTGATTCAGTATTTGTAGTTTTTGCCCTTGACTTATTAAAAGATTTGCAATTTTCAACTTGTGTCACACATAGCCAAATAAAATATTTGACTTAGTAGATTGACAAAACTGTGGGAGCAACCCTGTCCTATAGGCACATTTCTAGTTTAGATGTCTAACATGAGTTTATGGATCAATAAAACAGTTATTTGATAAATCCTTATCATTTAAGCAATATTCTGCGAAGTGTTATCTTAAATAAGAACAATAGTTTGCTTAAACTTAACTGAAAATAATATTCAAAGATTTTTTTTTCTCTTTTAATAATGTATGGATGTTATTTTTTGTATTACTCAACATCATCATGGTGTAATTTGATCTTGCGCAAAGCAGACCTTTATTCTTAATAATGTAGCGATTAACTACAGCAGTGAGAACATGGCCACTGTAAAATGTTTCAGTGGCACTACCGCTCTCAGACACATCGACACAGGCCGCTATTCCAACACAGTAAAAAATAGAGGGTACATAACTCTTTTTAACGCTCCTGCTACGTCAAACAACAACTGGGCGATCGCTGTTTTCACCTACCCACATTTTGTTACTGAGTTTGTTATTTGGCTAAAAAAAATACAGCCAGGTTTTATCCCCTCTGACAATTTCTCTCAGGCGGTTAGGGTCTCGATCTTTGAACCTAGTCAACAAGGCCGAGGTTTTTTTTCAGCCTGCTCTCTCCTCTGGCCAAATGCAATATCCAATGGGCGCACACTTTCCTTAACTTTTCTTTCAAGATGAAAAACACATATGACACATTTACCCCCGATATGTAACTTATCTCCTCCATTGTATATATCCTGCATTTTCATAAACTATGACTTTGAAAGTACTGATATCTTCTTAGAGATGGCCCAGGGCCGGGATCATCCTTAACATTTACACCCACCTAGCAATTGTACAATATGGATGGGCATTTTCTCCACAAACTAAATCTAGATCCGTTTTTATTTCTGACACGCATTTACCCAATAACCAATGAATTGGTAATATGCTCTTTGCTCCAAACACAAATCACAATGCAACTCAGGCATGTTTACAACCAGTATACAAACCACATGTGTTTAAATGACCTGCTAAAATTTTATTGCATGTGCAAATCATACGAAAAAGACTGTTGGTTGTAAAAATCAATAATCTTTCCAACAGTATATTATACATGTTTTTTTTTAACGTGGAAATCATGGTTAAATTGAGTTTTTATAATTGCTTGCGATTGTCAGACCATGGTTAAACAACTGTGGAAACCATATTTTTCATTAATTGCTGTTTTCTTTATTTACTGTTACAAATGCAACATTAAGAAACTTAAAAACATCATTGTCTGTAACATGCAATTGAAGACCATACAAATAAAGTAGTAAATGGCTGAAAATTGTTTAACTGAAAATACTGTTTGACTTTGACATTGTTTTTCAGATATGATTCAAAGAAACCATCTACCAATTTTGTAAAGCAAAGCGTCAAAGTTGGGTCACTTTCTTAGGTACATTCATCAATTAATGAATATCATTTGGTCAATAAATTGAATGGTAGTGATTTATAGATGACAGTCTACCAGGATTATAACAAAACAATTCAAATAAACTTTATGAGCAATATAGGGCCATCATGGCTCTCTTTTTTGTCTGTATTGATATAAGATTAACAATAATATTTCAGCAAGCTCACAACATCCGTCTGTCATCAGCTGTCCTGATGACAAGGTCATTTATTCTGAGGATCGACTTACTACAGTTACCTGGGATGAACCAGTCTTTAATAACGTTGTCAGTGTAACCAGGCCAAGTCGTCCATCAGGTCAGTATTCTATAAATGATCCATAAGGTTGTGAGTAACTGTATAAATATCGTCCTGAGGAAAATACTGTACCCCAGGAGTAAGCCGAGGGTCACAGTATTTTTATGTGGAAAGATGTTTTTGCTATAACTCGCAAACCTACGTGTTGTTTATTTTATTATCCTGAAGCAATACTTTTTTAGGACATAGTTTCTATATGCTTTTATTTTTTTAATTTGTACAGGGAAAGGGAACCTTTGTTTTTAGTTAATGTCATTCATGTTTAATACAACTGCTAAGGGAGGTCCTCTTCCTTTGGGATTACTAAGGGGTCATTTGGGTCAAGGTCATCAATGTCAAAAATAGATTTTTACTTTTTTACAGGTGTATTTACCTTATTCTATTGACAGATGTCTCTTATATTTGGTAGGCACATATAATTGGGTCTTTTTCTTTGAATGGAGTAAGGGGTTTGTTTGGTCAAGGTCACCAGTGCTAAAAATAGATTTTTACACTTTTACCCATACAGCCTTTATTTATTGACAGATGTATTTCATATTTAGTAGGAAGATGACTTACATGAACATGTTTCTTTTGAGCGAGGTAGGGGTCAGTGTATCAAGGTCAAGGATGCCAAAATAGATTTCTACATGTTTGCTTATACAGCCTTTACTTTCTGATTGATGTTTTTCATATTTGGTAGGATGATACCTTGCATTGTCTTCTTCCTTTGGATTGAGTTAGGGTTAAGGTCATCATTGTTAAAAATACATTTTTTTTACTTTTGTCTATATAGCCTTTATTTATGGACATATGTCTTTCATATTTGGTTTGAAGATAACTTGCATGTTATTCTTCCTTTCGATTGAATTAAAGGTCAGTGGGTCAAGGTCAAAAACACCAATAATAGATTTCTAAACATTTACTTAAACAACCTTTATTTTTTGCTAATATTTTGCATATTTGAAAGGATGATAACTTGCTTCCTTGGATTGAGTTAGGGGTCAGTTGGGTCAAGGTCACCAGTGCTAAAAGTAGACTTTTTACACTTTTGCCCATATAGCCTTTTTTATGGACAGAGTTCTTTCATATTTGGTTTGAAGGTATCTTGAATAGTTTTTGGTTGAGTAAGAGGTCAGTGAGTCAAAGTCAGGGGTGCCAAAATAGATTTTTTTATACATTGGCCTTTACAGCCTATATACATAGCCTGAAGTTTTTCATATTTGAAAGGAACATACCTAGGATAGTCCAGTGCTGGGATTACAATGTCAATGTCACTTGTAATGACAATAGATTTTTTTGCACTTTTTATGCCACCGCAGCATCTGCGATGCGGTGGCAGAAAGCGATGCACCTGTGTGTGTGTGTGTGCGTGCGTGCGTGCGTGTGTGTGTTAAAAAGAATATAAAGTGAACTTAAAAAATCTTCTTGTAAAAAACCACTAGTCCAATTTCAACCAAACTTAGCAGTATTGAAACTTGGGTGAAGGGCTTCCAAAGTTGTTCAAAGAATTTTATTCCATGCAGAAATCTGGTTGCCACGGAAACCAAAAGGAATTATAAGAATAAATTTAAAAAATATTATTGTAAAGACCCCCCAAAAGGCATAGAGCTTAGATATTTTGCATAAGGCATTGTCTGGTAAACCTTTACCAAGAGTGTTCAAATTATAACCCTGCGGTCAAAATCGGCCCCGCCCCGGGAGTCATTGATTTTCACTATATGTACATATAGTAAAAACTTAAAATACCTTCTTGTAAAGACCCAAAAGGCCTAGAGCTTAGATATTTTGCATAAGGCATTGTCTGGAAGACCCTTACCCAGATTATTCAAATTAAAGCACTTGGGTTAAAATCGGCCCTGCCCCGGGGTCATTGGTTTTCCTTATGTGTATATAGTAAAAACTTGTAGTAAAAGCTTTAAAAAAATCTTCTAGCAATTGACAAATGCTACAGGTTAGATATTTTGCATGAAACATTGTTAAGTGAACTTCTAGCAAGATTGTTCAAATTATAGCCCTGGGGACAAAATTGCCCCCGCCCCGGGGGTCATTGATTTTCAATATATACATATAGTGAAAAATCTTATTGTCTGAAGGTACAAGGCTTAGAGCTTTAATAGTTGTTAAATAATATCAACTATAGGTACTCTACAAAAGTTGTTCAAATTTTGCCTCTAGTGTCAAAAGTAGCCCCGCCCCGGGGGCATAGGTTTTCCTTATATGTATATAGTAAAAACTTTAAAAATCATCTTCTCTAAATTTACTAAGGCTAGAGTTAAGATATTTTGCATGAAACATTGTGTAGTGAACCTCTAGCAAGAGTGTACAAATTGTAGCCCTTGGGTCAAAATTGGCACCACCCCAGGGGTCATTGATTTTCACTATGTACATATAGTAAAAAATTAAAAAATCAACTTGTCTGAAGGTACAAGGCTTAGAGCTTTGCTTTGATATTTGGTATACAATATCATCTATGGGTCCTCTACTAACGTTGCTTTAATTATGCCCCTAGTGTTAAAATTGCCCTGCCCCAGAGGCGATAGTTTTCCTTATATGTATAAAGTGAAAACTTAAAAAAATCTTCTTCTCTGAATTGACAAAGGCTAGTGGTTAGATATCTAGCATGAGACTTTGCGAAATGAACCTCTACCAAGATTGTTTAAATTATAGCCCTAGGGTCAAAATTGTTTCCGCCCCGGGGGTCATTGATTTTCAGAATGTACATATAGTAAAAAAATAAAAAAAAATATAAAAAATAAAAAAAATATATAAGGCATAGAGGTTTGATGTTTGCTATAATTATAATATAATCTATAGGTCCTCTACGAAAGATGTTCAAATTTTTCCCCTGGTGTCAAAATTGGCTTTGCCCGGGGCAGTGATTCTCATTATGTACACTTAGTAAAAAACAGAAAATAAAGCAAATGTTTTCTGAATGAGAGAAAGCTACAGCTTAGATATTTGACTTGAAATGTTGTTGAGTGGACCTGTATCAAGATTGTTTTTAATTAAACCCTTGGGTCAAAATTTTGCCATGCCCAAGGGGACAGTGACCTACTTTCTTGTCCTTTGACGTACAGCAATGAAATTTTGACCATGAGCACAGTTTTAGTGGTAAAATTGAACTTTGATATCAGGTGACCTAGATTTTAATGATATGACCTACTTTCTTGTCTATGAATTGTGAACCATGTGCACAGATTAAGATGTAAAGTGAAGTTTGTTATCAGCTGACCTAGATTTTGACAAAGTATCTTACTGTGTTGTCCTTTGATGTAGTCATGAAATTTAGGCTGTGTGAAATATGACCTTTAATACCACCAAATTCACTAGACGCAAGTGCATTGATAGATTCCTACCCTGATCTTTTATTGGATTAACAATAGATTTAACAACTAATCTGATGATATTAGATAGATCAGGGATCTATGTATTATGACAATTTTCAATTGTATAAACAAAAAAATCTGTTCCTACTATTTGTTCCCCGCCTTTTCGAAGAAAAAAGGGGGATATAGAAATAGGCTCCGTCCGTCCGTCTGTCCGAGCAAACATTTTGGGTTTAGAGGTCTTATAACAGTAAAGAAAACAAAAGAGAACAATAGGTTCATTCCGTGATCAAAGGGTTTATGGGCTAGTAGCCCTTAAGAAAACAAAGAAAATAACAAAGAAAATAGCCCCTAAACCCAAAATGTTGGAACGTCCATCCGTCTGTCCGTCCGTCCGTTACACTTTCGTGTCCGGTCCATAATTTTGTCATTTATGAAAGGAATTTGAAATAACTTGGCACAAATGTTTATTATGATAAGACGATGTGTCATGCGCAACAACCAGATCCCTACCTCCAGGGTCAAGGTCGCACTTGCTCATTCAAGGTCAACATTGTCTATTTGAGGGTGTATGTCGTGTCCGGTCTATAACTTTCTTATCTATGAAGTGATTTTGTAAATACTTGCCATAATTGTTCATAATAATCAGACGATGTGTCATGCGCAAAATTCAGTCACCTTTCTTCAAGGTCAAGGTCACACTGGGAGGTCAAATATTAACATAGTCTGTTACAGGGTATATTTCGTGTGTGGTCCAAAACTTGGTCATTTATCAAAGGAATTTGAAATAACTTGGCACAAATATGTGTTATAATAAGACGATGTGTCATGCGCAACAACCAGACCCCTACTTCCAGGGTCAAGGTCGCACTTGCTCATTCAAGGTCAACATTGTCTATTTGAGGGTATATGTCGTGTCCGGTCCATAACTTTCTTATCTATGAAGGGATTTCGAAAAAACTTGGCACAAATAGTCACAATAATCAGACAATGTGTCATGTGCAAAATCTGGTCACCTACCTCCAAGGTCAAGGTCAGACTTGGAGGTCAAATGCTTACATAGCCTGTTACAGGGTATATTTTGTGTGCGGTCAATAACTTTTTCATGGATCAAAGGATTTTGAAAATACTTCGCACAAATATTCACTATAATAAGAGGATGTGTCCTGTGCAACACCTGCATTCCTACCTCTAGAGTCAAGGTCACACTTAGAGGCCAAAAATTAACATAGTCTTTATAGGGTATATTTTATGTCGGATCTAGAACTTCTTCATAGTTCAAGGGATTTTGAAATAACTTGGCACAAATAGTCACAATAATAAGACGATATGTCAAGTACAACACATGCACCCTTACCTCCAAGGTCAAGGTCACACTACTTAGAGGTCAAAGGTTAACAGAGTCTGTTATTTGGTATATTTTGTGTCCCGTCCATTACTTCTTCAAAGATTAAGGGATTTTGAAAATACTTGGCACAAATAGTCAAAATGATTAGATGATACGTCATGCGTAACATCTGTGTCCCTACCTCCAAGGTCAAGGTCACACTTAGAGGTCAAAGATTTACATAGTCTGTTATAGGGTATATTTTGTGTCCAATCTATAACTTCTTCATAGTTCAAGTGATTTTGAAAATATTTGGCACAATATGTCATGTACAACATCTACTTCCCTACCTCCAAGGTCAATGTCACACTTAGAGGTCAAGGCTTAACATGATAGATATTTAAATTCTGCGTTTCATTTTATTTTTTTAACAAATTTATTGTTGCATTTGCAGATCTAGCATGGATCATAGTTTTATTTTGGACTGAATGTCCTAAGATCCATACCTCAATCTTTTGAAATAGCACAATTTTATGCTTCATATAAAACTTCCCGAGGCGGGGGACGTTGGTAACTCTGTTACAAATTCTTGTTAGTGTTATATTAATGCGGTGGCGTTTTTCTCAAATGCAATCTTGTTTATACAGCCGTTGAAAAAGTCTTTGTTACTTACACGAATATGACACGGGGGCATTTGTTTTAACACACATGTTCTTGTTTAATGATGAAAGAAAACGAAGAAGAATTTTATTATATTGATTCAAATATGATAGCTTTAAAAGACTTTTTACAGGAAGTTCATTTACATGGGGAATCTACAGAAACACCTACCTAGGGATAGATGGTGCCAACAATAAAGCCTACTGTCATTTTACAGTTTATGTGAATGGTAAGGGCTTTTTAATATCATATAACTTTAAGGGTGATATTTTAATTACTTTTTCTGTCTACACATATACAAGAAGAAACAAATGAAAAGTTTTGTAATTTTGTATTAGTTTGTCTGTTTCTGAGAAAAAGTATGATTGTGATATCTGCAACATTGTTATAGCCCCAACAAACGAAGTTTAGGGGGCATATAGGAGTCAGCTTGTTGGTCGGTCAGTCCATCGGTCCGTCCACATTATGGTTTCCGGAGGATAACTAGAGTTTGGAATGAGGTATTGTAATCAAACTTGGTATATACATGTAGCATCCTTATGTGGAGACTCCCGTTGGTATTACACTTGGACCCCCTGGGGTCAAGGTCAAATTAGCGTTACTAAAAATAGAAAAATGGTTTCCGGACAATTACTAGAGTTAGGAATGAGATATTGTAATAAAACTGGGTGTATGGCAAGCTTATATAAAGTCTGGTTGGTATTGCATTTGGACCCCCTGAGATCAAAGTCAACGTTACTAAAATAAAAGAATGGTTTCCGGAAAATAACTAGAGTTAAGAATGAGATATTGTAATCAAACTTGGTGTTTAGCAATCATATATAAAGCCTCCGGCTGGTACTGCATTTGGACTCCCTGGGTTCAAGGTTAAGGTCATCATACCTAAAATTAGAAAAATGGTTTCGGAAAAATAACTATAGTTAGGGATGAGATAATGTAATCAAACTTGGTGTATAGCAAGCTTATATGAAATAGATAAATACAGAATCCCTAAAGAAAGCCCAACACGGCAAAATTGAAAATGTTGCAGGCTCGGTTTGATTGAGCCTGTTCATGGACGGTACTGGAAATGAAGACCGCGATTTGGATTACAATTAATTGAAACAATTTTTGTTTTGTACACAGTTGATAGGTTGTGCTTAATTTTTTCTTCAGACCACTTACAGTCTAACTTGTCCGTGCGACCACCTGTATTAAGCGACTTTTATTTTATGCGGCCACTTTCAATTCCCCCGATCAATTTCTCTCTTTAATGTATTAAGCGACTTTTGCTCAAGGAGACCAGCGGCCACTAATTAGTCAATCTTTTCATCAAATGACCATTTTTACCTGTCAAGTGTCTGTGTTTTTAAGAAAGTCACCTTGTGATGTCACAAGTGTCAACAATCAATACACAAAACACTATTTCCCATTTTAGCGTATGCAAATGAAGTTAAGTATAAGCACGATGCGTATTATCCAATAATATCGATAGAACAATGCAACACGCCGCCCCTACTGAGATGGTGTATACGCTTCGCTGTTGATATTAAGACTGCATTGAATTAACCTTGAATTTGATCAGCAATTAAATAAATCGTTACAATAAGATGTTGTTTGTTTATTTCAAATGAAAAATCACAAAAGAAAACATCTACACTAATAAGGGTTTTTGTGTTGGAGACAAGGAAACGGAGAAGTTTTAAAATTCTGTAAAAATGTCAAACATGTACAGTAAGTATAATAGATTAAAACAGTTTTGTCAATTAATATAGCATCTACAAAGATTATTGGAGCGTTCTAATTAGTAAACATGTAGAAAATGCTTTCCCATCGCAAAAGAAAGGTGTCATGTATAAATGTTTTATACCCCCGCACAACAAAGTTGTAAGGGGGGTATACTGGAATCAGCTTGTCCGTCCGTCCGGCTGTCCGTCCGTCCGTCCGTCGGTTTTTTCTTGTCCGCCCAATAACTTAAGATTCCTTTGACCCTTAGTCTTCATATTTTGCATGGAGGTTAGTCATGATTGGTAGATGATCCCTTTTGATTTTGAAGTCACTAGGTCAAAGGTCAAGGTCACAGGGGCCTTGACTTCAAAAAGCTTGTCCGTCCATTAACTTAAGATTCATTTGACCTACAGTCGTCATATTTGGCATGGTGGTTAGTCATGATTAGTACATGACCCCTATTGATTTTGAGGTCACTAGGTCAAAGGTCAAGGTCACAGGGGCCATGACTTCAAAAAGCTTGTCCGCCCAATAACTTAAGATTCCTTTGACCCACAGTCTTCATATTTTGCATGGAGGTAAGTCATGATTAGTAGATGCTCCCTATTGACTTTGAGATCACCAGGTCAAATGTCAAGGTCACAGGGGCCTTGACTTCAAAAAGCTTTTCCGCCCTATAACTTAAGATTCCTTTGACCCACAGTCTTTATATTTGGCATGGAGGTTAGTCATGATCAGTAGATGACCCCTATTGATTTTCAGGTCACAAGGTCAAGGTCACAGGGGCCTTGACTTCAAAAAGCTTGTCCGCCCAATAACTTAACATTCCTTTGACCCACAGTCTTCATATTTGGCATGGAGGTTAGTCATGATTAGTAGATGACACCTTTTTATTTTGAGGTCACCAGGTCAAAGGTCAAGGTCACAGGGTCTTTGACTTTAAAAAGTTTGTCTGCCCAATAACTTTAGATTACTTTGACCCATAGTCTTCATATTTGGCATGGATGTTGATCATGATTAGTAGATGACCCCTTTTGATTTTGAGGTCACTGGATCAAAGGTCAAGGTCATAGGGACTTTGACTTCAAAAAGTTTGTCCACCCCTTAAGATCCCTTTGACCCACATACTTCATATTTGGCATGGATGTTGATCATGACTATAAGGTGACCCCTATTGATTTTGAGGTCACTGGGTCAAAGGTCAAGGTCACAGGGACCTTGACAAAAAAGCTTTTCTTCTCAATTGCTAAAGAATGTCCTGTCCGCAATGTATTGATTTTGACATTTTCACATTTGAAGCATGTAGAATACATAACTTAGCAATGCACTGGCTTAATAACCTCAGATTTGGCAGGGAGGTTGTCCTTGAGCTCTAAATGGCCACTGTTGATTCTGACAAAGTGGTATGCGGGGGTATTCACGCCATGATAGTGGCAGTTCTAGTTTTATCATACTTTGTCTTAAGATACCATTTTATTATGCGGCCATTTTAGGTGTTTCCCTTGGGCGGTTGCTTATTATACACGTTTGACTGTATTTTTTAAAAATTGAAAGTTGCTGGTGGGGGTATTTATCACCTTCAGTGATATGGTTAGTTGCCATTTTTGTTGCCGTTGTTCTTATTGTTGATATTTTTATGGACATAAAATTGAATGTATCCATTCATTCAAACATTTTAAAGATATCAACACAAAACTTGGAATACTTACTCACAATGGCGAGGTGCAGTTGTGAGACAAAGGGACATAAGTCTGAAAGCAATATTTTTTGAGTTTTGCCTCTTTGTGATTTTTTGTTAAAATTACCTACTAAGTAGAGTGGTTTTTAAATTTTAAAAGGTTTTTGAAACTTGGAATACTTGTTAATAATGTCAGAGCATAATTTTTAGACCAGGGACATTATTCTTTAAGCTACATTTTGGAGTAATGTCCCTTTTTAACTTAGAATTTTTGTCAGAATTGCTTATTAACTTTAATGATCAAAACTTTAAAAAAATTTCAACATGACATTATTATGACAATGCACAGCTGTAAGACCAGGGGCATAATCCTGGCACTGTCCCTTTTTTACTTGAACATTGATGAAAGTTGGTTATTGATAATCGTTGCCTTTTACAGATGAGCGTTTATACCGCATGTGCACCTTGAATAATACATAAATACTGCATGTGCTCTATGTACATTCCAGCTTGGAGATGTGATGCTATTCCCGACCCACAAGGCGGGAAACAGATGTGCAAAACAAAGTCAGGCAGAACAGACTGCAAAATATCTTGCAACAATCAGAACACAAGTATTTACGTGATTGTTCGAACTTATCCACATCTGTTTACCTGCGGACCAACAGGTTTTTGGAATGCAGATAAACCATTTAGACGTTTTAGATATCCATCATGCGGACGTATGTATCCACAATTATAGTCTTTACCACTGAATTTTTGTTTAATTTTTGCTGTAAATAATGATTTATTTGGGTGAAATTATTCCTTTTATGCGTCTAAATTCAAACTACTGTGTAAGTGGATATTTATGCTTCAAAAAAAATTGCGAATGTCAAAATGTGGACCTTTTGCGTGTGGAAATTATGCGAAAATATGATTTTTTATACCCCCGCACAACAAAGTTGTAAGGGGGGTATACTGGAATCAGCTTGTCCGTCCGTCCGTCCGTCCGGCTGTCCGTCGGTTTTTTCTTGTCCGCCCAATAACTTAAGATTCCTTTGACCCTTAGTCTTCATATTTGGCATGGAAGTTAGTCATGATTAGTATATGACCCCTATTGACTTTGAGGTCATCAGGTCAAAGGTCAAGGTCACAGGGGCCTTGACTTCAAAAAGCTTGTCCGCCAAATAACTTAAGATTCCTTTGACCCACAGTCTTCATATTTGGCATGGAGGTTAGTCATGATTAGTAGATGACCCCTATTGACTTTGAGGTCACCAGGTCAAAGGTCAAGGTCACAGGGGCCTTGACTTCAAAAAGCTTGTCCGCCCAATAACTTAAGATTCTTTTGACCCACAGTCTTCTTATTTGGCATAGAGGTTAGTCATGATTAGTAGATGATCCCTATTGACTTTGAGGTCACCAGGTCAAAGGTCAAGGTCACAGGAATCCGCCCAATAACTTAAGATTCCTTTGACCAATATTCTTCATATTTGGCATTGAGGTTAGTCATGATTAGTATATGACCCCTATTGACTTTGAGGTCACCAGGTCAAAGGTCAAGGTCACAGGGGCCTTGACTTCAAAAAGCTTGTCCGCCCAATAACTTAAGATTCCTTTGACCCACAGTCTTCATATTTGGCATGGAGGTTAGTCATGATTAGTAGATGACCCCTATTGATTTTGAGGTCACTGGATCAAAGGTCAAGGTCACAGGGACCTTGACTTCAAAAAGCTTGTCCGCCCTATAACTTAAGATTCCTTTGACCCACAGTCTTCATGTTTAGCATGGAGGTTAGTCATGATTAGTAGATGACCCCTATTGATTTTGAGGTCACCAGGTCAAAGGTCAAGGTCACAGGGACTTTGACTTCAAAAAGTTTGTCTGCCCAATAACTTTAGATTCCTTTGACCCATAGTCTTCATATTTGGCATGGATGTTGATCATGATTAGTAGATGACCCCTTTTGATTTTGAGGTCACTGGATCAAAGGTCAAGTTCATAGGGACTTTGACTTCAAAAAGTTTGTCCACCCATTAACTTAAGATTCCTTTGACCCACAGTCTTCATATTTGGCATGGATGTTGATCATGGCTATAAGGAGACCCCTATTGATTTTGAGGTCACTGGGTCAAAGGTTAGGTCACAAGGACCTTGACAAATAAAAAGCATGTAGAATACATAACTTAGCAATGCACTGGCTTAGTAACCTCAGATTTGGCAGGGAGGTTGTCCTCGAGCTCTAAATGGCCACTGTTGGTTCTGACAAAGTGGTAGGCAGTTCTAGTTTAAAATTTAATACTGTTTTTGTGATTTCATTAATTAAGCAGGTACATGTTAAGAATATGCCGTTATTGTAATCGTTCTATTCAGTTGTTTAATACCTTTATTATCTATATAATTATTTGAATTAAACATTGTTAGTTTGATAAAGGATCTGATCAGTGATCACACATTTCTTTGTTATATTTTGAAATATTGTTTGGTTATATGAATAACCTATTGTAATATCAACACATATATTGTTTCATTAAAACATTTGTGAGAAACAAGCAATGAGAGCAATTAATCTCAGTACCTGAACAGTCAAATTTATTCATGTAACAAAATGTTGAATGAAAATGTGTTTTCAAATGATAGAAGAAGAAATATTTTTTCATGATCAAATATTTGAAAAAAAAATCAACTTTCAAAAATTGCAAATATTTCCATGACGCAAAATTAACCACTTAAACATTAACTTGCTTACTAACGGACAAACGAACTAAGTAACTAACAAACAAACTTCCTAACTAACTAACTAAATAACTAACTAACTAACTTACTATAACTAAATAACTAACTAATTAACTAACATCCATAGCATTTTTAGCCCCCAAGGGGGTCATTGATTTTTTATTTGTATATAGTATATAGTAAAAACTGAAAACAATGTCTTCTTTAAAAAACCCAAATAGCTAGAGCTTAGATATTAAGCGCGAAACATCTTCTAGTAGGTGTGTACCATGTTTGTTCAAATAAAAGTCCTGGGACAAAAATTGGCCCCGCCCCAGGGGGTCATTGATTTTCCTTATTTGTATATAGTAAAAACTTAAAAAAATCTTCTTTTTAAAAAACCCAAAAAGCTAGAGCTAAGACATATAGCATGAAACATCTTCTAATGGGTGTCTACCAAGTTTGTTCAAATAAGGGCCCTTGGGTTAAAAGTGGCACCGTCCCAGGGGTCATTGATTTTCCTAATATGTGATAGAAAAAGTTTAAAACATTTTTCATAAAAAAAAACCCAAAAGGGCCCTAGTGTTTGTTAAAAGGCGTTTTTTGGGTGAGTGTTTTCCCAAATTTTGGGTTAAATAAAAGGCCCTGGCTTTAAAAACTGGTCCCACCCCCGGGACCCAAATTTAAAAGTTTATTTGGCCTTTGGGGGGGTTTTTTTTCCCTCAAAAACCCTTTGTTGCAAATTTCCCCTTAAATTTGGGTGCTTTAAAATTATTTTAAACATATTTTCTTAGACATTTTAAAAAAACCTGTAGGAAAATAAAGGAAAAATTTTTTTAAAAACTGAAATATGAATTGACTTAATGGAAAAAGTTGAATTTTTTGTATTAAATTGGTAGGTTTTTGGGTTAAATATTGATTATACGAACAGCTTTTTTTGAGGAATTAAAATTGTGCCCTTTGAATTTAAAAGGGTGACCTTTACTTTAAGGTAAACAATTATGGAATGATACTTAAATTGACTAAATCTTTGTCGTTAATAAATAAATTTTACTGTGCCCCTATCTGTCCGTCCGTCCGTTCTCTTTTGTGTCGCACGTATCTCAAAGAGTAATTGACCTAGAGTCATGAAACATTACAGGAATGTTTATCAGCATGTGAAGTTCAAGTTCTGCACCTGGGTATTTTTATGTGGATATTTTTAGTATTTTTAGAGTTATTGCTGTTTACTTTGTAAAATTTCCAATTTTCAACTTGTGTCGCACGTAACTAAAAAGGTATTTGACCTAGAGTCATGAAACCTTACAGGAATGTTGCTCAGCATGTGTAATTGTGCACCTGGGTATTTTCGTGTGGATATTATTAGTGTTTTTAGAGTTTTTGCCCTTGACTTAGTAAAAATTTGCAATTTTCAACTTCCGTCGCATGTAACTCAAAAAATTTTTGACCTACAGTCCTGAAACCTTACAAAAATGTTGATCAGCATGTGTTGTTGTGCACCTGGGTATTTTTGTGTTGATATAATTAGTTTTTGTAGAGTTATTGCCCTTTAATAAGTAAAAATTTCCAATTTTCAACTTGTGTCGCACATAACTAAAAAAGTATTTGACCTAGAGTCATGAAACCTTACAGGAATGTTGCTGAACATGTGTAATTGTGCACCTTGGTATTTCGTGTGGACATTTTTAGTATTTTTAGAGTTATTGCCCATGACTTTAAGGAATTAATTTACAAGATTCAACTTGTGTTGCACATAACTCAAAAAATGTTTGACCTGAAAGTTACAAGAATGGTCAGTGAAGTTGGTCAGCATGTGTTCTTATGCACCTTGGGGTTTTCGTGTGGATTTATTCAGTATTTGTAGTATTTGCCCTTTACTTAATAAAAGATTTTTAGTTTTCAACTTGTGGCACGTGTAGCAAAAAACATATTTGACCTAGAGACATAAGATTGACAAAATGGTGGAGTGTTGGGGCACCCGTGTCCTTTGGACACATTTCTAGTTATGCTCCCCGAAAAATTTCGGGGGAGCATATAGTCGGCGCCTTGTCCGTCCGTCCGTCTGTCCCTCCGTTATCTTGTCCAGAGTATAACTTGAAAACCCTTGGAGATAATTTGTTTAAACTTCATACAGTGGTAGAGGGCATTGAGGGGGAGTGCAGTGTCAAAGAACCATAACTCTATTTTGCCAGGTTTTTGAATTATCTCCCCCCTGATAGAAAAATCTTGTCCGGGACATAACTCTAAAACTATAAGAGATATCAACGTGAATAGATCTCAATGGGTAGATGTGCAGTGCATAAGAACAATAACTCTTTTGGTGCCTAATTTTTGGAGTTATTGCCTTTGTAAAATTTTAACACTTTGAACTTTGTCCGGAACATAACTCTAAAACTATAAGAGATATCAAAATGAAACATATAGGTAGATAGATCTCATTGAATAGAAGTGCAGTGCAGAAAAACCATAACTCTGTTAAGCCTCATTTTTTAATTAATCTCCCTTTTAGAAAAATCTTTGGTCCAGGACATAGCAGTAAAACTATAAGAGATATCAACATGAAACTGTGTGTAGAGTAGATTATATCTCATGGGTAGAATATATGTGCAGTGCACAAGAATCATAACTCTGCATTGCCTAATTCTGGAGTTATTGCCCCTTTGTTTATTTTTACTTTTTAGAAGTTGTCCGGGACATAACTCAGATAACCATAAGAGATATCAACAAGAAACTTTGTAGGTTGAATAGATGACTTTGATTTAGAAGTGCAATGCAAAGAACAGTAACTCTTCCTTGCCTAATTTTGGATTTTTGAACTTTTTCCACGACTACAAAGGGTGTACTTTCCTGTGTCCAAAACCTATTCGGTGAGCATCACCCGGCTCAAACCGGGCTCTTGTTTCTTCTGTAATACACATGCGGATATATATGGAACTGATTCATACTTTGACAAAACTAATGTGACAAGACAGACCAATTAAAATTATAGAAACGAAACGTTAAGATTTGTTCAAACATTCTTTGTTTGTTTTAGAAAAAGTGAAAACTCGAGCCTTTTCCCCGCCTGGCGGTGGCACTTGTTAAGAATAAAAGCAGTTTGTGGGGGAATGGGAGTGGGTTTGATTGGGTTATATTCATTACTTTAAGTGATTGTTCTTATAATAATATAGGAAGGAAATAAAAAAATACCTGCCTATCCAAGCAATTGTCTAATTAACTTCCAAGAAAACAAGATTTGATACGTAAATTTTATGTTTGATTCCAGTTATCACATCGATACCAAAGGTGCGAGCTGACATTCGTGTAAACTACAGAATATTGACTTCTGCATGTAATGCAGCCCAAACGAATATACGAGTTCGTACATACGAGGAATTCCGTAAAATGAAGGATCTATTCACTGGCCAGTTTTGTCAGCAGGCAGACTGCACGGATATTACTGTATTAACTACTTGTCAGACAATAGAGCCGGGGAAACGTAGAAAGCGGCAGACGTCGTCTTTATCTAACTTCCTGCTAGAAATCACTCTCCCGTTTATTGATTCAAGGTATGAAAATCATCATAAAATTGTTACTGATTGGCAGATTTTTATCATATGAAATGTGTTTTTTCAGATTTTTATGATTTGAAATGTGTGTTGGCAGATTTTTATCATATAGAATGTGTGAACTTTACATATATACTTCTTGCTCACTTGACTAATTGTAAAGATATAATTATGTCATTGTTTCATATTACTTGCTTACAAAGGGGTTATCTGTGAGGGCCACTTGATGTGAAAATCCAGATATACTGCTGAACGTAGACGTCATCAGCCGAGTACCCATCTGTCACTGGATGTTTTGCCCCTTATCTTGGAACATCATCTAGATGGTGGGATAGGTAGTGTTGATCAAGTACTACCTTGTCTATGATGGCTGCCAGGTTGGTTCATTGCTTCTCAGCCAAAGCCAACTAGACGCTCTCTCTGTAGCTTTGCCAAGAGCATGTTCAGCAGTTTTCTGGGCTCCTCCTTTCATGTCCACTGCTCCCAGCATTTTCTAAACTGCTCCCAGCATTTTCTAAACTGACTGTGATGGAAATCTCCTGCAAACTTCTACTGGAAATACCCATGTCTTCCATCCTCTATCTCTACAAGTTTCTGCCAAGTCTTGATATTATCCCTTTTTGATCTCATCCGACTCTTCTACACTCTCTTCCCAAGGGACAGTGAGTTCTACCATTGGGATGTGAGTTACTTTCTCTGGGAGCTTTAGCTTCTTCCCAAGGTCTACAATCATTTCCCAGTTCTTGGAATTATGTAAATTGCTAGTTCTTGCTTATTTTGCAGACTTCTTCCCACCTCTTTAACGAAGTTGATAAAATATGGTCCTGTCTGGTTTAACGGTCTGACTTTCTTCCTCTATTTCTCCAGGATGTCCGCCATTTCATGAAGAACTTGGTAGTTGCGCCATCTGTATGTCTATGGGAAAGTGAGGTTTTACATGATGACAATGATCCTACTTTTCGCAAAGTGTGCGGCTGGGATTTTTCTGACAAATTCCATAGTTTAGGATTTGTCGGACAGGGTAGTAGGTCGTATACAGATCTGAGGAGAAAACTCAATTGAAGTGGCTCCTGCCAGTTTAACATCCTCTCTAATAAGTTCCACTTCATCTAGTTCTGCTGTGATCCAAGGTGAACTGATCTCAATGACCGTGTTTCATTTTCTGCTTATGCACCATTGATCTTCTCTCCACTTTGACAGAATCTCTCCATCGCTGTGTGCACCTGGTACCTAATCCTTCTCTACCCTTGTTTGTTGTTCCTATAATATCATGGAGTTTTGTTTTAAAATACTTTCAGCTTGTTTTTCTGCCTGCTTCACTGACCATTTCCTCCAAGTTCTTATTTCTGTGCCTGCACCACTGATATCATCAGACGAGTCCATAAGTGTAAGCAGCAGATGTGCCTTAGCAACTTTATACTCTTCAACCAGTAAGTTGAATGGCATCTGTAGTTTTGACAACCGGCTATATAAAGTTAATTGGGGAATGATGGTAAGAGGCCCAGCCATCCCCTTAAGTGCTTGCTAACCAACTGCTCCAGCTTCTCGAATAGACTGATAGGGATTTCATTGACCATCAATGGCCAGATAAGTCTAGCTTGTAGACCGTGCTGGACGACCCATGCTTTTAAATTCCCAGGGAGTTCTGACTTGTTTTTTCTCTTAAGCTCTTCTTCAACTTGCTGTTTTAGTCTTTCTTGGCTTTGAGTGGTAAGGTGGTTCCAATATTCCTACTATAATGTTGTATCACCCTTAGGATATGTTGCCTGCTTTTTTAAATTTGCCTTTTGACCTCTTACTGTGGTATGCAGGCTTCAAAACCTCTGATCCCCTTTCAAAATTCTATTTTTTGTTTAGTTCCACCTTGTTTTCTCCATTAGGCCACCCACTTTCTTTTACTTAGGGACCATACGCCGCTTTTCATGGAATGGCATGATAGTGTAACATTTAAAATTCCATGATATCCGTACAAACACATCTGCGGATGTTTCTAAATTCAAAATCCACCATTGCCATGCTTAAATATTGAATTCTGCTTAAGTTGGTGCTAGGAGGCATGGACGGTAGTTTGCACTTGACAGTACCGTCCATAAACAGGCTCAATCAAACCGAGCCTGCAACATTTTAAGTTTTGTCGTTTTGAACTTTCTTTAGGATTTCCTATTATCTCTTTTTCCCAGATGTTGTCTGTCTCTCCAGCGTCACCATCCTTTCTTAATTGTCATTCAGCCTTTTCTGAAAAACACTGGTAAACCAGCATGATCGGCCGATCACTTAATACATTGCACCAACATATATGCTACCAAGGTTAAGAGGCGTTATGACAAAAACTCATTTCTCAAAAACTGTAAAAGATATTCAAACTCGGTTTAGCTTTGAATTCTTGTTCACTATTCAAAATGGAATTCATTTCTGAAAGACAGATCAACTCTGTTTAGCTTTGAATTCTAGTTCACTATCTAAAATGGATTCTAGTTCACTATCTAAAATGGAATTAATTTCTAAAAGACAGATCAACTCTGTTTAGCTTTGAATTCTTGTTCACTTTCTAAAATGGAATTAATTTCTAAAAGACAGATCAACTCTGTTTAGCTTTGAATTCTTGTTCACTATCTAAAATGGAATTAATTTCTAAAAGACAGATCAACTCTGTTTAGCTTTGAATTCTAGTTCACAATCTAAAATGGAATTCATTTATAAAAGACAGATAAACTCTGTTTAGCTTTGAATTCTAGTTCACTATCTAAAATTGAATTAATTTCAAAAATACAGATCAACTCTCTGTTTATCTTTGAATTCTAGTTCACTATCTAAAATGGAATTCATTTATAAAAGACAGATCAACTCTGTTTAGCTTTGAAGTTTTGTTCACTATCTAAAAAGGAATTCATTTATAAAAGACAGATAGCCCTGAAGGTCACTTTGCCTTAAATTACCTCCTCTTATATTTTTGATGTTTTCTCAAAAACCATCATAGATTTTCACTTTAACTTTCAAGGCAGATTTTTAGAATTATTCTCCCTTTTATACAATGTACGTGGCTTTTATCATAATATCAATTACTGGGAAAAGTGGATAGCACTGTTTTTCAGACCACTTCTGTTGATATGTTTCTTGGTCAAGAACTTTCTTCCATGTCATAAGTTTCGCAAATACTTTTAAAGATTTTTACTTTGACTTCTTACATGCTTCAACAATCAAATTTCGAATTTAATTCTAAAGGCGGATAAACATGAAAATGTTTTTTTTTCTTTTTGCTTTATAATTTGCCTTTTTTTTCTATTACCTCGCAGACAAACTTCGAAGATATTTGTTTGAATTATTTATAAGCTAGTGGGGGCTAGTAAGTCTGTCAAACACTTTCAGACATGTCAATTGATTTGTTTGTAGGTAGACAATTTATTTCTGCAGTTAACTTTTTAAGGAGTACAATGTTTTGGTTTGTCAACATGTCACATCAAACTACAGTTTAGTTCAATTTTTATTACAATAAACTTATCATTTATAAAATTCTTTTTCTCTTTTTGAAATTATTTCCTGTGTGCATTTTGATCATATTATTGTTTAGATGATGTATTACTGCGTAAGTGTAATTTTTCAAATTAAATTGGTTTTATGTCCTGTTAAGGCCAAATTAAATCTAATAAAGCAAATTTGAAATAATTGCTTTTCACAAAGTGACATGGTGAGCTTATGTGATCGCTTTTCGTCCGGCGTCCGTTTGTGTCCGTTCGGCGTCTATCTGTAAATTTTTACTTTAAACGACATCCCTCATAAACCACTAGACCGCCTCCGTGGTCGAGGGGTAAGAGTCGATGACTTCTAATCCAGTTACCTCTCTGGCGTGGGTTCGATCCCCGGGAGATGCTTTGGTAGTTTAGCGCGGAGGAAGGTAGTCTAGTACTGGTGTAACTCTCCAGGAACGATGGTTAGGAAACTACCCGCCTATATGACTGAAATACTGTTGGAAAAAGGCGTAAAATGAAACAAACAAACAATCATAAACCACTAAGCCAATTTCATTCAAACTTCACAGGAATATTCCTTTGCTGGTCACCTTTATAAAATGTTCAAAGAATTTAATACCATGCAGAACTCTGTTTGTTATGGCCACCAAGGAAGAAAAAACTTAAATATCTTCTTTTAAAACATCCAAAGAGCTAAAGCTTAGATAATTTGCATGAAACATCTTCTAGTGAGTGTCTACCAAGTTTGTTTAAATAAAATCCCTGGTATCAAAATTGGTCCCGTCCAAGGGGGTCATTTTTTTCCTTATATTATATAGTAAAATCTTAAAAAAACCTTCTTTTAAAAAAACTCAAATAGCCAGAGCTTAGATATTAAGCATAAAACATCTTCTAGTGAGTGACTACAAAGTTTGATAAATAAAAGCCCTGGGGTCAAAAATTGGCCCCACCCCTTGGTCATTGATTTTCCTATTTATGTATATAGTAAAAAACTAAAAAAATATCTTTTAAAAAATCCAAATTGCTAGAGCTTAGATATTGAACATGAAACATCTTCTAGTGAGTGTCTACCAAGTTTATTTAAATAAAAGCCCTGGGGTCAAAAAAGGCCCCTGTGGGTCATTGATTTTCCTAATATTTATATAGTGAAAAAAAAAATGGCTTTTTTTATAAATAAAACAAATATCTAGAGGTTAGATAATTGATATGAAACATCTTCTAGTGAGTGTCTACCAATTTGTTAAAAAAAAGCTCTGGGGTCAAAATTGTTGTTCTTTGATTTTACTTGTATGATTATTATTACTTATTGCTTTTTGTGGTTCAATGATTTTTGTAGGAGCTATGGTCCTCCAATTATTTATTTTTTTTATAAATTTTATCTTAACTACTACTCTTTTTCATTAATGCAATTTCAATGAAACTTTACAGGGTTGATAAGCAGGTTAGTTCTTGTTTCTATTACAGGGGATTTTGCTTGAATGATATTTGGCTGGGTTATGGCCCTTGAAAGAAAAGGTTGTTAATAAAGTTTGTGGGGACTATTTGTCTTATACCACTAATGCAATTTCAATAAAACTTTACAGTATTGATTGGTAGGTCAAGTACTTGTTTATTAGACACAAGTTTTATGCCCGAATTATTGCCCTTGAATAGAAAAGGTGTTTTTTGTGTTGCCAGCTACACAGAAGTTTGTCAGGACTACTGCTCAGAAACTACGGTGCAGTTTCATTTAAATTAAGGGGAATGATAAATACCATGTTCAATTCTGCATATCATTAACATTTTTGGGTAATTGATTTTTGTCAGTTTTGGCCCTTTAATGATTATAATATTAAAATTTGTCTGGACTAATCCTGCTATACCACTAAAGCAATTTCAATAAAACTCTTCAGGATTTATCTGTAGCTCAATTTCTTGTGCATATTACACAGGCTTTTAGGTTGAATGATTTTTTGTCCCGTTATGGCTATCATGAGGCGGCACATGTGATTACTGATCGCTCTTGTATTATTTCACATCAGTAAAATAATCATAAGGTTTTATTTAGCTCACCTGAACACAAAGTGCTCGATTTGAGCTTTATTGATTGCCGTATGTCCATAGTTAATTGTCAGTTGTTGTCCACTTAAAATAACATTTCCACCTCATCTACTTGATGGATTTTGTCCGTTCTCTTTTGTGTTGCATGTAGCTCAAAAAGTATTTGACCTAGAGTCATGAAACTTTAGAGGAATATTTGTCAGCATGTGTAGTTGTGCACCTGGGTATTTTCGCGTTGATGTTTGCGTGTGGATTTATTATGTATTTTTAGAGGTATTGCCCTTAGTAAATATTTACAAGTTTCATTTTGTGTCGCGCGTAGCTCAAGTAATATTTGACTTATAGTCATGAAACTTTACAGAAATGTTGATAAGCATGTGAAGTTGTGTACCTTGTGTTTAGCTTGTGGATTAATTCTACTTTGTCAGAGTTATTGCCTTTGACTTAGTAAAAATTTCCAATTTTCAATTTGTGTCGCACGTAGCTCATAAAGTATTTGACCTTGAGTCATGAAGCTTTATGGGAATTAGGGTCAGCATGTGAAGTTGTGATTTGGGTTGTGAATCTATTCAGTATTTGTAGAATTATTGCCATTGACTTAGTTAAAATTTGCAATTTTCAACTTGTGCCGTGTATATTTCAGAAAAAATTAACCTCGAGTCATGAAACTTTACAGAAATGCTGGTTGGCATATGTAGTTGTGCACCTGGGCGTTTGATTGTAGATTTATTCAGTATTTGTTAGTTATTGCCCTTGACTTAGTTAAAACCATTTCAAAATGTTCTGTTATGGGCACCTTGAGTGCTTGACTTAGAATCAACCAATTTTACAGCAATGATGATCAACATTTCTGTGAAGCTGTGCACCTGGGGTTTTGCATGTGGATTTTTTTTTAAATTGTGTAAGAGTTATTGCCCTTGACTTAGTATATATTATAGACTTGTTCATGCTTAGCTCAAAAGGTATTTGACCTGTAATCCTGAAAGTATACAAGAATGTTGGTCAGCATGTGTAGTTATGCACCTTGGGGTTTGTTTTTGATTTATTTAGTATTTGTAGAGTTTTTCTAATTGACTTAGTAAAAGATTTTCAATTTTCAACTTGTGCAACATGTAGCCCAAAAACATTTGACCTAGAGTCAGTAGATTGACAAAACAGTGGCATGTGGGGGCACTCGTGTCCTATGGACATTTCTTTTTAACTTTGTTTTAAAGTCTTTAATAGATATTTATTATTTTACTTATTTAATATCTGACATCTTGAAAAAAAGTATAAATTAAATGATATTGATGATAATGTTTGACAATACGACTCACCGAATATCTAAACTCTGATCATTGTACTTTTAGAGAAGAAGATTTTAAATTTTTACCTTACAAGTTTATGTAATTTAGACGTTGAGTCTAATAGTTCAATTGTCTCTTGACACTGATTCTAAAATCATGTGGGTTTAGTAATCGGTCACTTGCAGCATAATGGTAGTTCAGGGTAACTTATTGAGACAATGGTAATTACTGGTTATAGTTAACCAAGAAAGATGGAAAGACAGCCAATGTATGACCAAAATTTTTTTCAAAAAGCAATAAAAACTAAAGCATAAACAAGTTGCAGTTCTAGATTATATTACAAATCATTTTTATTATTTTTAGAGTTGAATTTGATGGTGAAATTATTTCTTCAAAAGTGTTCTTGACCTACTTTATTCTTGGAGCTGGAGTTCTGAACTTTGTAAGTATCATTACAAATTGTGATAAGTTTATTACTTATGTGTCGTTACCAGATCTAAAGAGGCATTTACTTGAGCCTTAAAACATCTAATGGATCATTTTTAGCTTGACGTTTTCGAAGAAATTTTTTTTGAGCTATTGCAAACGTCAGGTAGTTCTTCCCGTTGCCACCCAGAACTTTCATGTTGTCATTATTTTTATGCCACCTCAGCATCTGTGATGCGGTGGCATATAGCGATTCACCTGTGTGTGTGTGTGTGTGTGTGTGTGTGTGTGTGTGTGTGTGTGTGTGTGCGTGCTCGTGTCTGTGTCTTTTATAGGTTATAAAGTGAACTTAAAAATCTTTTTTGTGAAAAGCCACTAGTCCAATTTCAACCAAACCTGGCAGGATTGATCCTTGTGTGAAGGGTTTCCAAAGTTGTTTAAAACATTCGATTACGTGTAGAAACTTGGTTGCCATGGCAACCAAAAGGAATGATAAGAATAAATTTATAAATTAGAGCTTTCATATTTGATATATCATCTATAGGTCGTCTACAAAAGTTGTTTAAATTTTGCCCCTAATGTCAAAATTGGCATTGCCCCAGAAAAAAAACAAAGACAGATAGAAAAAGTGAGATAAATATGTAAAAGAATAAGCAGACTTTGAGTTAAACCTTTTAATGATCATGTAAAATTTATGTATAAAATTACCATCCATAATGTCTCCTTAAAGAGTAATCATTGGTAAACTGGTGTTTTATAAAATAAATGCAAGAAGTAAATTTGTGGTTTGAATCCAAATTCCAACTTAACCTGCATTTTTGGTGTTTCATTTGTGTACTGAAAATCATTACTATTTAATGCCTTGTAAAGAGTTTTCTATTACCTAGAAACCATGTTTTTGTAAAAGAAAACAAAGTGGAAAAAGGTCAAAACTTTAAAATAAAGGTCTGAAGAAGACTGAACTTTACCAAAAATAATTCCAAAAAGTGAGGAAGTAACAAGTAACAGAATAACTAATAAGTAATAAAAGAATTGAAAAAGAGTTATGGTTGTGGGCAATTAAAGAAGTTGTGTTTTTTGTATGTTGCGTTTCCTTACAATATGGTTGACCATTGATGAAGTTTTATTGAATTACTCTGTAATAAATCCATAAAGAGTTATACATCTTGAGCACTCAATTCCTCTCATTGCGCTTGACCATTGTATGAAGTTGCATTGAATTCTAAACATTAGTTTTAAGTTATACTACTGACAAGAAAAAGTAACAAAGGGGAATAACTCTACAAATACTGAAGATGGAGTTATGGTTATTGTACAATGCACTTTCTCTCATTTTGCTTGACAATTGTATGAAGTTGTATTGAATTCTAACAAATAGTTTTCAAGTTATTCTCCGGACAAGGAAAAGTAACAAAGGGCAATAACTTTGTAATTAGTCAAGATGGAGTTATGGTTCTTGTGCATTGCATTTCATCTCACTGCACTTGAGCGTTGTATGAAGTTTCATTGAATTCCAAACATTAGTTTTCAAGTTATGCACTGGACAAAAAAAGTAACAAAGGGCATTGCACAAGTAACAAAGGGCAATAACTGTAAAGAGTCAAAAAAAGAGTTATGCTTCATCTGCACTGCACTTAATCTTACTGCACTTGACCATTGTATGAAGTTTCATTGAATTCCAAACATTAACTTTCAAGTTGTGCACTGGACAAAGAAAGTAACAAAGGGCAAAAACTCTTAAATGAGTCAAAAAAAAAGTTATGGTTTCTGTGCACTGCGCTTCCTCTCACTATACTTGACCATTGTATGAAATTGTATTGAATTCCAAATAGTACTTTTCAAGTTATGCTCTGGAATAGAAAAAAGCAATGGAAAAATTACAAAGGGCAGTAACTTAATAATTACTCTAGACAGAGTTATGGTTCTTGTGCACTGCACTTTCTCTTATTGTGCTTGGCAATTGTACTTTCAAGTTATTCTCCGGACAAGGAAAAGTAACAAAGTGTAATAACTCGAGTCATGATCGAGTTATGGTTCTTGTGTCCTGCACTTCCTCTCAATGTGTTTGACCATAATATGAAGTTATATTGAATTCCAACCATTAGTCTTCAAGTTATGGTCCGGACAAAAGAAAGCAATGGAAAAGTTACAAAGGGCAAGAACTCTGAAATTACTTTAGATAGAGTTATGATTCTTGTGCAGTGCACTTCCCTTTATTGTGCTTGTCCATTGTATGAAGTTGTTTTGAATTCCAATCAGTTCTTTTCAAGTTATGCTCCGGACATGGAAAAGTAACAAACGACAATAACTATGTAATTAGTGAAGGTAGAGTTATAGTTCTTGTGCACTGCACTTCCTCTCAATGTGTTTGACCATTGTATGAAGTTGTATTGAATTCCATTTATGCTCCGGACAAGGAAAATGCAACGGACGTATGGACCGACCGACCAAACGACTGTGACCGACCACCAGGTGACTTCTATATACCCCCAAACTTCGTTTCATGGGTAAAATGAGGTCTCAAAGTAAGCTTGATAGATGCCACAGCTTTTAAACCTGTTTGTATATCAAGTTTGTGATGACAATATCTCATGCATAAACAATATTTCTAATTTTAGTAACAGTGACCCTGACCTTCACCCATGGTGGACCAAAAGCAATCCCCAGCAATCTCTATATAAGCTTGCTATATACCAAGGTTCATTACAATATCTGACTTGGCTCTAATTATCTTCTAGAAACCTTATTTCTAGTTTTAGTAACAGTGATCTTGACCTAAACCATATGGAGCCAAAGAGCAATCCAAAGAGAGGGTTTCACATAACCTTGCTATATACCAAGTTTGATTACAATTTCTTGAGCCAAATTAGATATATTGTAATCAATCATGGTATATAGCAAGCATATACATTGTATAGAGATTGCTGGGGATTGCTTTTGGTCCACAATGGGTGAAGGTCAGGGTCACTGTTACTTAAATTTGAAAGATTTGTCTGGACTATAGCTAGATATAATTATGCATGAGATATTGTCATCACAAACTTGATATTTACACAGCTTTAAAAGCCGTGGTATCTATCAAGCTTATTTTGAGACCTCATTTGGGATTATTTTTGGTTCAGTCTTCTTCAGACCACTATTTTACAGTTTTGACCTTTTTCACTTTGTTTTCTTTTACAAAAACATGGTTTCTAGGTAATAGAAAACTCTTTACAATGCATTAAATAGTAATGTTTTTATGTACACAAATGCACCGTGGGTAAGCAACTTTGATCACGTGACCACAAAAGCCAACGTACACGCCAAAATAGCTCAGCTGAGGTAAGTTTTTTAGTGATTATTTTTCTATCGAGCCAATTCAAATTATGATTCAAAGTCTACCGACCGCGGCAGTTCCGATGCTTTCTAAAAATGTATTTGATGTCGTCAAACGTTTTGTATTTTACGAGATCTGATTCAAACAATGTTTACAAATTGTCGATGACAACGTACACACTATTGTGTAAAAGTGTTGATAATAACTTAAAAAACGATATGCATCTCAGTGCTGAGTAAAATTTCAGGTCTTAAAATATATGAGAGAATGTTTTAATAAAACAAGAACTAGTTTCCTGCTGTCATTTTTTGTATTTATTTAATAATTGACCAACTTACAGAAATGTCAACGTACACAAACTGTCTAGAAAGTGTCAACGTACACACTCCCATTTGAGTTTGGTAGTGGTCTGAACATGAGGCTGCAACTTCGAAATATGTGGCTTTTTCCAACAAAAAGTTGGCTTTCAATTTAGATTGCCCTCTCAAACTGTATAAAATTCCTAATATTTTCAAAGGAAATAGTTTAAAGTGCATTCATTTCATCGCAAATAAGCTTAAACAACCTTTAACATTTTTATGTTATTTATTTGTACTTTTGTTGTTTATAAGACAAATTTCCAGTTACTCAAACTGCTTAATGATTAGCTGAAACAGCCGTTTTTATAATATATACTGGATTAATATAGATCGTATCACAATATAGATCGTAATTACAGTCATCTTAATTGCGTACACAGCCAGGATAAGGGTCTCTCGCTCAACCAACTAGTGCCTTCGTAGTAGCAAAAGGTGACGATGACGTCGAGTTACAATTTTATATTACCGGTTTTTCAGCAGTTGCGTCACTTGATCCATAGCTATGATTACATCACTAATGTTCTATTAACATTATATTTTCAAGAATATATCTACTTGCACTTGTTATGTTAAAAATATCTTATAAACAATTCACAATTTTATAGGTTGGTTAAGGCAACAAATTACCCTTTTGTTAAATGGTTAGTTACTAGTACCAAGTTTCTAGTAAAATGCTTTTACTGCTCAAGAAACCAGTTACTGGAAAATGGTTACTAGTAATAAATTTACCGGAAAATGGTTTCTAGTAATAAATTTACCTATCTTATTTTGTGCGCAATGTATGAGCTATAGATATGAATCAATGACATTGTTTAAACATTTAAAAAGTTATATCAAGTACCACAGTCATATGACCCACTAGTAATCATAGAAATGCCACAATTTATATTGAAATGATTATTATAATGCAAACATTGTATCGACATTTTGCTCAAATAAAATGGTTTGCTTGAATTAAAAATTTTCATTGCAATGCAAATTATTAAAATGTATGCATTTTTGTTGAATACATATCATAGACTTGTAAGTAAGTAGACATGGTTGGCAAAATTTGCAGTTAAACAAAAAAGGCAAAGAAAACAGTAAATGCAAAAATACATATTAAATAACATGTCTATAACATGTGGAAATTACATAACTAGTGTAAGGAGATATATTATTGAAAAAATAATGTTAATAGAACGTTCATGATGTAATCATAGGGTTAAAGTGACATAACTGCTGAAATACCGGTACTACCTATAAACTAACCACTCGGCGTCATTGTCAACCATTGACAACTTTTGTTGCTACAGAAGGCACTAGGTGAGTTGAGTTTTCGTCATTAAATGACTTTAAAATGATCTAAATTAATACAATATAAAATTGCTGTTTCAGCAAATCATTAACCAGTCTGAATAACTGATTTTTTTCTTCTAAAAGAAAATCACAAAAAAACAACAAATAAATAACATTATAGAAAAGTTAAATTTAAAAGGTTGTGTAAGCTAATTTGTGATGATATGAATGTATTTGCAACTTTTTTCCTTTGTATAAACCTGTACATATATACAGTTTGATAGGGCAATCTAAATTGAAAGCAAACTTTTTGTTAGAAAAAGCCAATTTCTCCGAAGTTGCAGCCTCGTGTTCAGACCACTATGAAACTGAATTGTGAGTGTGTACGTTGACATTTTCTAGACTGTATGTGTACGTTGATATTTTGTCAATTTTTGAATAAATACTAAAAAATCACAGCAGGAAACCAGTTCTTTTTTCATTAAAACATTCTCTTATATATTTAAAGACCTGAAATTTTACTTAGCACTGACATGCGTATCGTTTATTAAGTTTTCATCAACACTTTTACACAATAGTGTGTACGTTGTCATCAACAAATTGCAAACATTGTTTGAATGTTCTCATAAAATACAAAACGTTGGACGACATCAAATACATTTTTAGAAAGCATCGGAACTGCCGCGGTCGGTAGGCTATGTACCATAATTTAAATCAGCTGGACAGAAAAATAATCACTAAAAAACTTACCTCAGTGGAGCTATTTTGACCGTATACGTTGAATTTTGTGGTCACATGACCTAAGTTGCTTACCCACGGTGAAATATAACACCAAAAATGCAGGTTAAGTTGGAATCTGGATTCAAACCACAAATTTACTTCTTGCATTTATTTTATAAAATACCAGTTTACCAATGATTACTTTTTAAGGAGACATTATGGATTGTAATTTTATACATAAATTTTACATGATCAATAATTATTTAATAGGCTTAACTTCTGTTATTTTATACATATTTACCTCACTCTTTGTTTTTTGTGTTTTTTTTTTCTTTTTACAAATATATTTTTTTTACTAAGATAAAAGTTAACAGATGATGAAACTCTTTTTACAAGGCAATTAATTGTAATAATTATTGAAATACAGATGAAACATTATTACATATAGGAATAGAGTTAAAGTTTTACTTCAGACCACTTATTTTCTTTAAAAAATTGATATGAATCACCTTTAGTGATAGCTGTAATTATCAATTTGCTTCTGATTTTCATTTTTAACAAGAATGTCTTTTGTTTTATGTTTACTAAGTTATTTGAATTCCATTTTCAATATTTGCTTCTTTCAGGACACAATTCCAAATTTGACCTTCCTAAAAGAAAACTTTGGGATAGTTACAACAGAAAAATGTCCAGATGGTGAAGTTCTCAGAAATGGACAGTGTGGTAAATAAAAACTACAAAACTATAAAAGCAAATGAATATATTTTGTTTCAAGAAAATTAATCATTGGAGCACAAGGCATTGAGAAATGAGCCTTTTTTTTGTAGCATATTTTCTTTCAATTGTGAACAGTCATTTGTCAGTATGTACAAAACAATTGAATCACATGATGTATTTTGCATGAGCTTCGTTGAAATGGTGATTTGGTGACCTTTTTCTAAGGTTATATGAGTAATGAGTAGTTCCAATCCTCTCCTCAGAAATTACGATAACCTAACCGAAGCTTAGATCTTTGTCATGTAGTATTTCCACGTGCCCTTGGATTCAAGGCCTATTATTTAGTTTACATGGTCTTTAATTGGAAAGCTCATTAAAATCTTTTGTGAAATTACAATTCCCATAACTAAGAGATTTTGCATGCAGTATTTCTAGTAGACCTCTACAAAAGTTATATTAAATTTGCCTCGGATGTTAAAATTATCCTGCCCTGAGGTCACTTAGTTTACATTGCATTATGAAAAATACACTTCAAAAAGTAATGTGATCAGAGCTTAAATATTTTGCATGTGGCATATTTTTGGTGTTGTCCATTTAGGTTATTTAAATCATACCCTTGGAATTTAAAGATGAGCTTTTGCGGCATAATGCCATTATCATAAAAATGCTATAGAAATGTTCCTTGTGTGTTCCTCTTTTACAATTGGTGAAACAATTTCAATTATGCAGAACTTTTGTTGCCATAGCAACCAGTATTGGTTGCCATTGCAACCAGTATGAAAGACTTCAAACCTCGACATCTGGAATCAAGGTCATTTATGCTAAAGTAGATTTCTGATACAATCCTATTTATTTAAAGATGTCTTATGTTTGGTAGGAACATTAAACCTATGGGTGTCCTCTAACATTAGAAAGAGTTATTGGGTGAAATCTTGACCTTTCCTTCAAAATTGAGTCTAAATAGGGTCACATACATTTTACACAAACACACATCAAAATCCTTTAAAAAGTTTCTCCTCTCACAGCACAATACCAAAGAATTGAGATAGTACTAGGTGTGTGGCATTGTATTGTTATCTTTTCTATTAAGTTGTTCGTTGTTGATAATGAAAGATTGAAGGGATTCCAATATCAAAATGCTAAAACCAAGGACCAATAAATTAACACCACCAAATTGGACCCTACTGAATTCAAAAGGATTAGGTGAGAACAAGTTATGAAGTTTCTGTATAAATGATTTTGGGAATGCATTAAAAAGTTCGTCAAGCTTACTAATTTTTTCAAAAGGGATTTATGGGATGTCCATTGCCGAGTGATTAAGATTGATGATTTTAAACCAGTTGCCCTTCACTACTATGGGTTTGTATCCAGCCAGGCATTTTGAATTCGTTCATAAGAGGAGGCTACCTTACGGAACGTCGGGGGTTCTACACAGAACACAGGTACCTGTTTGTGCCTGAAATAGTTCACAGAGGAGCACCTGAAGTCTTCCTCCACCAGTAAAGCTGGAATGTTGCCATCTTAAGTGTACTGTTTTGGTGTGACGTAAAACGAACCAAAAATAATAAAAAAAACAAAAAAGAGGGTCTTCATCTTACTCCTTTCTCTCAGTAAGAAATATATTCCATGTGACTAAAGTTCAGATCTACTGATTTCTTCCATGTGCTTCTGATGACGACTGTATATGTTTCACCTTATTTATAATTCGGATTTCCCAAGAAAGCTTTATCAGGAATCAACTTCATACTTCAAAAATTAAAATTCCTTCTCAATAACCACATATTATGTGACAAGGTTCATAACACTAGCACCAATATTCCAAGAATGATCTCCCCTTGAACTTAGTTTTTTTCACTTGAAAAATCTTATTATACCCCCGCACAACAAAGTTGTAAGGGGGGTATACTGGAATCAGCTTGTGGCTGTCCGGCCGTCCGTCGGTTTTTTCTTGTCCGCCCAATAACTTAAGATTCCTTTGACCTTCAGTCTTCATATTTGGCATGGAGGTTAGTCATGATTAGTAGATGACCCCTATTGATTTTGAGGTCACTAGGTCAAAGGTCAAGGTCACAGGGGCCTTGACTTCAAAAAGCTTGTCCGCCCAATAACTTAAGATTCCTTTGAACCACAGTCTTCATATTTGGCATGGAGGTAAGTCATGATTAGTAGATGACCCCTATTGATTTTGAGGTCACCAGGTCAAAGGTCAAGGTCACAGGGGCCTTGACTTCAAACAGCTTGTCCGCCCAATAACTTAAGATTCCTTTGACCCACAGTCTTCATATTTGGCATGGAAGTTAGTCATGATTAGTAGATGACCCGTATTGACTTTGAGGTCAACAGGTCAAAGGTCAAGGTCACAGGGGCCTTGACTTCAAAAAGCTTGTCCGCCCTATAACTTAAGATTCCTTTGACCCACAGTCTTCATATTTGGCATGGAGGTTAGTCATGATTAGTAGATGACCCCTATTGATTTTGAGGTCACCAGGTCAAAGGTCAAGGTCACAGGGACTTTAACTTCAAAAAGTTTGTCTGCCCAATAACTTTAGATTCCTTTGACCCACAGTTTTCATATTTGGCATGGATGTTGATCATGATTAGTAGACGACCCCTTTTGATTTTGAGGTCACTGGATCAATGGTCAAGGTCATAGGGACTTTGACTTCAAAAAGTTTGTCCACCCATTAACTTAAGATTCCTTTGACCCACAGTCTTCATATTTGGCATGGATGTTGATCATGACTATAAGGTGTCCACTATTGATTTTGAGGTCACTAGGTCAAAGGTCAAGGTCACAAAACAAAGCTTTTCTTCTTAATTGCTAAAGAATGTCCTGTCCGCAATGTATTGATTTTGACATTTTCACATTTGAAGCATGTAGAATACATAACTTAGCAATGCACTGGCTTAGTAACCTCAGATTTGGCAGGGAGGTTGTCCTTGAGCTCTAAATGGCCACTGTTGATTCTGACAAAGTGGTATGCGGGGGTATTCACGCCATGATAGTGGCAGTTCTAGTTTTCTTTCTATAACTTCTTTAGTTTTAATGGTTTAATTCTACCTCAAACTTCAAATACATAGTCCTTATCATCAACCACATCTTATGTGACAAGGTTTATAACTCTTGAAGCAATATATATCTCCCTTTGAACTTGGGTTTTCTTTAAAAAATATTATAGCTTCTTTACTTTTCAAAGTATCTACTTCTTACTTCAAAAAATATTTATATATCAACACACATGTTGTGCGACAAGGTACATAACTCTAGCATGACTATTTTCAGAATTTTTCCCCTGTGAACTTCGAATTTATGTTAACAGATGTTATCTTTTTATAATAGATTAGTGTCATATGAATAAAAGTTATAAAACGCAAGCTCCTGTATTCCCAGAATTATCTCCATTTTATTTTTGAACTTAAAATTCATTTGTAAATTGACTTTTTTAGTATTATCTTTGTTATTATAAATGGTATGTACTCTAGACTTATTATAAATAATCTTTATCATTCCTCACATCATGCATGACAATGTTCATAACTCTGGCATCTTTTTCAAGAGTTATTTCCTCTGTTAACTTACAATTTTACTTTAAAAACTTCAAATTATTTTTGCTCTTATCATTTTTTGTTTTTGAAGGGATTGATTTCAGATTTCAAATCGCTGTCTTTTGCATTAAAGCATACAAATGTCTGTTTGACATTTATTGACAAGATCATTTGCATATTATGTTGTGAAAAATTTAGAACATTTGAGTGCTTTCTTGATACTGATACAGAGATATATTTATATCATAATTGTTTTTTCTTTCATTGTATTGTCTTTCTTACTGCGTCCAGTATTTAATTAGTCGGTCTTCGATGTCTTCCGTGATAGCTCTTGTTAGCCATGCAATAAACTGGTTTTTAAAGATAGGCATTAAAAGAAGTATCAAAATACCGTTATCCATGGAAAATAAACAAATTGTTGAATCTTGTTAGAAAAAACTGTTTGAAGTAATTTTAACAAATAAGCAACTTAATTATGATAAAGTCATTTTAATGGGCAAGATTGTTTTCTGTCGGCTATATAGATAATGTCATGTTTGTTCTCGAATTCGTTAAAATTACCCACTCAGTCATGGGTTTTCCGAAGGTTTAAAATTAGAAATTGCATCGCTTTCAAAATAATGAAAGCTCGCCAATGATTGGTAGTTTGAAAGACCACAAGGAGGTGACTGCCTATAGGGATTGTTAGATTCTAATTCGTAGCGTAATTAAGGGGCTAATTTTAATTAGATTGGAAATATATTTAGCCAATTTAAACCAAAGGTGGAATGTCCCTTAAAACTCAGTTTACTAAGTACGGTAGATCAAAAGGAATTAATGCTAATAATGTACCTTAATTATTGAAATTTGATAGAGAAGACACAAAATTACAAATAAATGGACCAAGCTTATGGCAGTTAGGATTGTAAGTCGTTACACTATTTCAGTTGAATGTGGACCAGGTAATTATTTCCGGTATAAAGACATTACCAACACAACTGCTTTCTGTGATGATTGCCCTATTGGATTTTACCAAGACTTAAGTGGTAAGAAGAGCTGTAAACAATGTAGAGCTGGACTCACGACTGAAATGACTGGCGAATTCTCACCAACTAGCTGCAAAGGTATGAGACTCACTGTGTACAGTAAATTCAACCTCTGCAAACCAACAAAGCTTTGGTTTTTTACCTGACATTTAATGTTCTTTTAAGATACTAGGTAAAATCTATGGTGAAGTCTTACTTTTTGGGGGAATTGATACTGTTGTGGCTCCACAGAAGGCTGTTCTTCAGAAGTTGCTTTAAATTCCTTTTGTATGTCCCCACTTAAAATGTGGAGAGCATACTTAAATGTGTTGGTCTGCACTACCAAAAATAAACAGGAACCCAAATATAAATGTAAACAGAACAAAAGAAGGCAATAGAGTTCTTTCCGTAACAAGGGAATATTTCATGGGCCAATAAAAAATAAATAAGAAATGGCCTCTTATTCCATTTTGGTTGCATGACTGTCATACATCTTTTTACATCTTGATATTGAGAACTTTGTAGAGACATCGTCCATGGTCAGTAAATGATCTGTATCAATTTCAAGATCATAAGATCAAATGTCAAGGTCATTGTTACAATGGGTAATATCGTTTCTTTGATCAATTACTCTGATATAGAAATAAGCCTAAGTTTTTTCAACGTGATAGATTTTACTTACTGATTTTGAGAGTAATCATTAGTAGGTCATAAATCAAGGTTATAGTAACAGATTGATTTACATCCTTGTCTGAACTATTCTTTTAGGAGGAATTAATTAATCCATATTTGTTCAGCTTTTTTTTGGAATGGCCATTTTATGGTCAGTAGGCTTTAAGTATGATTTTGAGGGCACAAGGTCAAAGGTTAAAATCTTTGTCTAATGGAATAAGCCTGACTATATATAATTTACTACACACATTGTCAATTGCCCTTATATCAACTGTTATGATTTTGAGGTCAAAGGTCAAGGTAAGCAGAAATGAGCCTTAGTTTGTTCACCTTCAAAGGGAAATTGCCTATACACAGCAGATAAACCCTTTTGACTTTAAAGTCATAGGGTCAAAGGTGGTCAAGGTTACAGTCACATTTGTGTGTGTGTTTTTAATGATCATTTACTTGAAAAAAAATAACAGGCTTAAGTATGGTTAGTTCAGAAAGGTCATTTCCCATGATCAGTGGATGGTGCCTTTTGTTTTTGTGGCAATAATGTCCTTACCACAGTGACACTTTATGTTAAATCCTTGTTTTATAAACAAAAATTCTTCAGTCATATGTTTACGAAAGATATTATGCCCCCTTTAGATAGTCAACGCATATTGTTACAGGGTCAATAAGTATGTTTGTCAGTCAGTCCTTACATATGTCACCTCTTCATTGTCCTTGAGATATTACAGAATATGATATTTTTTCGTTTTGAATAGCAATCCACGGTGGTTATAAATGGTTCATATTTCTTTCACAGTATATCTGTGATTAAAGTGATGTACATTTATATGCCCTGGATCTTTCTCTACAAGTTAAAGGTGAAAACCAAGAACGTTCTCTGTCCCACATTCCACAATAAAAGGTTTTCTTTTCTTACAGATTTTACAGTTTTATATGGAATCGTGCCCAGTACAATATTATATTTAATGTTTCTTCTGGTTCCAGCATCCTGCCCAATTGGACAATACTTTGACAATAACAGAAACGGTTGTCAGCCATGCCCTATTGGCTACTACCAGGATGAAGTAGGTCAGTTCAGATGTAAAGGATGTAATGCTGGAGAGACGACAAAAGAAAATGGCTCGGTCTCCTTACAAGCATGTTCATGTAAGTTATTTAATACAATTCAAGTGGCTGTAAGCATTTCAATTATTATAGTAAAACAAGTGCTTAAGCCTTAGCTTCATTTCAATTTTGTAAAGTTGAATAGAAAAAAATGTATTGAAAATAGACATATTCAGTTAAATAACAGTTTGGTCAACTCTTTAATATTTTGTGCTACAATTCTAATTTGTTGCAATTTTTAATTTTGTGATCTAGAACTTGAGCTTATATATTATAAACAGCAATGTTACAGCTCTCTCAAGTATCAATCACACATATCTCATGGAACTTCAAGCAGTAATGATACTATTCCTACCCTTAATCTCTAAAACAGAAACAGAGATTTTGTTCCCATTCCTTAAAATATAAAGAAGAACTGTATGTCTGTCAATTGTTTGAAGCTTTAAGAAAACTCTAAATTTGATAGGTCTATGTTTCAGTATTGGGTAATACTTCAGACGTAGGGGGATCACCAAAATCTAATGAAACTACAAATACGCTTGTTGCAGTTGGAGTGGGTGTTGGAGTTGCAGCAGTAGCACTTATTGCTGTTTGCATCATTTTTATATCAAAAAGACGCAAGAGGTAAGGAATTAAACATTTCAGTATCTTAAAAATTATTTTTCTAATTCTTTATGTAACATAATTATCTTTGATAACAAACAGTATATGTTAATTCTATGTTTCTTGTTGGTATATTGAAAAAGACCACTATAACGATGACAGAACAACAGAACTTATGATAGAAATAAGACTTAGCACTACTCTTTACACTTCACGATAATTGTAATGTAAGTTTACAATAATGACCCTTGAATCTTCCTCTACTTAAGTTTTTCTTTAACTGCTCCAGTCTTCTCGCCAGAGCTAAAAGCTACTAGTAAGTGATAAACTTATGGGTTGATCTCCTGAACCGCCGGGCAATTTTCAAGTATAATATTTAAATAAACGAGAGAAAAACAGAATCCCTCAAGAAAGTCCAACACAACAAAATTTAAAAAGAAGAATGACTTCTTCTCTCTTCATAGGATGTTTGACGGATGAAAATGAACAATTTGATGATAAGTGTTGTTCATGTAAACCATATCAATAGTTGAGTGATTTGAGTGATTAACAGCTGTTACAGCATTCTTGCATGATTATATGAATGAGCACCAATTTGTTCATAGTGGCATAATAGTGTATTTTCGGTGGTAATACATGCTCTGTGCATCTAAAGATGAAGAAATGAAAAAAATGGAATTAATTATTTTGTGATTAAATAGTTTAAATATTTTTTCAGTATTTTCTATAATTTGTACAAATTATTTCAAATTGATACAAGTATATAGCAATCAAATGTAACTTCAATAGTTTTGTCAAAAACTTCAAAACTGTTGAGAAATATATAAATCATTAATTGAGATACAATAAAGTTAATTATTTTGTATGCTACAGCAGGATGTCAAAAACTGCAACCGCAGCAACTGCACCCGATAACCAGCTATCACGAACAGGTAAATTTATATAATTTAAATAATAAAGCAATTGTTCTGTCTTTTTATATAGTTCTTTTAATTGACTGTTAGCTTTTTTACTGGTCCAAAACTTTATTTTATGTTGGAATTCTAGATTTAATGTTTGGCACATTGAGGCAAATTTGCATATGCAAGACTCAGGTCAGACTTTTCTTGAAAGAACATTTTAAATGAGTGCATGATAGCTTTTCTCTGATGGAAATTTAACATGACTTGCATTCATTGAAGGCTGCCCTTCCTTGTCAGCTCACCAGAACGGATGGTTCAGGGTAAACTATTAGTATCAAAGGAGGATGGTCTATCGTCCGTCATCATGCGTCAACAATCATCTTCTTCCCTGATACTAATCGGCAGTTTTACCTCAAATTTGGTCAGTAGCATAAATGTGACAGTCACATTTGAATTTGCGCATGTCATTTCAATTGGCTTCTTTAAGGGGTCTCTAGAGTTAAAAATAGAAAAAACTTAAGACATCTCAGTCTACAGAACTAATTGATGGATGATCACCAAACTTTTTCTGTAGCATCCTTGGGAAGTCTGTTATCAAATTGGCTCATATGAATTTGATTGGCCCCTTTTAGGGGTCTCTAGAGCTAAAAATAGAAAAACCTTAAGACATCTTCTACAGAAGTAATTGATGGATGATCACCAAACTTTGTCTGAAGCATTCTTAGGTAGTATTTTATCAAGTTTGCTCATATTGATTTGATTGCCCTTTTCAGGGGCCGCTTAAGCTTAAATGTCCCAGGCCATGGCATTTATTATGCCCCCGCCATGTCATGGCCGGGGCATATAGTGTTACCCTGTTCCGTCCTTCCGTCATTCCGTCATTCTGTCATCATCAGTTTCCGTTCATTATCTTAGTAACGGTTGCACATATTCAATTCAAATTTGACATATGGATATGTCATGAGAAAATAGAGGTCAAGTTCGAATTTGGTCATGGTTCGATGATTTTTGGCAGAGTTATGCGCCTATTACTTTGAAACAAATATGAAATTTTCAGTTTCCGCTCATTATCTCCCTAAGCGTACAACACATTCAACTCAAATTTGACATGGATATGTCATAAGAAAATACAGGTCAAAGTCGAATTTGGTCATGGTTTGATGATTTTTGGTAGAGTTATGCCCCTTTTACTTTGAAAATAATATGAAATTTTCAGTTTCCGTTCATTATCTCCCCAACGGTACAACACATTCAACTCAAATTTGACATATGGATATGTCATGAGAAAATAGAGGTCAAGTTCGAATTTGGTCATGGTACAATGATTTTTGGCAGAGTTGTGCCCCTTTTACTTTGAAAATAATATGAAATTTTGAGTTTCAGTTCATTATCTCCACAACGGTACAATTAACACATTCAACTCAAAGTTGACATATGAATATGTCATTAGAAAATACAGGTTAAGTTTGAATTTTGTCATGGTTCGATGATATTTGGCAGAGTAATGCCCCTTTTACTTTGAAAATAATATGAAATTTTCAGTTTCCGTTCATTATCTCCCCAACGGTACAACATTTCAACTCAAATTTGACATATGGATATGTCATGAGAAAATACAGGTTAAGTTTGAATTTGGTCATGGTTCGATGATTTTTGGCAGAGTTATGCTCCTTTTACTTTGAAAATAATATGAAATTTTCAGTTTCTGTTTATTATCTCCCCAACGGTACAACACATTCAACTCAAATTTGACATATGGATATGTCATGAGAAAATAGAGGTCAAGTTCGAATTTGGTCATGGTACAATGATTTTTGGCAGAGTTGTGCCCCTTTGACTTTGAAAATAATATGAAATTTTGAGTTTCAGTTCATTATCTCCACAACGGTACAATTAACACATTCAACTCAAAGTTGACATATGAATATGTCATTAGAAAATACAGGTTAAGTTTGAATTTTGTCATGGTTCGATGAATTTTGGCAGAGTAATGCCCCTTTTACTTTGAAAATAATATGAAATTTTCAGTTTCCGTTCATTATCTCCCCAACGGTACAACATTTCAACTCAAATTTGACATATGGATATGTCATGAGAAAATACAGGTTAAGTTTGAATTTGGTCATGGTTCGATGATTTTTGGCAGAGTTATGCTCCTTTTACTTTGAAAATAATATGAAATTTTCAGTTTCTGTTTATTATCTCCCCAACGGTACAACACATTCAACTCAAATTTGACATATGGATATGTCATGAGAAAATAGAGGTCAAGTTCGAATTTGGTCATGGTACAATGATTTTTGGCAGAGTTGTGCCCCTTTGACTTTGAAAATAATATGAAATTTTGAGTTTCAGTTCATTATCTCCACAACGGTACAATTAACACATTCAACTCAAAGTTGACATATGAATATGTCATTAGAAAATACAGGTTAAGTTTGAATTTTGTCATGGTTCGATGATTTTTGGCAGAGTAATGCCCCTTTTACTTTGAAAATAATATGAAATTTTCAGTTTCCGTTCATTATCTCCCCAACGGTACAACATTTCAACTCAAATTTGACATATGGATATGTCATGAGAAAATACAGGTTAAGTTTGAATTTGGTCATGGTTCGATGATTTTTGGCAGAGTTATGCTCCTTTTACTTTGAAAATAATATGAAATTTTCAGTTTCTGTTTATTATGTCCCCAACAGTACAACACATTCAACTCAAATTTGACATATGGATATGTTTTTGGAATGCCCAGGCCCAGTTCGAATTTGTTCATTGTTCAATGATTTTTGGCAGAGTAATGCCCCTTTCACTTTGAAATTAATATGAAATTTACAGTTTCTGTTCATTATCTACCCAACAGTGTAACATATTCAACTCAAATTTGACATATAGATATGTCAAAGGAATGGGCAGGTCAAGTTGGAATTTGGTCATGGTTCGATGATTTTTTTTTGGCAGAGTTATGTCCCTTTTACTTTGAAAATAATATAGATACATCTTAGGAATAAGCAGTTTAAGTTTGAATTTGGTCGTGGTTCAATGATTTTGGACAAACTTATCTTTCTTGAATATTGGAAAAATTTTGAACTTTCAGTTTCAGCACTCATACTTTTGTGGAAATGTATGTAGCCATTATTTTGGCTACAAATATGAAATATGCTATTTTCAAAAGGTTAAGACTGAATAATTTCAGTGCCTTGAACATTGTATAGAAATGGTTTGTGTTAACATTGAAAAGTTTTAAGGGCTTTGAACTTAAAATGAAAACAATAATTTGTGCAACAAATTTTGAACTAAATAGTATAACATCTGAAATTTTGGCTGCATGCGGGGGCATCCGTGGCATGATGACACATTTCTAGTTCAAATTATAGTTTAAAGATATTCTGTGCTCAAATTTGATAGAAAAAATATTGAAAATGGATACACAGTCTCTTTATAAATATAAAATAATTGTGTTTTGACTTCACAAAGTAGATATCTTATGTTTTAAACTCTTCACACTATAGGTGGTCACAGTACGAATAGGCCTATATAGTGTCCTCAAAAAAACTGGCTGGGGTTTTTTTATAGAAAAGACCAACTTTACTTGGCCTATAATAGGGAATGCAGCTTCCCATAAATAGTTTATTCATTCTTTTATCCAAATTAGACATATTCAGTAAGAATTTCATAGATTTCAATAAATTTCTATGATGAAAATATTTTACTCAAGGATGAGCTTAGTATATCTTTCATAATGGAAGGGGAACAACTCATTTTGGAATGTCTTCCATACATATGTACATGTTATGCAATTTTTCCAAAAAAGATGAGAAAGTCTTAATGTCATGAGCTGTTTTTTAAGAAATGATAAAATGATGGGTAAGATGAGTGATCTGGGGCCATCTTAGTGGCATATTGTTTATTATGAAGAAAAAAAACAATCAGTGTTGTGAAAGTTTATAACCAAAGGGGCAGGTTAAATTTGAGCTGAACTTGCCAAAAGAGCTAGGCTTGCCTTTCAACAAGTTCATTTGAATTTTTTTCCCCAACACTGAAAAGCAGTTGTTTCTGGTGAGCGATTCAGGGCCATCATGGCCCTCTTGTTAATCTAAATTTTCATATATTGTGGCATTACATGACTTGACTGGTCTTACAGACAGAATCATGTCCCATGTCACACTTGTATCTTTAAATTCATATGATTGTTATCGGCCATTAACATTCCTCAATCACAGATAGATTTTGAAATGATAATTGGGGAAGAACTATTTATTTATTTGAAACTGAGCTTTGAACTTACGTTATGTTATACGAGTACTTGGAACCATATCTACGTAACCATAGATCCATGTAATTTAAAGTTAAAGGCATTATAATATATACAAATGATCAAATACTGTCATACTACTCAACATTTGATAAGGACCGCTTATAAGATTATGCTTATTCCTTACATAAGGTTGAAATGTTAATATTTGCTTCTTTTTTTTTTATTTGTTTGGGTCGTCAGACCAAACAAATAATGGTAGCGAAATTTCAGACCCTGATGTTCATATTTGCAAATGCCGAAAGTAGTCCAAACTCCTTGAAGCAGTTACTTCCCTTCATATGTACATCAACGCCGAAAAATTAAGGGGAGATCACTGCATAAAGATTGTCAAATGACAGGCGCATTTATTTTTGTAGCATTCCAGATTGGTCGAAGATTTCTGATATTGTGTTATTCTTATAGATATACATGCTAATATTCAGCCACATGATTATTTAATTCAGTGTTAACAGCAGGTTTACTGTGAACAAAATATATCGAAATAAATAAGGGTTATAGACTCTAATTTAGAATAATATGGTAGTCTTAAGGCTGTTATCTTATAACTCCCCATGGTCGAGGGATTAACACGCTCGCTTTGGAATCGAGAGGTCTTGAGTTCAAATCTCATCATAGACAAATCATGTTTTTTTAAGTCCCCTACCGGTTTAACTGGAGGGGACTTTAGGTTTACCCTCCGTCCGACTGTCTGTCAGTCCGTCCACAAAACAAAACTGGATCCCGCGATAACCTATGTTGAAAATTCTGGTTGCTATTGCAACAAATAGACTGAAAATTGGCAAATTTTACACATAAACTGCATCCAGTGAGAACTCAAAAAGTACTAAAAAATATTTTTATGAAACTTGATATATGGTTAAATGGCAGTAAAGAGATTATGCACATCTTCTTCTTATCTTCCTATGTTGAAAATTCTGGTTGTTATGGCAACTAATAGACTGAATTTCAAAATTTCTGAATTGAATTTTTACGCTTTTTCACTATAAGTTCTTTATTTTTTAAAGTGTTTACTTCAAACTTTAAATTTAAGTTTCTTGTCATCAACCACGTCATATGTGACAAGGTTTACAACTCTAGCACAAAAATTATCAGAATTACCTCCCTTGAACTTAGATTTTTTGATAAAAAAAATGTTGTCTTTTTTAAATTACTTCTTTATTTCTTAATGTTTCTACTTCAAACTTCATATATATGTTTCTTATTATCACTCAACATTTGTGAGAAGGTTAAATACTCTAGCAAGACTATTTTTAGAATTATGTCCCCCTTGAACTTTGAATTTTTGAACTTGATTTTTTACGAGAAATGGGTATTTTTTCTCCAACTTCTTCATTCCTTATAGGATTTACTTTAAAATCCCACATCATAATAATATGACAAGGTTTATAAATCTAGATCCATATTTCCAGAATTATCCCCTCCTTAAACTTTGATTTTTTCTTATTCATTCTTTAACTTTCTTATTTCTTCATGGATTTTCTTCAAATTCAAAAAAGGCATTCATTATCAACACCTTCATTATATTTTTGTTTTTAATTTTCATCTTTGTTACTTACTATACATTATAGTTAATGCCATATTTGAAAATTGCTCTTTTTTTACTTATCTTCTTTGTGACTATAAATGGCATCTTTAAATTTAAAGTAAAAGTCACATCAATGTTCATAAATCTAGCATCGTTATTTCAAGAGTTATCTCCTCTTTAAGAATTTTGTATTAAAATATGTTACATTTTGGTAATTGGGATGTTTAAAAAAAAAACTTAAAAGTCACCTTCAGTCTATCTGTCTGTTCATAAAAACTGTTCCCTGAGATCACTTTTAAAAAAAATTTCCAACAAATTTACTTCAAATAGAGAAAAGTTGAAACATTACTTATACTTATTATTCCTGAGAAAATTGGACCTTTTGATTATCTGTTGTATGAACATAATTTCCTTACTAGAACTCAAAAGATTTAAATTCATTTATGTCATTCATTCACTGGTAAAATTGAATGGCCAATGATACAATAGGATGTTGCTGGGGTTCTAATAGGTAGGGGACTTATGGATTGCTTGCAATACTATGATAATTGCTTGTTTTCATTTTTCTTTTCTTTTTTTTTTAATTGTTTAAGTCAAATAAACATTGAATTGAATATCAGTGTTGTAATTAGTCTTCTAGCCAATTTACTTTATAGTTTTAAAACAGCATTGGTGACACTATACAAACAAATTGGTTTATAATTTCACAACCTACACCTTTCTGACATTCTGAGACCCAAACAAATTCAGCGCCTTCTGTGCTTTGATTTAATTTGTTTCATTTGACATCACCTTTTTGCCAAAAAAGGAATGAACCGACAAACTGTTTAAAAGGAACAGTCGTGAAAACTAATGATAGGAGCAATAATTTAGGATAATATGAAAATGTTAAAAAAAATGAAGCTTTTTGTACAAAACATTATAGGATGCCTAAATTTCCCATTAGTATCGCGTGTGGTTGCCATTTGTTTGGATTACTGCTCGGCATCGCCTCTCATACTGCTAAAAAGCCTTCGAATGCTGTGTTGAAGGATTTGAGCCCACTCTTTCAATAGTGTGTATTGCAACTCTGGAACCGTTGTTGGCTGGATTGGTCTAAGATATTGCAGTCTGCAGCAAATTCCATGCATGTTCAATTCGATTAAGGTCTGGGGAATTGCCGACAAGTCCATTCTCTCTATATTTGCTGTCTCAGGTACTTGTTGGTGACCCGTGCACTGTGTGGGTAGGAAAAGTCGTTCATCAAAATGAAATCAAGGCCTATAGCAAAGGCGTATGAACGGATATACACATTGAAGACCTCACTGAAGTGTCATGCAGCCGTTAATGCAGTGTTTTGAATGATATACAAGTCCGTTTTTCCCTGCATGCTAATATCCACACACACCATAACTGAGCCCCTGTAATAAAGACCATGATTAGCAACGCATACTGGTGCGAAATTCTGATCGGACAATTTCCATCCCCGGATTCGTCTATCAGTGACGTCCAAACAAAGTCTGGATTCGTCAGTGAACAGTTCTAGTGTGTTCACCTGTCGTGAGACCACGCCTATTGGAGATGTGCCTGGATTTGGTTATGCCTCAACAGAGTTTGAATTGTTGGTCATCTGACTCTCAAACAAGCTATATTAAGATGGCTTCTGATTGTTTGCTTAAAAATTCTTACGCCAGTGGCATTGTGAAAGTCATTTTGCAGGGCAGAACAAAGCGCCGACTTTGCGCTTCACGACAATAAAGTGGTCATCACGCCAAGTTTTGACCCTCTCAAGACCACCACTATGTCCATGCCTGACATTTCGGTAAGGTCAAAACCGTTCCCTTACCCTTGCAACTTTGCTGTGGGACACCCCAAGGACACTTGCCACATTCCTTTTGGAACGCCAAGCCTCAAGCGTTCCTTTCCCCTTATTCTCCCTATTCATGTCTTCGGCGTCGAGATACTTATTTGTAAATAGGCAATTTCCAATGCTAGCTACCATGCTCAAGCAAAATTTTATTATAACAGATGTGTATATGAAGGTCATTATTTTCAACATGAAGTTTTAATGTGAGATTATACAAAACTATGTCATTTCCAAGCGGATATCTACAAGTATTCTATCATTTCAGCTGTGGTAAAAAATGACGCACTAATTCGATATAATTATGTCACTTTTCACATTTTCGAGATTTGGAACTCAGTCCGCCCACTTAACTCATCTTCAGATGGTTAATAAGATCCTTGGACAAGGGTTTGTACGTGGGTGTGTCAATGTACCCATTCCAAGCGAAATATTTATAAACTTTTGCATGAATAAAACAATTAAAGGGACTCCACTGAGGTTTAAAAGTCTAAAAACATAACATTTGAATTTCTTACATAAATAAGCTGGGGCACTTTAGACAGAAATATATGCAAAGATAGTTAAGAAATATACTTTGAAATAATTGAAAATCGTATTTATATGGTTTTCTTAGTCCGATTTGAGTGAAAAGCGTGTAAACGCTTTTCATTTTGGGTCATTTATTTACAATGTGAATACTTATTCTGGAAAAACGAAGTGCGCGAATGATCTGAAATTTTGCACAAATATTAGAGGTCTAAACCCACATCAAATGGTTCATTTATATGGGAAAAAAGTTTCAGTCCCATCGTATCAAAAAACCTCAGTGGAGCCCATTTAAAGGGGCATCAGCTAAGGCCTTTATACATGATGGGGCTTGAAATAATTTTGGGGATTGCTATACCATTTGATATTTTGGACGAATTACTTGTGTGCAAAATTTCAGAAAATTGACATTTTCTTCATTTATTCAAACTAATCATTTTTACTTTCACAATTGTGGGCTTAGAATTTCACACACCTTCAAAAATTGATTTTCAATGTATTTTCTTGTTCTCTGTCCTTTTAAGTGCCCAAGTTGATGATCTTAAGTAATTATATTTTAAAATCTTATATGTTTTCTATGCTGTTGGGCCTCAGTGGAGCTTATATAACATTTACTTCTGATATATCAATAAATTAATATATATTTTTTAATTTATTCATGAACATAATGCAAAAACAGACAGAGAATCATGTGTCCCATTTTTTTGTTTCATTTTATTACCTTATTCTTGTTTCAGAGTTTGAACAATCAGAGTCGCCAGACTCAGTATATGATGAGTTACAATCAGTCAGCAATTACTCACCTACATACAGCCGGTTAGAAGGCAATGGTGAACAGTTGCCTATTAGAATGCCAGACATGAACACCAACCTTGCACCTGAAACATCCTATGAGCTGCTTCAGTTAAGATCAAACGACCCGAGCATGTATGATAACCTATATAACAACTATCTGTGACTTTACATATAAACCAAACAATTGTGGAATTCTTATAAATGGTGTTTCAGTTTGTGTGCAGACATATATGAATTGTGAATAACAGAATTTGCTATATTATATAATATACTACTAAACAAACTAGTATTTGATAAACAGTGTTTCCTTGTAGTGCCGGAAACGCGTTAAGAACGTATCAGTTTGCTGTAGATTGAATATTTTAAGTTTATGATCATTTTAATGCCGCCGGTTCGATAAAAAACGATGTCACACCATTTTTGGTGTGTTTGGATGTTTCCTACAAAAATTTTACCTTGACCATAACATAGAAATGTTTCCACTCAAACTTCCTTAAACATTAAAGGCGCATTCACCTTGGTGAGCTCTACTTGGCAGACCTCACAAAGATCAAGGTCAAGGTCCTCATGGGAAGGTGACGGATGAATTTGATTTGAATCTTAATTAATATTGTTCATATATCGAATCCAATTCAATTGTCTTATATCTTTAGCTCTTTTTAATGATCCTCAGTAGTTCTTAGTAATGTGGTAACAAAATCACAACCAATCAAATTTTGTTACTTGAGACGTGCTATCTCTTTATTAAGGTGTCATTACAGCAATAATATTTGTTTTAAAGTTGTCTCGCATGGCCATTTGGCGTTGAACTAACGATATACTGTACATCGCGAACTGTGTATGGTCAGTAACGCAGGAATGTGAAAATAACGCAGGAATTGCGCAAAAGTAACCAGAATTGTGTAACCGTATTAAAACTATTTCCAGGAGTGTTTTACTTCTATATCATGCGTGAGGACGACAACCTGGCTAGCGTACTGAAGGCGATTTTTGAGCTTTGTTATATATGTATATACATTAACACTTATATAATTTTCACCGTCATATCACTTTGTTGTCTTTGGTTTTGATATTCGGCATACCTATGACTTTTGCCAAACTATACGCGTCAGGTAAAATATGATTGAGACCATTTTTACAAACGTAAACGTATTTTACACGGTGTATAGCCAAAGCGGTCAATGTCAAAAACGCGTTGCTGAGACATCATTCGTTCCCACAACAATTACTAGTATCCTTGTATCCTTCGTTCCATTCTTGATAAAAAGAGGCAGATACCACAAAAGATGATGTTATTTCAGATAGAAAGTAAGTATTTGAAAAAAAGAAAGAAAAATGCTACCGACCTACATTTATAAAAAAATGACGAATGGGAATTAAAAGGCATCCTTTGATCCAATGTTTGTCTATCAAATATGAAAATAAGCGTTTAATTTGTTTGTCTGAAAGTAAAAGATATAAAGCGAAGATATTTGTCATTGCATTAGCTTCTAGATATAGATACAAGTGTTATAATTATTGTATGATAATCCGGCTAGTCCGGGTGAATATATTCTTTCACTGAAAATAAAATAGCATGAACATATTTCAAAACAGAAAAGAAAAACCTAATGTGATAAACATGTTGCATTGTTCTATAAAACTTGCAGGAAGTGCATGTATCTTTTAAATATAACGGTAAAGGGTCAACTCGGCCCTATACCAACTCCGCACGTGTCAACTCGGCCCTCTATTAAAAAAAAATATTAGGATATAGAATCTAGATTGTTTAGTTAATAAACCGTTCAGGTGTAAATTACTATAAATGTAATTTAGGGGTAAATATAACACATTTATGTTAAATATTTTGTCTACTATAATTTCTTATTTACTCAAAGAGAACGATATCTGCCAACTTGTGCGTGTTACTTCACAGACACTGTCACTTTGACTATAATGGTCGTGTAGTGGTAGATGGTTTAGCAGTGATAACATATATGTGATAGTGGCTATGGCTTTGGACTTGCTGCAATGAACATTTCTGATCATTCTTTAAAATTAAAACAAAACAAAAAGTGCATTAAACAGTCGTTCAAACCACGGCGTGTTCAAACATAGTGGTGGCACGAACATTATGCGGTGCTAGAAACAAACGATGTCCGAATTTTTTTGGTAACTGGAAAAAGTGTTTAAAACATAACTTTCCTTCACTGCAGTTCTTTTGAAATTTGTTTTATAAAAGTTTGATTATAAATATTTTCTCTGCTGTTCATAAATATAATTGGCAAAATAATGAACTAGGTAATCAAAATACCTCCAAGTTTCTCCCATCTACGTGTGGATGCCCAATTTGTTTTTTGTTCTTTTTTGTTTTTTTTCACAAACACGGATCTTTGAGAATAATAAAATATAATTCATAAAAATACTGAATGCCTATTACCTTATACAGTCTGAAGCATTGTCGTTTTTACTTATATTTTATTCATACAGAAAATATACTTACTTTTTCGAACCCACTCATACCAGTTATTCAGTATATAACGACCGTTGGTAGACCGTTGTCTGCTTTGGCTATACACCGTGAAGTAACGCCGACTTCGTGAATGATGGAACCGGAGCAATGCTGGTTTCCTCATAAAATGTATCTGAATAATATTCAATGTGCCTCCTGGGACATAATGTAATAATTATAATATGATATTTGACTATTGTATGACTCTAGTAGTTTAGCAAATATATAAGGTATACTGAATACCAAAACAATAAAGTTTTAAATGCATCATTGTACTTATTTGCGAGTATATCTGGGTTACTGATATGAAGTAGTTTAAACTGACAACACTTCAAAACGGTAGTCAGGTCGTCATTCCACAAATTATCTCTCAAAGTAAACGTATTCCTGGAAATATGTGTAATGCTGGTAAAATATAATGGCATAGTCCATATGCAATTATTAATTTCTTTTGATTTTATTTACGTTAAATATTTTGGTCCGTTTACTTACCTGGTTACTCGTTTCGGCCATAGCTTTGCACAGCTTCGGCGTTACTGTTGCACTATTCATGTGTTATTTTCACATTCCTGTGTTACCGGACGGTACACGTTGCCGTAGAATATGCATGAATTGAAATGCATTTTCCCAAAATCATAACGATGAATATGGATTAAATGTCATAATGAATTATTAGTCAAAGTAATTTGACGTCTTGATCTAGATTCTGAAGTACATTTTAAACTTCCAAAGAGATAGGTGTCTTAGAGGTTTGTCTCTGACAATTTGTTCCGTCAGATTTCAATACATGTAATTGGGTTTATATTTGGCATATTATGAAAATATTAAATCACAAACACGTCAAAGTTCATTTTTCTTTGCAAACAATTATTTATAGTTGCTCCATTTATGTGAAAATTTCAATTGAAATTATTGCTGGATTTGGCTTCTGTAGAATTTCAAGAATTGCGTTTGTATTTGGTTTGTAAATACATATACATGTATTTTTTTATCAAAACACAGAATAAAATCTTTTTTCTCCACATTAATTTGTTATTGCTGAGTAATGCTCATTTTATGCAAAATTCCTCGTGTTTAATGCAGCGTACCTTTTGATTAATTGTTGCAAATTTAAAATCAGTTTGTTTTTTGTTTTTTTCAGACAATTTGAAAAAGCCACTGTAATTTTTCTCTTTTACGTCAATGAAACAATAAATTTGCTATTTATCTTTAATACTGTTTGTTTAGGTCAGACTCTTGTAGCTGCGGATTTATTGCCCATGTATGTATGTAGTCCATGCTTAATGAGGATCCATCCGCCCGGTAAGGCACAAAATGCAGCTTTCGCCGTCGAGTACGGACCCCGGACATGTCACAGTCATGCCCTTTAAATAGTTAATTTTGAAGCACAAAGTGGTGATAATTTACCTCCATGTAATTTCCAAGGATATGAATTTTGAGTCCAAAGTAGGTCACTGTACGGCGATCAATGAGAACCTAAATTTAATGTACAGTAACCCGAGACAATAATGAAAGGAGGTAACCCTTAAAAGGGCTGTTGATGCCAGAAAAAGACCTGCCGTTAAAGTCGTTTATCCGTGCTAGGGGCTCACGGACCCTAATACATCGAGTACGGACTCGGCATTAGTCAGGACATCGGCAGCTGGTCCGCAGTACAAGTTTCGATCTTTTGCGCCGTCTTCAAATCTTCTGCCGATGCAACCAGTTTAATTGCCCTAAATAGTCATGTCATGTACAGGTGACGCTATGTGTTACGTGTTAAAAACAAAGTCTCCATTCGTATTAATTTTTATTGTCACAAAAGTTATATATAGATAAATAGCTGAACAAGGACAAAAACTAGATCAAAATATACATCTAGTCAAAACATTATACACTTTCACCACAGGAACTTGAAATTCTATCAAATAACCAATATTAATTATAATATCCAAATATACCCCCTATATACTATAAAAAAAACGTTTTTTTTATAGTATATAGGGGTATATTTGGATATTATAATTAATATTGGTTATTTGATAGAATTTCAAGTTCCTGTGCTTTCACAAATTGTAAATTTGTTTAACAAACTAACACCAAAGCAAAGAATGGTGGGAAAATATAAGCATAAGAAAAACAATGAATAGAAATCTTAAGATCTGTTATTGAGACTGACAATTTTAAGCAAATCAAAAATAATAATTTTCCTGACCTCCAAATAACAGGAAATGAGATTGATTACCTCGTCAATATTAATCGAATCTTTACGGCCCTTTGGTAAGGATTATGAATAATCGTCGTTGTGATCCTATTGCTCCAATTTATCGGAAGTAAATGTGACAACAAACTGCCTACTTTGTTTGTATTTGAGTTTATTTATACTCGCCACCGGTTGCCCATATGGGCGAGTCCCCCAGAAGAGTATTTAACATTTTAGATTTTTGGAGGATAGTGCAAGATACAGATATAGAGAGATGCCCCAATTCCAGAAGCTTTCCTGGTTCTTTTACGTGCCAAGTGTACACGGGACCTCAATTGAAAGTCTCATTCGAAAGACTGATTAGTTGTTTTTGTTGGCCAGCCCGGGAATCGAACCCACAATGTCGAGAATACAAGTCTCGCGCTCTAACCGATTGAGCTATGTAAGTCTCGCGCTCTAACCGATTGAGCTATGCGGGCTGGATAAAAAAACTGCCTACGGCCGAAAAGAAATTAATATAATTTGAAATATAATATTCTTGATTACTTGTAGGTAAAACATTCATATTTTTCTAAGCGTTTTAGAACAGAAGCACATTTTATATCTTATAACGTAAGAAAATCTTAAACTCTGCCTTGAGTGTGGACAATGTGTGGACATGCAGATATATGAACATGCATTGTACATTTCCAGAGACTTCAATGACTGTTACATAAAGTCCCGTGACATTTTCAATTTATTAAATGTTTATACATGTGCATGGATAAAAGAATAGAATACATGACATGTATAAATTATTTAAGATTCAGATTCATTATCAATCTGATGGACTCTCTTCTCTTTGCTCCGGCGTTGATCTTTTATACCACTCTAACCAGGCCCCATCATAAACGCAGGTGTCCGTCTTTCCACACAAAAAGGACGCCAGCACCAGACAACACGCTGTTACACCTGTAACCATAATAACCGTTACTATGGTAACAATATTCTTATAGCTCTTATAAACTGAGGATAAACGCGATTTCTTTAAGAAAAAAAAAACATTTTTAAATAATTACAATTTAGATAAAAAAAAATCAAATAATGTTTGCCAGAACGAAGTTGGGTTATGAATTCAAGCGTGGACTTTAAAGTACTTTTATGCATTACATTAAGCTTGAGATGGAAACTTACTATAGAACCACAAACATTCTGATCGCTCTGGCCAAATTCCACATTCAGGAAAAGGTGATTTGAACATAACAACATTTACAAATTTACGTTAAGACACTCTCAAACAAACTTGCGTACTCGGAAACATTCTTATCACGCATATGCGGAACGGGACTCCAAGCACGCTAGAAAGTATAGTATTTACATTGAGACCTTTAGGGCAGAAAGAGAACCATTTATCCCCAATATAGAGACAGGAGTGCATTCCTGCGTAATCTATGCTGAAAGTATATTTTCATGTATATACTGTCAGCAGCGCAAATTCCAATTTTCATCTTGATATCCCCAATAAAATGGATTTAAAAAAAGGAATCAATTCCAAATATGGTAGCTGAAAATTCAGTTAAGAAATTCAGCTGGAATAATGTTAACATAATACATTCTGTAGTCCAGAAATGTGCTTTGGTTTGATCATGGGCCTCCCCTGAATGACATCTATAATATAAAGATGGGTGTGAAATATTAACTTGAATACATGTCAGTTGGATGTTGTCATTTCCGACTACTGCGCCTTATTCAATTCAAGTAACAAGTCAAACTTAAAAAGTCAATATTTTACAGATGTAAATAAAATAATGTAATGTGCACATTAGAAATGGCGATATTAAGTGTGCACATTTATGGAAGCGGCGGCGTTATGATAAAGTTATATGCCTCTCTTGAGTGTCGTGGTTCGAGCCCTACAGTGGTAACAGTCGTTTTACTTTAGATACCAGGTCTGCCATAAAACCAAATTTAATAAATAAATAAATAAATAAGTACAGATTATATAGCCCATGCAATGAACTCTCTTCAATACTAGTAACTTACACTAATTGGCTAGGTGGAGTAAAATGTAAATTCACAAGCAACATAAAATTACGGTTGATTAACATGCAACATGACATATAACATGTAATCAAACGATAAATGTTAATGGTTCGGCCGTGGGTATCCGACGATGAAAATTCATATAGTATATGTCAAAACTAAAGAACAAAACAGTAACATCAATGGCCGTATTTAATCGATTTGTCGAAGTTGGCATCCTTTTTACTTTATATCAATATATTATTACGTCGTCTTAAATATTTTCCACGTTAGCCACCAGTCAACGTAACACCTTCAATCTAAGACACACAAAGTTGGGCATCAGCCGATACTTTGTAAAACCAGCAAGAATTTTAACAGACTCAGGCAGAAAATCCTAATGTAGATGTAGATGAAATCTGACCTTTTAAAAATATTCAATAATATTTACGTTTGTAAACTTGTAAACTTAAACACGTTACACACCTGATCCACATGATGCAGTAAGAGGTTTGTCAAGGTCAACTCCAGCCTCTGTGAATACTTGCTTCAGCTCATCTGGACTTTTCACCGCACCATGATTAACAACTTGCCCATCTGGACCATTATACGAACAGAGTATTTTCGGAAATGGTATACTTCTGGACCCTGGTATGTGACCAGGTCTACAATCTAAAATAGATGCGATAAGAACAAAGTAAATATTGATATTGTTTTAATGTTACCTTAAGATGGGTAAAGCCACCATACAGGTCTGGACATCATTTGCATATCAAGGAACAAATACCGAGAACCGTTTCTCCGGGGCTGGATTTTTATGTTACGCGGTATAGTATAATATCCTTATAGCAAAGATACTTATCAGTCACCAAAATGTTTCTCATATACTAGGGAACAAAAGCCATTGTCATATAGAGCATTTAAATAACGCTGCGTAATTGGAATTGGCAAAAAAATGATCTCTCCGGCTCAAACTTTTCTTAAATTTATCTTATAAAGCAAAAATCAAGTAGATGGATGATCGATGGATGATTCCCAAAGTCGCTTTCGCAAAGTTAAAACCATTTCCTTGCTATGAAATATTGATGTTAATAAATAATAAATAAAATAGTCCAAATGGCATGATGCAATAGAATTAAATCGTATCCAAGGGAACGGTATTGTGTAAGGAAAAATCGTCAGCCGTATATGACAGTCATACTGCTAGTAAAGTTGAGTTAACTGGTATTCCCACGTGACAGCATGCAAACAATGAGTTATATCGTATCTAAGATAAGGAGCAGAACCTTTTAAAAGTTCTAGTCAAAATAAGCAGAAACACAAAAATGACTGAGAAAAAAAATCATTTACGGAGTCATTCCAATCAGCGCAGAAAGGTTAATTAGCACCAATTAAGTATACTGTCCTCGCGAGTTCAGTAGAACTTCAGTTGAGGCACGTGTTGGGTGGGAACTTGTTTTTTCATGACCGAAAGGTTGACAGCAATAGTTCAGATGTCTTTAGATACATGTATTCCATTTGCTTTATGCACCACAGCTAAGGTTATTAAATAACTACCAGCTTTACCACATCAGCCCTCAAATAAAGGATATTTGAGCCGCGTCATGACAAAACCAACATAATGGGTTTGCGACCAGCATGGATCCAGACCAGCCTTCGCATCCGCGCAGTCTGATCAGGATCCATGCTGTTCGCTATCAGTTTCTCTACTTGTAATAGAGCTGGTAAGCGAACAGCATGGATCCTGACTGCGCAGAGGCTGGTCTGGATCCATGCTGGTCGCAAACCCATTATGTTGGTTTTGTCGTGACGCGGCTCATATATGTGCATCGTTTAAGTGATGACAAAACCAACATAACATAATTCACCGAGAAATAATTTTGAATTCAGAACATTTGGGTTTTCATAGTAACTTAGTTATGTCACTCTTGTCTCTGTCTATGTAAATGTCCTTGATTAATGTGAATGCCACAAATTGCCATTTTACATTGTGCTAAAGCGAGCTTTAATCATGCATTTGCAAGAACCTCAATAAAATGAACTGAAGTATGATTTAGAATAGATTCTTACTGGGAAGACATGCAGTCTTCCTATGTTCTAATAAAAACACAGTATACGAGCATTCATTATGCATTCATAATTTCATATATGTACACTATGCAGACAAAAAATGAATGAAGTTTATACAAGTTTTGCAGCATTAATACGCAAACAGATCAGTCATGGTGTCAATATAAACAAGACATGCCGTAATTGAAAAATATAGTTTCATTAAAGTAAATATACTATACTTTAATTCACACATCATACTTTTATTCAAACATCATAAGGCTGAAGCATTTCATTAACTTGACCCCACTGCTAATTTTACGTAATTCACCCTTGCTTAAATGATTTGTCACAAGTGGCATTTCCATTTACAAGTATGCAAACTTGTACTTAGTTTCCTTCAGAAATTTAGCAAATTGCCTTTATATGTTTAAAATTATATTCAACAGGATTCTCATACAATTATAGTACTCTACTTAACGCATGTGCTTTAATTATATCAATTATTTATCTATTTAAACTGAGCTAGTTACTGGAAACTGAAACAATTTACCTTTCCTTGGCTCTGGGTCAGTTCCATGAAATCTTCCTGCTGACCTAGCATCAATTAACTGAAATTTCTGACTAGTTATGTTTTCCGCAACATCCTCGAACGATTTTATTAGATCTTTATTCAATTTGGCATTAAATACTTTCCTCGTATGGCTTTCTACTCCAGTGGCAACTGGAAAACCAGCATCTTTCCATGACCTTAACCCTCCTGATAGTATTGATACGTCTCTGTGTCCGAAGACATGGAAAGTCCACCAAACACGTGGAGCTGAAAATAACGCAAAGTCTGGATGAGCGTTATAAACTACTACGCTAGTGTCATTATCAATCCCGAGATTGCCAACATAATCTGCAAACTGTGACTCTGACGGGAGCATGTGCTCGTATTCAGATCTTGTCGAGCATTCGTCAATATCAAAGAAAGCGGCACCCGGTATATGACCCTCTTTGTAAACCTCAATTCCTTTCTTTCCGTAGGAAGGGAGGAACCAAGTCGCGTCTAAAACTTTAATTTTCCTAGGAAAATTTGAAATGCATTCAGACAAAGCCTTAGCAGTTACAAGAGTGTTCAGTTTAAGCATGGTTGCAAACAACAAATCCGAAATTAAATATAAATGTCACTTTGACAGTTCACTGTTTACATATTTTACACATGTACATTAGGGTGTCGCTTAAACATGGAAATTATTTATAATTTTTAACTATATATCATGGAGAGATTCTGAAACAAATAAATTTGTTATGTTTTCTTTGTATCATTATTATCAAAGAACAAAATAAGGATGACAAGATGTAAGAAAATTCATAAAATTATGTTTTAATTTTATATTTGACATAAGCGATGTTTTCCATTAAAAATGCGGTATGCCTAAAATACGAAAGTGAGATTTTTGACGAAAGTGAGCGAAAGTGAGCGAAAGTGACTTTTAAAATAGTAATTATAACATTTAAATAGACTTTTTTTAACAAACTTGCAGTTTGTAAACATATATTATTAGAAAATAATTATATTTATTAACAGAAATAATCATAATGATGATTTAATCGCCACTTATTTGCATAATTTCTATACACGAGTTCTTATATCTTCCTTTCGCTCACATTGAAAAATACGAAAGTGACTTATAAAATATTAAATATTCTGTTTAAATTGAATTTTTACTAAAATTACAATTTGTAGATGTATATTATCAGAAATTGATGATATTTATTTTCAAAAATAATCATTATGATGATTTAATCGCTATTTATTTGCATTATTTCTATACACAAGTTCAGAGATCTTCCTTTCGCTCACATTGAAAAAATACGAAAGTCACTTCAAAAATATCAAATATAGTGATTAATTTAAATCTATATTAATATAACAGTTTGTAGACGTATAGTTTTGGAATTTGATAATATCTATTTTTAAAAATAATCATTATGATGATTTAATCGCTATTTATTTGAATAATTTCCATACACAACTCCATAGATCTTCCTTTCGCTCACATTGAAAAATACGAAAGTGACTTATGAAACATTAAATATGCCGTTTAATTTGAATGTATATTAATATAACAGTTTGTAGACGTATTGTTTTAGAAATGAATAAAAATACTTAAAAATCATTATGAGGTTTTAATATGCATGCATTTTCATTAATTTCTATATACCACTTTCAGAGATCTTTCTTTCGCTCACTTTTGTATTTTCAATGTTAGCGAGAGGAAGCGAAAAGTGATTTTTAAAAATATCAAAATATAGCGTTTAAAATTGCATTTAATATTAATAATGCAGTTTGTAGACATATATTATCAAAAACTAGTTTTTTAATCAATATGATTTGATCTTCATTTATTAGCATAATATTTATACACAAGCTCAGGCATCGATCTTCCTTTCGCTCACTGTGAGCCTGACGAAAGTGACTAACAGAATATCAAATATAGTGTTGAAATAGAATTTCATGATAGTATTGCAGTTTGTAGACGTATGTAATAAGCTATAGTAACTATCATTTTTATAAAACTTAATATGTTAAGATGAAAAATGAAATTGATTATGTAAACTATAATTGGCAAAAACATGAATTATACAATGCGCGTTAGGGCTCCGATTTACAGTTCTCAATTTCTTACATCGTCTTTTTCGGGCAATTTTTAATTTTTGATTAGGGATGGTTTCCTTACATTTAATATTCCGTTTATATATTACATTGTAATTAATACTGTTTGATTCTAATCTAACAGTAATAGGTCTTGAATGTGTTTCTCATTATTATAATGTCTCTTGAAATTCTTAAATGGAATGGTCTTATGTAGGTTTTATGTGAATTATTTATATATGTTTAAAAAAATGCATGTATACGAACGAGACAAAATAAAATATTAATATGTTTACGTGCAAACACGTGTTGTCATATCATTTCGCACCCACTTTAATTGATAGTAATCACGACGGTGACCGCATGACGCTTTAATCCCAGTAAAGTATTATCATAATCCAATCATCGGTATGTAACTGATGACACTTGCCCGTTGTTTATTGAGTGGACAATTGAATTAACCTTCCTTCTGCACCACCATAGATATCTTGCGCGGATTAAAGTGGCAGTTATTATGCTCATCCAGGTGTAGATGAGCGATGTAAATGTTAATTTGAAAAATAATTTTTAATTTGCCATCATTGTGTGAAAATAATATTTCACTATGAAAAAGGGGAAATAAGTAATCCACGGAAATTTCTATAAATATCATACTATATATATCGGTAAAGTTCAATCTTTTTATTAGCTAGGATTTTTTGTTTTTGATATTTTGTGCTAGTCATTTTCATCAATAGGTCAATCACTATGAAAACATGAATAAAATGAAAATGACTCATTTATTTATTTATTATAAAAAAACCATTAATATCGTGAATATTGACATTCACTTTTGTTCGATTAAGTTACTTTCGTATTGTTCAATGTGGGCAAAAGTGAGATACACAATGTATCTGAACAGGTATATAGCAATTATGAAAATACATGGATATAAAATCATCATATTTATTATTTATTCATTTTTTTAAACATATTTTATTCATTTCTGAAAACATGCGTCTTTCAGCGCTATATTTGATATTTTTGAAGTCACTTTCGTATTTTTCAATGTGAGGGAAAAGAAGATCTTTTTAACTTGTGTAATGCAAATAAATGGCGATTTAATCATCAGAATGATTATTTTTAAAAATAAATATAATTGTTTTCTGATAATGAACGTCTACAAATTAATTGCAATATTAGTAAAACATTCAATTTAAACGGTATATTTGATATTTTGTAAGCCACTTTCGTATTTTTCAATGTGAGCGAAAGGAAGATCTCTGTACTTGTGTATAGAGATTATGCAAAATAAATGGCGATTTAATCATCATAATGATTATCTTTGAAAGAAAATATTACCATTTTCTGATATAATACGTCCACTTAGTGCAATATTAGTAAAAATAATTTCAATTTAAACAGTATATTTTATAAGTCACTTTCGTATTTTTCAATGTAAGCGAAAGGAATATATAAGAACTTGTGTAAAGAAATTATGCGAATAAAAAGCGATTAAATCATCGTTATGATTATTTCTGTTAATAAATATAGGTAATTTCTAGTAATATACGTCTACAAACTGCAATTTTATTGTAAAAGTCTGTTAAAACGTTATAATTAATATTTCAAAAGTCACTTTCGCTCACTTTCGCTCACTTTCGTCAACAAATCTCACTTTCGTATTTTAGGCAAACCCTTAAAAATGTCCGACAAAGAAGAACAGGATGAGCCCAAACATGACCAAAACAAATCACCAGTTTCTGCCAGACGGGCCAAAAAACTTCTTTATTTGTCTGAATTTTTATCAAAACAGGAGTCTCGTATTAATTGCAAAAAGGTATTTTAATGATTACTAAATAAATCGACTGTAAATTCACAAATTAAAATTCATTTCTAGGTCAAAATGAAATAATTTTCGGATGACTTACCATAATTTTACCAACACTTATAAAAGTTACAAAAATTACTAGGACATGACATATGTCGAAAATATTTTAACACATAATTATTGTTTATGAAGTTATCATTTGTTTGCCACTGTTAGTGTAACAGGCTTAATTAATTGCTGATAGTGGTTTGGATTGTGAAGATTTTTCGGTGAAGACAACTTGTACTGGTAAGCAGCTTGACCAGTTGACAGCCTGCTGAATTGTGATATGGTATACTCATTGTGGCCTACTGCAGTGATTCGGAGTGAAGACTGTCAATACCACCACCTGTTACAAACTTCATTCTCCTGTTATTCCCTAAAAACTTTTCAAGTTTTTTTAAATGCACTATTTTCTTATAAATAGAATACACCCATAGAAATTAAAACACTTTCGCTATGAACTACATAAATAACCAAGGTATAACGAGTGAAAACATACGAGTTGTTTCCATTGTCTTTGATTTAAATTGATCTCTTATGCTAAGTAAAACAATACAAATTAAACCGTTTTTAAACCGGTTGTGATTTAATGTCCAATTTTAAAATTGATTACACCAAATGACCAATGGAAAGCTTTGGATCTTAGCTTCATCACAGTATATACTTCAACACATCTTTTGACACCAAAGTATTTAAACTAACCTACCATATATTAGACCATTTTACATATGATTTATACAGTGAGATATGCAACCGGTTTTCTTTACTTGAAAATCTAAGTTGATAAGAATAGCCCCTTGTCAGCTAGTTCGGAAAGTGTTTATCAGAGTGTCTTCCTGGATTTGTCCCATCTCATCTTTTGCTTACTCTGATAATGATTTGCAATTGTGGCGGTATGGTACGGTAAATAATATGATAGGTTATAGATCTAAAGATTGCTGGCCATGTTTTAGAAAGAGCAGTCAGCTAAAATATTGACCTCACAGCTAAGTATAAAACATTACCGGATGCGTATATATAAAACATTGTCGAATGCTGCTGTCATTTCGGAATCAATTCATCATATGCATTTGGTCAAGTTTTACACCTATAAGGTAAATTTCCGGTTCTCTTGCACAGTATTACGATTGAAATGGTGTCTTCAGTTTGATTTCTTTACCAAAAAAACTTCATTTAATATAAATGTTTAGAGAAACATCATTTGGATTAACAGAATTGTAACTTGCTCTGTCAGGCGAGTTTGATAGTTTTTTCTTGCCGCAGTCAAGAACTTTCACATGCGAGCGGATGAGTGTATTTGTTGTGGCCTGACAGTATGTTAACCCCAGACAAAATGAGCCAATCATTGGGCATGCTCTGGAGTGCGGGTAACTAACCCAGTGAGGAACAGATTCAAAAGTGTCTGTAAGCTTTTAGCTTCCTTCACAATCATACTATGATAAATTCTGTTTAACCTTATGATTTCCCTTGACTGACATATTTTTTTTGTATTTTATAATTAATATTTAAATTTCTTTGGGAACTTTTTGATTCTGAGAATTATATGGTATATCAGTTGAAAAATAAGAGAAACAATAATATGCTTGACAACTTGAATATTATTATTTGTGGCACTTTCTTATTACTTGTTTTGATAAGGATACATGTAATTAGGATAAATCCTTTCAGGAAAATGCTACTATTATGTGTACAACATTTTGATAGGTTTAATATGTCAGGTCAGCAGATTGGATCATATAATTACCTACTCTACCCTTCCCCCCCCCCCCCCCCCCAAAAAAAATAACAACAAAACAAAGCACAAAGGCTAGCATATTGCTTAAAGATATTTCAATATTTTAGTCAATACCTTAAGTATATGTAACAGCTTAACATAGCTTTTGACGAACAACATAAAGCTTTAAACATTTTATTTATAATTATTCAGGTTTCAAAAATATTAAAGAAGTCTGCCCATGAGCACACTGAAGATGAGAAAGCCACTCTTGCCAAACATCAAGATATTGTCAAAAGAATCTCCAAAAACAAAGAGAAAAGAGAACTCAATCAACAGAGAGTGTTAGAGGTACGATTACTTCTTTGAAATTTACAAAAAATTATTTTCGAAATAGCATACAGTATTGTTTCCATTTAAAGCCCCTGGGGGCTTGCATTTTTCAAAAGGGAGGCGCTAATTATAACTATAAAAATTTGCAGTAAAAATGTTCACTTTTACTCTTTCAAGTGTTGTCCATATTTAGAGCACAGCAAAACAGCTTACCTCGGTAATTGTCTTTGTAAGTATGATATAAAGTTCTACAGATTTTTATAATATTTCAGACTGAGGATGGAGAAGATTTGTTGCAGATCAAATGTGAAAAGTTGGCCAAAATTATTCAGCAATCCAAGAAAACTGTGATATATACTGGGGCTGGCATTAGTACAGTAAGTGTTGAACTCTGTTCATTATGTTGGAGACTTGATGGGAAGTTGTTTCAAGACATGTATATGCTCTAAACTTGATTTACATTGGCTATGTTTATAAAGTAGTAATTGTTTTCTTTTAAATCGTCTTTATATAAAATTATACATGTGCATCAATTTGTAGAGTTGAAACTCTTCTGTTTTCACCATTTTCAAGAAAAATGAACACAATTTATATCATTATTCTGAGACCTATCTATTGATTTTGCTTAGGGATTCATTGTTTTTAAAATTGTGAATTTTCTGACAGTTCAAAATTGCTTAATACTTTTCCTGTATTTGGGTACACCAGAGCAAAACATTATTAAACTGCAATTTTAATTCTAAAATGATTCCAGTTTTCATAGTAATGATTCTTCTATGATAGTCTACCAAGGTGGTAAAATTTGTACAAATAAGCTGAAGTAAACATAAACTATTCTATTTTTGGATTAGAACAACTACACGTAGATGTATTATGTGATGCTGCTTCATCAATTTACAGTTATTACTACAGGATGGGGTTTCTTGTTTTATATTTCAGGCAGCCTCAATACCTGATTATAGAGGACCACAAGGAGTATGGACACTTCTACAAAAAGGGGAACAACTCAAGTAAGTCTTTACTATCCAGCTCTATGCTTTGATGATTTACCATACTCTAATTAAACTAGGTTAACTTTAAATTAAAAGGTAGGTTTGGATCATATACCTTAAACTGCAGTGTTTTTCTCTCGCCCTTTTTTAGAAAGGGTTCAGGTATGCCCAATCATGAATTACTTTGAGTTGTAAACTAAGTTGAATGGGGTAGAGAAAAAAAAAACGAACAGTCAAATTATGAATATTTTAGTCAAGACTGTTATGACTGGTCTTTGATGTGTGACTAATAGACTTTTTGATATTTGACTGACAGACTGCTATTTAGCCTTGACATTTGACTTAGACTTTAACAATTGGCCCCATTAAGAAGAAGATTTACATTTTAACAGTGTAGAACCAACCTTATTATAAAACTAGTCTTCGGAGATTTTTTATACTCCCCGAAAAATTTGGGAGAGCATATAGTCGGCGCCTTGTCCGTCTGTCCGTCCGTTCTCTTGTCCGGAGCATAACTTGAAAACCCTTGGAGATAATTTGTTGAAACTTCATACAGTGATAGAGGGCATTGAGTGGGGGTGCAGTGTCAAAGAACCATAACTTTATTTTGCCCGGTTTTTGAATTATCTCCCCTTATAGAAAAATCTTGTCCGGGACGTAACTCTAAAATTATTAGAGATATCAACATGAAACTTTGTAGGTGAATAGATCTCAATGGGTAGATGTGCAGTGCATAAGAACAATAACTCTTTTTGTCCTAATTTTGGAGTTATTGCCCTTTGTTAATTTTAACACTTTGAACTTTGTCCGGAAGATAACTCTAAAACTATAAGAGATATCAAGATGAAACATTGTAGGTAGATAGATCTCATTGAGTAGAGGTGCAGTGCAAAAGAACCATAACTCTGTTAAGCCTCATTTTTATCAAAGAACAGTAACTCTGCCTTGCCTAATTTTGGAATTATTGCACTTGGAACTTTTTCCAGGGACATAACTCTTAAACTACAAGAGGTGTACTTTCCTGTGTCCAAAACCTATTTGGGGAGCATCACCCGGCTCAAACCGGGCTCTTGTTTATGTAGTATTTGTTGTATGAATTCACTTCTTAACATTGAATTTGTACTATTATTATTTGAAGAATTTAGAGCTGTCATTGATTCAGTGCAAAGCATATCAACGATATATCAATATCAGTTGACTAAAATCAACTATACACCGATATATTAATTATAACTATAATTACTTGCCTGTCATTCACTTTCATACCTGTTAAAATGATTTCAATTAAAAACATGTTCTGTACAGTGTGTTGTCCACTACATATTTTTTTTCCAGACAATATTTTTTGTCACCATTGCTATAAAATATTTCCTTTTTATAACAAAAGCATAACATTAGACATAAATAACTGCTTCTGTATATGTTTTGGGTGAATTTTTATAATTTCTAGACATTTAATTAATTAGTCAAAAGTATCGTTTTTTTAGCTCACCTGTCACAAAGTGACAGGGTGAGCTTTTGTGATCGCTTTTCGTCCGGCGTCCGTCCGTCGTCCGTCCGTAAACTTTTACTTTAAATGACATCTCCTCATAAACCACTAAGCCAATTTCATCCAAACTTCACAGGAATGTTCCTTTGGTGGTCACCTTTAAAAATTGTTCAAAGAATTTAATTCCATGCAGAACTCTGGTTGCCATGGCAACCGAAAGAAAAAAACTTTAATTATCTTCTTTTAAAAAACCCTAAGAGCTAGAGCTTAGATATTTCGCATGAAACATCTTCTAGTGAGTGAGTGTCTACCAAGTTTGTTCAAATAAAAGCCCTGGGGTTAAAATTGGCCCCGCCCCAGGGGTCATTGATTTTTCCTATATGCATATAGTAAAAACTAAAAAAATCTTCTTTAAAAGAACCCAAAGGGCGAGAGCTAAGATATTTAGCATGAAACATGTTCTAATGAGTGTCTACCAAGTTTGTTCAAATAAAAGCCCTGAGGTGAAAAATGGCCCCGCCCCGGGGGGGTCATTGATTTTCCCTATATGCATATAGTAAAAACTTAAAAAATCTTCTTTTAAAGAACTCAAAGAGCTATTGCTAAGATATTGAGCATCAAACATGTTCTAATAGGTGTCTACCAAGTTTGTTCAAATAAAAGCCCTGGGGTCAAAATTGGCCCCGCCCCAGGGGGTCATTGATTTTCCCTATATGCATATAGTAAAAACTTAAAAAGTCTTCTTTTAAAGAACCCAAAGAGTTAGAGCAAAGATATTTAGCATGAAACATGTTCTAATAAGTGTCTACCAAGTTTGTTCAAATAAAAGCCCTGGGGTCAAAATTGGCCCCGCCCCAGGGGGTCATTGATTTTCCCTAAATGCATATAGTAAAAACTTAAAAAGTCTTCTTTTAAAAAACCCAAAGAGCTAGAGCTAAGATATTTAGCATGAAACATGTTCTAATGGGTGTCTACCAAGTTTGTTCAAATAAAAGCCCTGGGGTCAAAATTGGCCCCGCCCCGGGGGGTCATTGATTTTCCCTATATGCATATAGTAAAAACTTAAAAAGTCTTCTTTTAAAGTACCCAAAGAGCTAGAGCTAAGATATTTAGCATGAAACATGTTCTAATGGGTGTCTACCAAGTTTGTTCAAATAAAAGCCCTGGGGTCAAAATTGGCCCTGCCCCAGGGGTGTCATTGTTTTTAACTATATGTGTATAGTAAACACTTAAAAAAAATCTTCCTTTAAAAAGCCCAATGAGCTAGAGCTTTAGATGTTTAGCATGAAACATCTTCTTATGGGTGTCTACCAAGTTTGTGCAAATAAAAGCCCTTGGGTTAAAATTGGCCCTGCAACGTTGTGGGGGGTGGGGCCTATATACAGGTGAGCGACCTCAGGGCCATCATGGCCCTCTTGTTTTTAATGTGTATCGATTATTGATCGGCAAAAAAATATCAACGATACATTGATATTGTCTCTACCAATGACAGCTCTAGAAGAATTAAGAATGGATTTTTTGAAGTGTTCTTAATTTACAAGTTTTCTTTAAATACAAATTGAGCTGTAGAATTGCAGCACTAATTAATGATTTAATTTTTTGTGTTACAGACCTCAGGATTTAAGTGATGCAGAACCAACTCTTACACACATGTGTATTACACAGTTACATAAACAAGGCCATGTAAGTTTTCTTTACACAATTACTATTACACATTTGCATAGGCAAAAAAGAGGCATATAAGACATATCTAGGTATTCTTTACACAAATCTATTACACAGTTGCAGAGGCAAAAATATGGCATATAAGACATACAAAAAGAAATTATGTAAGATTTATGTACACAAGTCTATTGTTATTACACAACAGCATAAGAAAGGCCATGTTACTATTCTTACACAATTTCTTTTACATATTAACATAAGCAAGGCCATGTCACTTTTTAATGACACAGATATGTTCACAATTAGAACTTTTTGAGAAATAAAATTCTTCTATATGATATGTTAATAATTTTTTTCTGTCATAGAAATTAAAGATTATACTATCAGATTCCAAACCTATTTAAATGTTTAAAAAAAACCTGTTCATATAAATTGTAAACTTAACTTGGAAGATTGACATATATTACTTTCAGATAAAACATGTGGTGTCCCAGAACTGTGATGGATTACATTTAAGAAGTGGTTTACCAAGACAGGTGTTGTCTGAAGTGCATGGAAACATGTTTATTGAGGTATTCATGCATTGGTTTTGGTATTTCTTTAATCTATACCAGTCTCAGATGTGCTGTGAAAAATAGATATATTTATAACTCAAGTTCAAAGAGTAGTTGGCCCTCCTGCACACCTGTGCATTGGTGTCAATGTTAAAAACTTACAGGTTTTCCATGGTATAATATGTCAGTGTCAAAATCCTAATATTATGCAGTTTTATACTTCAATATTCAGGTCCTTATTTTACTATAAAGCACTGAGAAAGTCAAGAATGCTGTCCTGCTGATAACTGGGTTAGAGCCCTACAAGGGTCATGACCCTGTTTCATTAAATGACATCAGTACTAGTTAGTTTCAGCTAATAAAAACTTCAAACCTTGATTGAAATAGGAATAGAAATATGTACATGAATAATCTTCCAGAATATTTCCATATTTATCTTTTTTTTTCTACACAACGATGACATGTTGTGGCATTTGCTTTATCTATTAACCACTGCAATATAAAAAAATCGATTGAAAAATAAAACATATTTTGTCTAATTATGTTGTAAGTGTCTAGGTTGCCAACTTGAAATCACTTGCCCCTCACTGCTGTGGGTGCAAATCCCATCAAAGACTTAGGTTTCTTTCATGTGAGGAAGCAATCCACTATTCAGGTGCTTCCTTGTGCCTGAGGTCTTTGCTGGAAGTGGCTGTATGACCTTTACATTGTGGGTGTGACTTTAAATTCAACAAAAATGAACAATTGTCATGAACAGAAAAAATTTTAGTTATCTCTAATGCTTATCACTCATGCAGACAAATATGATTAATGTAACAGTTTATACAGTATCAAAGCATATGCATCTTGCATAAAAATGCAAAATAGAGGAAAGGGATGCCTTTGACAAAACATGAACAGCAAAAATGAAAATGTTGCAGGCTTTTTGATTGTGCCTGTGTAGTGACAGTAGTGGTAACTTCATTCTTGCATATCAGACAGGAATATCTGCTGTTTACAACAGTGTTAGAAAAACCTGTCTTACACCCCCCATGTAAGACAAAACGCATGCTTTAATTGATGTCTTTCCCACGCACCTTTTATGAATGAATTGTGTTACTAGGAAGACATCAATGTACTGTTATGAATGAAGTTGTAGATTCATACGCTTCTATAAGCAAAAAGTACTAAATGAAAAGTTTTCGTAAGTATCATTAGTTTGTAATATGCACAAAAAAGAATCAAACACCAGCTTGCATCACAGACAGGAATATCTAGCTCTTGGGTAACAGTTAAGTGGAAACTAGGGAGAGCCTCTTTACTTCATAAACAGTTACTCTCAAGCTAGATATTCCAGTCTGTACCGACAGCCGGTGTAAGATTCTTATAAGCTGCTGCCTATGCCCCAATAGTCCAAAGACTTAACCTATATCACAGTGCAGAATATATATCTATCAAATATTCATCGTACCGTACCCAAACAAATCAGTATAATAGTTTAATTTATTGACAGATCTGTCACAACTGCAGACCTCACAGGGAGTATATAAGGTTGTTTGATGTAACTGAAAACACCGGTGTGAGACGTCACGTGACGGGACGTCACTGCCAGAAATGTGGCGGGAATTTGAAGGACACAATAGTGCACTTCGGGGAGAAAGGAGGCATGAAATCTCCATATCGTTGGAAGGAAGCTGTAAGAGCTGCGAACAAATGTGATCTCATTCTTTGTCTAGGTTCTAGTCTAAAGGTGTGTAATGTTTTAATGATATTGATAATTTATATACTGCAATTTTGTAATGTCTTTCTTCTGTTGTCATGTTTGGAGTGATTAAACATCTAAAATTAATTTGTTTCTGAGGCATAATGGGCCTTTAAATAACGCATTTTTGCAGAATTATGAATTGTAAATTTGTTAATAAACCTTTAGCCAGATTCAGAATCTCAATTGTGGGATGCAAGTTGTTTAGTCTCAATGACCTAAATGTCTTTTGACATGGAAACAAGGCAAACCTTGTATTTTAATTACTATATACATAGAGAATACTCAAGTTTATTCTATGATTACTGGTTGTATTTTCATCGAGTGGTATGCAAATAAATATTTCATGGGTGGCAGTCCATACCACAAGATGAAAATAAATCCTGTATTTATAGAAAAAAACTTAAATTTTGTGTTTATTATAATTATTTATACATTTTCTCTTTTTTGACATAACAACTTGAAAGACTTTCCTTAAATTTTGTTTATTAGCTGACTTAAGAAAAAAGTATTTCAGCAAGTCCCCATTGAAAATATGTTTTAATGCAGTAAAAAGTGCATGTAAAACTAAATTTTTTTACAGGAAAAATAAGGGAAATGAAAAATATGCATTTTATGTCATCAATATTTCTCAATGTTTCATTTATAAGTGTGTAATAAAAAAATTATTTATCTTTTTCACTACTTTTGAATTTAGATTCTGAAGAAGTATGCATGTTTATGGTGTATGGATAGAGTGAAACATAAAAGACCAAAACTTGCCATTGTGAATCTTCAATGGACACCGAAAGATGAATCTGCCACTCTAAAAATAAATGGTTTGTTTCATATTACATTGTTGACATGACTGACTTCTTTATTCCCTCTTCCCACTTGGAAAAAAAGTGAGTGCCTACCTAGCTCAATAGATAGAGCATAAGAGTTTTAATCCAGGAGTGGCTGGTTCAATCCTGGGATGAGGCGAAATTTCTCCGTGACAATTGATCTTATACATATGACCCTCACTGCTTATTCAGAAATCATGTTGAATTAGTAGTCGATCTCTTAATGAGAAATTGACAAAATACGAACAAGTAACAAGAAGATTTTAAGATTTTGAAATATTTCGTTATTTATTATAGGGAGATGTGATGATGTGTTGGAGAGAGTATTGAAGATTCTAGGATATGATATTCCTGTGTATTCAAGGTTGGTGTTGTATTATGGGTATATTTATTAATATGTACACAGAGCGTGCACTTGTAATATATAACACAGACACGTGTTACTAGTTCTATCGTTTAATGATAACTGAATATCCCAAGTATATAAGTGGCGGGAAGATAATGGACATGCGCATTACAGTATAAGATATTATTAAGATGAAACATATGTTTACAATATACAACATTCCCCTTGTTTAAAAATATAAGCACATTTAGTATATTTCAAATTAATCTGTAAAAAACAATTATTTAAGTATATCAAATATAATTAATGATCTTTTAATTATGACATTGAAATATACATGTATTATTAATATATACAAGCAAATTTTTTAATCCTTTCTAAATGTCACTGATTTACAGTTTTACTAATGGCTATTTCAACAATTCAACAATTGTTATCACTTTGTCCAATCTTTTCCACAGTAAAGCTTATTCGGTTTCACCTCTCTACCTGACCTAGTGATTGTGAATGGTTTCGATTTACCTGGCACATTTGCAAGAGATAGGGACTCTGTAGGGGTATTTTGAATTGTTTGTTCACTTAAAATAGATTCCTGGTGTTCATCGACTTTAGATGGTTGCTGTGTTTGTTTTGACAGGTCAGATAATTCAGGAGCTTTGTTTAGGAAACGGCGATTTCTACGATAAACAGCACCATCAGGGGTCTGCACGTGAAATGAGTGTTCATTATGCTGGGTTATAACCTTGGCTGGTTCCCAGTACTTATCTTTACGAATTCTGACAGATTCGCCGATTTTTAGAGGTTTCATTTTGTGCGCATTTTTATCGTAATGATTCTTGCTAATAAATTGTAATTCTTCCATTTTCTTTCTTGCTTCACAATGATTTACTGTTTGTGGCAGAAGCTGATTGTTAGTTGTTGGGAGAAGCGACTTGAGGCGTCTGCCCATTAAAAGTTGAGCGGGTGACCATCCACATTTAAGTGGTGTATTCCTATATTCTAAAAGGGGGAAATAAGGATCTTTATTATCATCCTTAGCTTTCTGAAGAATGCGTTTTGCAATTTTAACATATACTTCACTAAGTCCATTTGAACTTGCATGCGTGCTTGTGTAATCACTTGTTTAACCTTGTCAAAAGCGTCAGATTGGGCTGAATCCCATCTGAACTCTACGTCATTGCGTAATAACTCTCGCATCGGGCTAGTTATCTCCGAGAGATTTTGTGAGAATTTTGTCAAGTATGTAATCATACCCAGCAGGGTTTCAAGCTCAGCACGATTTGCAGGATTTTTCATTTCGATAATTGCGCTAATTTTCTCAGGGTCAGGTTTCAGTCCATCAGCACTGATCACGTGACCGAAATATTTAACCTCCGTTAGACCTATTTTCAGTTTGTCAGGGTTAAATCGTAAACCGGCTGCCTTTGCTCGGTCGAGTACGTTCTTAAGGTTTCCGTCATGTTCTGTGCGTGTGCTTCCAAACACTAATAAGTCGTCAATTATTGACGTCACACCCTGTAAACCTTCAAATGTCTCGTCAATTTTCCGTTGGAAAATGTCTTGAGAACTTCTTATGCCCATAGGAAGTCTTAAATATTTGTACCGTCCAAATACCGTGTTAAATGTCGTTAGTGACGATGAGTGGTCGTCTAATTTAATTGACCAGTAACCTTTGGTCGCGTCTAATACACTGAAGTATTTAGCGCCATGCAATTTTGACGTAATGTCGTCAATAGTACGTAATGGATAATACGGCCTTTGTATATTTTCATTCAATGCTTTGGGGTCAAGACAGATTCTAAGCTTACCGGTTGAAGGTTTTTCAACACATACTAGTGAATTTACCCAGTTTGTAGGTTCTGTAACCTTACAAATAATTTGTTTTGACTCCATTGAGTCGAGCTCTTTTTTAAGCTTATCTCTGAGTCCAAAAGGTACTTTTCTAGGTGGACAAACAACTGGTACAGCATTTTCCTTCAAATGCAATGAACATGTTCCAGGAAATAACCCTATCCCATGAAACAATTCTTTGTACTCTCTAAGTACAGTGTCCTTACTAAGGTCAGATGCGTCAATAGACTCAATCTTATTGACCGAATACGTTAATTTTAACAGATCTAAATCTATAGATGTTTTGAGGCTTAACAGCGGGGTAGCAGAACTCTCAACTACATAAAATTCTGAACACACTGATTTGTTATTGTATTTACAGTGTAACCATAATTTTCCAAGCACTGGTAATCGGTCACCTGTGTACGATGTTAACCTTGCTTTGGAGGCTTCCAAAGGGTGTTTTATTTTCAGTTGCCTAAATATGTGATTAGGGAGGCAATTTATTTGTGAACCTGTATCAATTTTGCAATTAATATTGGTAAACTTATCTTGTGTGCCAATCAAAACATTTACAAAAACTTGATCAGGAGAAGATGAAAAAGAATTTACCGTGTGAACAAAGAATTCTTGGTTATTCTCGCCGTCAGATTCACACACCTAATCCACAGTGTCACCTTCATAATGTAACTCTTGCACAGATTTAAATTTACATTGTTTTGAAAAATGATTTAATCGTCCACATTTGAAACATGTTTGTCCCTGTGCTGGACATTCACTAGAATTGAAATGTTTATTTCCACATCTGTCACATTTTTTTCTATAATCTTCAAATCGTTGTTGTCGTCGTGGTTGTTGTTGTTGATGAGGTGGCATCTTCCGGTCTCTCTGGTGTGCATCTCTTCCGTTGCCTCGTCTCCAATGTCGATTTATCGCATCAACAGACTGTTGAGTTGTCGTAGATCCGCTAGCGATTGCTTGTGCCTGAGACTGACTCAATTCGTACGTATGAGCAACATCTACGCATTTTTCAAGTGTTAGATCTGAGCCTTCCACAATCAGTTTTTCTCTGACTTTGCTAGATCTTACTCCAAAAACAATATGGTCGCGAATAAGATCTTGCTGCATGCCCACAGGATAATCACAATCTTTGATTAGCGTTTTCAGTTCTGTAACGAATTGTTCAAACGGTTCGTTTTCCTGTTGTGCTCTTGATTTAAAAAGATATCTGTTGTATATAATGTTACTTTTTGGTTTGCAATATTCTTCGAATTTATCATAATATGATTTAAGTTTCTTTCTCTGATCGTTTGATAAGTCCCATGTTGAGTATATTTGTCGGCCCTTTTCACCGACCCATAACATCAAATAGTTACATTGAATTTCTTCCGTTTTACTTGCCAACGGCCCTTTAAACATGAATTCTGAATGTTCTTTGAATCTCTTAAACGCACTGTTTAAGTCCTTCGAATCCCAGTCCATACGCGGATTTTGTTGGTGATTATTTTCCATATTTCTTATAACTCCGTTAAAAAAACATACAATTATAAAGCGTTTTACTGTAAAAATTATAATCCGTTAACTTCTGACACCATGTTGTATTATGGGTATATTTATTAATATGTACACAGAGCGTGCACTTGTATATATATAACACAGACACGTGTTACTAGTTCTATCGTTTAATGATAACTGAATATCCCAAGTATATAAGTGGCGGGAAGATAATGGACATGCGCATCACAGTATAAGATATTATTAAGATGAAACATATGTTTACAATATACAACAGTTGGTAACTCTAGTTATTCATGATATAAATAAATTTATGATAACCTAGATTGACAATAAGTTGTTTTTTTAATGATAATAATAAAAGTTTTTGATTCTGCCCTATCAGGATTGAATTATTTGGTGCAGATGCAAGAGAACTGCATAAACTACTAAAGTTATCATGACTGTGATCTTAACAGAACTTGCAGTGGGATTTAACATAAACTAAATTCATGTATGTGGGTTTAGACTAGATTTGTTTGTTAAACTAATTTATGGGTTTGAATATATATGCAAAAAAAGACAAAGAAAAGAAATGGCAGCATGGCCTAATGGTTAACACATTAGACCAGTTATCTAAAGATTGTGACTTCTTGTCAGGAGCAAACTGTTGTATGTATAAGCTTATAGCTTCTACACAATAAAACTGAAATGAATTCTGTATAAAGGTAACCATATTTCTAATAAAAATTTTCATGGCACGTGATGTGTCATCAGGTATCTTTGTAAGAATAACATTCTAAAAGTTGTGAACGATGGTCTGTAATTCTAGTCAATTTGTTGTGTAACTTTTACCATGCCCATTTTCTAACATTTTTTGTAGTTGAATAAGTTCAAATATTCAAATATAGAATATTGTGCATAATAGTTCAATCTGGACAGTTACAATATGTACATCTTGATAGATTTGCATAGATTTAACACAACAAGATAAAACTGTAAGCAACAGTCATCTTTTTATGTGTCTTATATAAATGATTCAAAATGTTTCTGTGAATTTAATCTTTTGCAATGTTACATGATGTTCACTTTAGTAAATCCAATTATGTTTTAAACTTTCTTTTTTTCCTATCATAAAGGAGGGAAGATCCGATATTTTCGCTTGCTACATGTTTGGATGAGAGCGAGGCAGAAACAACAAACAAGAAAGTTCTCGAGATGCCAGACATCACCCCTAGACTTCGATCTCAGGGAATCTCCCGTACTCCAACACCGAGTGATTCATCGGACAGCCAGTCATCCCTGGCATCATCATCCACTGACAGCTGTGATATAAACGAAGATCTGACTGTGTCGGAAACTAATAAACACACGTCAGTCAGAAACTTTAACTTTAAAAATTCGCATTTTAAACTCGATCACTGTCCAGATGTGAAGGGAGGGGTTTTAGATTCAAAGGAAATGTGTTTTTCTAAGTCAGAGCGAATATGCAATGAGGCAAAAATTGCGATGCAAGAGAGACTAGTCAATGCCAAAATTTATGAGATGTATGGAACATGTTCTTTCATGCCAGGTGAAAATTTGATTAATAAACCTATTGGGTTTAATGGTTTGGTAGATAGGGGATGTGTAAAGATAGATGGAACAGTGGAGCAACAGCCACAAGTTCAGTACGATCCTCTAAGAGGTGGCCCATTTGATCCAGGACCTGTTTCCCACGAGCAGAAGCTGAAGTATTTACAGACGCTACAGTCACAGTTGGAAGAACTGAAAACGAAACAGAGGATTTTGAAAGAGCAAGAGCAGCAACATTTGAAGAAACCGCGGCACCAGCAGTTAAGACAGGTTATCCAGGGTGGAAAACAGTCAAACATTAAACAGGTTGTCCAGGGTAGTAAACAAGAAAACATTGATGTAAATCAGGTTAATACAGATGGTAAACATGAAAGTATTCAACATCAAAAAATTAAACAAGAAACAAATGAACATAATTGTTTGAAACTGGAAAATAGTCCGTCTAGTGCTTCAAATGTAAAAATTGATGAAAGTGATCAAATGAAACCCTGGGACGTTTTGAAATTCCATCAGTATTCTGCAAATTTTAAAGTTAGAGGTTCACATCCAAGAAGTTTACTGGGCAGTAACATGAGAAATTCTGAACATTCACTAGATGAAGAAATTTCTAAAAATCCGCAAGTTGTTGCACTAGAGAAAGATCTTCAACAAAATCTGTCAGAACAGAAGAAGTTGAAGACTAGGCTATCAGCAATGTTAGCTGAGCAACATAAACTTGAAGAACAAGTCACTCTCCAGCATCAAAATGAGCAACTTCGACTTCACCAACATTTTATTATTCAAGAACAGTTACGACAGATTGCTCAAGAAAATAAGGTGAAAAAAGAGGAAATCTTAAATCTGTTCCTCTTCCAACAGCAGTCTCTGTTAGCTCAGCAGAATTTGAAGCTCCAGTGCTTAAGACAGAACTACGTAGTAGAGGTGCAGAAAGTTCAAAATGTTCTAGACATGGTTCAAGGTTCTCATTCAGAAACTGCCAAAAAATTGAAAACATTAAAAGCTGAGCTGAGGAAAAAACAAATGACATCTGTGATGAAAAATTCTATTGCAATTTCTACTGCTGGTAATTCTCTCTTTCAACAAGGAGACCCCCTTAAAATTGAAGTGAAACATGAAAATGTAGTGCTGTCTCCAACATCAAAAAGTCCAAGGAAGGACCATAGTATTGCATCTATTCTTCAAATTGATAATGACTCTACCCCTAAAACAAATAATGTTAACATGGATAATGCTGAACTTGACAAACCAAAAACCTGTGACTCGTGTAAATTTTTAGACAATTACGGAATGCGTAAGAAGTGGTGTTCTAAATGTCATGAACTTCAATGTGATCACGAATGCTGTCCCGGTGGTCATGTTCTTGCCAAACCTCAAAACAGGGTAGAATCTACATTCCTGGAAAATGCTGTTGTTCCCAGTATCTCAAATCTTGTTAGTCATGATTCAGAAACTTTGGAAAATCCAGTTGAACAAGACTATCCTATTTATAATTATGTTTTAGATTTAGAAATTCCCAATGTTCAGGAGCCAAAATCTGAAGACTATGGCAAAATTGAACATACAGATCACAACTACCTCAATTCTAAAAATGACGTGGATCTGAATGCGAAAACTAATATTATGTTCAATGAACATGCCAAACATGAAAATCATTTAGGACACACTGTTTCTAGCTCAGTAACTACCTCAAATGCAACTGCTACTATGTCTTCATGCAATTCTAATTTAATGTCCCCAATAATTCCATATGCAAGTGTTAGTGTATCAGAGAATGATGTTGGTAATAAGCTGCTTGAAACGAAAGCTGATATTGAAAGTGACAATACCATTACCAGCAGCAGTGTGTGTTTTAATTCGTCCAGCAAGATTCCAGAAAGAGTCACATTTGATTTGAATGATGATATAAAGGTGGAAATTGTTAACAGAGAAACAGAACAGTCTGAAAAGGGTGTAGAAAATAGACTTAAGCCTACTAGTGCAGTTAAACATATCAGATCACATTCTCAGTCAGAAATTTATGACCAGAAACAAAAGGTTGATAGCTCTGAACCACGGACCTTAAGACATATTCGATGTCGGTCTCATAGTGAACTGAATGACGGAGGTAAGGAGGCTTCAGTAGATTCTGAAGCTGACATTGAAGCCGATGCTGAGGATAGTAATGATGTTGATGATATAGCTACAAAGAATAAAGAAGAACAGGAGGATAGTGAAAAAGCTAGCAAAAAAAGAAAGCTTGCAAGGTGTTATTCTGTACCAGGCTGGTTTGGAAAAGGTCTAAATATAAAAAAGCGAAGGAGATATTGATGTCATTTTATCTAATTTCTGATTTATTTTGTAAGTTCGGGCAAGAAGATAGGTTCATATATATTGGATACACCCTAAATATTCCTCAAAACAAAAATAATCTTTGAATTACATAGCAATAAAAGCACTAATAAAAGGCCTAGATATCATACCTTTCATTGTAAAGTAACGTTATAGGACCAACCTTTTCTCTGAGAAGAGTCTGGAAATATACCTCAATATGTTTTGGCCTTTAAACAATTTAGCAGAAAAAGTTCATTTTTTGGGGTCTCCTAACGTAACCTTACATGTATTCTTAAAGGCCATATCATGAACTTTTCATTTGCCTGTTCCACTTCTTCAAAATCTTTTCTTAACAATATACAAATAACAGAAATTCCTACCTACGTAATTACACTTTTTGGGGAATGGGGATATTGGACTTTAGATAGAACTGACTTTGGGCTTCAATACAGGATCTTGCTGTTGTAATTATTATTCTCTGTCAGGCTTATGTGTGGAAAATGGCTTGAACGTACAATAACATATTTTATCTCACCCTTATTTATAATTTCATTTGACCTCAACTCATATCTGCCAGTGATTTGTTTTCTTTTTTTATGAAAGAAAATGGTTGAATTTCATGAGATTCATTTTATATTGAAAAAAACATTTACTACATAATGTTTGATACTTTAATTAAATAATACTATGTATTATTTTGCTTGTGATCAAAGCTTTTGTTTTGTTTTTTTGTTTTGATGTATCATGTAATGATTTTACCTGCTACATTTATTAACTAGATTTGCCCTGCTTCAAATTTGGAACAGTCCATTTGAAAGTTTAGGGATTTCAGTATCAAAATACAAAAGTTGAACTATCACCAATATAGAGCCTGGTCAGATTGCATGGATTGTGCAGACAGTACGGGTGTCACGGTAAGAAAAAGTGCTAACCATTTAAGTGGTGACCTAATATCCATGAATTTTGTAGTACCCAAATATGGAGTAACTTTTTTCCGTCATGACCGTATGGTGTACCGTACTCAATCAGATCGGAAAAAATACATTGTTGGGTACAACTTAATACAAACAAATTGTTTTATCTTGTTATAAAAATTCAAGGTGATATTTAGAATAAATTTAAAACTTTTTTGTCTCTTTGTCAATACTAATTTCGGTTATTGAATTTTCTAACCAGTTTTTAGCTAAAAACCGACCGTATCTGTTAAAACTTGACACCCATAGCAGACTGGTCTGGCTCTACACTGGTTATAATGGCTTATGGCTTGTGGTTCCAGCAGTTTTAAGGTTAAAATGAATGTATAACTTTTTAACCTTGTATGATGGCATACTACCATTTCTTTGCTTAAAATAGATTTTTACGTTTCATTATATACTGTTAAGTTTTATGATGAAAACATATTCATTTTGCACTGAAAAAAATGACAACAACTACGTACGAGGGTTGTTAAAAAAGTAATAGGACTGCAGCTCTACTGTTCAAATTTTTAAATTTACGTACAAAATTTTACATGAGACAAATGTCGGAACATGTTCTCTATAAACAGTGAAAAAATCAAAACAAAATGTAAACAAATGTAATTTCTGTGAAATTTCAAATGACAAGGGGTACGAAACGCGGCGCACGTTAACAATACAATAATTGACGTTCATGGCGTCGTAAAGTAAATCGAAATTGTAATAAGCGTCATTTTTTCTGAAAGTAGTCTCTAGGTGTATGAGTCAAGTAACTTTTACTTTGACTCATATGTGGAGATGAAGCAAGAAAAAAGCGATCACATTCTCGATCCACTGATTCAAAAAAACAAAATAAAATAAATGCCCAATAGCCGGCCATTCTCCGGTTTTTCTCGTCTTTTTGAGTAACCATGGAACTCAATAGGACTGAAAATGTTAAAGCAAAAGCAATTTATCTTATCAATTAACTCATGTCATTGTATGTTTTTAGAACAATATCATTATATACAGAACAATAAAGATATTTCTCACTTGAAAAGTATCTTGTTCTACTTAGCACAGTCAATATCGTTTATTAAAACAAGTTTTCGGGAAACACTACTAATTATAACCGTTAACTATTACATTAATTTATTGATTACACGTATATCTAGTTAAATACAATAAAATAGTGTTGATAACAAATGTCTTATTTACAATCCTTTGGTTAAAACTGAATAAGTAGTCCCGAAGCAGATACAAACAACGATAAACAGTTCGCGTACCGTTTACCGTGGATTCTTTTGTAGCGCTTTTGCGATTGACGTCTCTAACGTCCCGTCAATTTTCAACTTTCATCCTCGCCCTTTCTCGTTAGTGATCTTGTATTTGCAGTTTTTGAATTGCTTGTGCCAGCTGAAAACAAGTGTCCTGATGGCGAGATTATTTTCCTTTGTTTATTTAATCATTTTGTGTGTATCTGAATGATTATAGTCAATCTGTTGGCAAAATTTAATGATCGCACACATTTTCAGTTTGTTAACAAATGTCATATTGCTACATCTAACGCTATGACCGCTGCTGTTCAAAACTTAATAAATAAGCCATTTCATGTCCGAATGACGTCAAATTTGGACATAATGTCACATTATTATATTTCAACGTATTGATTGAATACAGGGGAAAACAAATAGTTATTTATGAATAAATTAGAAGTAGAACTTAGCTCCAATAACTATATTTATGTGCTGCGTCGGGTGCGTGTTACCATGGTTATTCAATAGCAAAGGAAAAGGGCGTTATATTAAAAAACTTATGTTTGATATGTAGAAAACATTTTACGGTTGCTGTACATATGAAAATATTCTAAATTGAATGAAATTTGAGTACGGAAGACTCCCAGTCCTATTACTTTTTAAACAACCCTCGTACATGAACAATCCATATATGTTTTTCACAATTTCTTAAGTTGTTACATCACATATGTGTATTGACAATATTATTCAATAGCTTATTCTTAAGGGAAAATAATTCTTTATGTTTTGTTGAGATTTTCTTTTCACCCTTCATAGAATGTTTATTAAAAAAAAAATCATTTTAATATCTTACATGTGGATTGTATCACTCTTCTTCCCAGCAGAATAGCATACTTGTGTAATATTCTGTGTTGATCAGCTTTTCAACATAATAGCATACTTATGTAATATTCTGTGTTGATCAGCTTTTCAACAGAAAAGCATACTTGTGTCATATTCTGTGTTTATTAGCTTCCCATTAGAATAGCATACTTGTGTAATATTCTGTGTTTATAAGCTTCCCATTAGAATAGCATACTTGTGTAATATTCTGTGTTTATTGGCTTTCCCGCACAGAATAGCATACTTGTGTAATATTCTGTGTTTATTGGCTTTCCCGCACAGAATAGCATACTTGTGTAATATTCTGTGTTTATTGGCTTTCCCGCACAGAATAGCATACTTGTGTAATATTCTGTGTTTATTGGCTTTCCCGCACAGAATAGCATACTTGTGTAATATTCTGTGTTTATCACATGTGTAATATTCTGTGTTTTGAAGGTCACTACATGAAATTAAATTCCATGTCAAATTTGCTCAGTTGTTAATTTCTTTCCGATGTGGGAAATTGGCTGTGGACTAGCTTGAATTAGAATTAATTATTATTGTGTTAACTTAAAGCAGATAAAGTATCTCTTAGACGAAAAGAATATATTGAATCGAAATAATTAATAAACATGCATTTTTATTATATCTTTGAGATTTTTTTTTTATAAAAAGAAATCATGTAAAAATTATTCATGCACAGTAACTGTTTGTGAACTGATTTCCTTTTTTTTTTTGTTTGTTTTTTTTATAATTACAGTATATAAATGGTGTTGTGATCTTGCAATAGAAAATAAGAGATACTTATGCAAGCAAGTGTTTACAGTTATGCAAGTTTTTATTGTTCAGTTTTTTTGTTCTCTTCTTTTCTTAATAATTTACTTTATATATATATTATGTTCAATAAGAGAAAATGGGGATGGTGTTGGGGGATTCTTTAAATATAAAGACTATTTTTTACAGTCAGTACATTGATTATCTACAGGTAGCCTAGTAGGTCTGCCAGATGACTACAACATATTATACCCATGTCTACAGCCATCTGATCCTGGTCTGCTTGGTTCATTATTCAGTCACTTCATATTTTGAAATTTTCCCAAGCCACGTCACGACAAAACCAACATAATGGGTTTGCGACCAGCATGGATCCAGACCAGCCTGCGCGTCTGTGCAGCCTGATCAGGATCCATGCTATTAGCTATCAGTTTCTCTACCTGTTATAGAGTTTGTAAGCGAACAGCATGGATCCTGATAAGACTGCGCGGATGCTCAGGCTGGTCTGGATCCATGCTGGTCGCAAACCCATTATGTTGGTTTTGTCGTGACGCGGCTCATATCTAAAATATTAAGTATTTAGCCAGCTGTAGAAAGTATGTTCAGAGTGCCAGGATGTGCAGGCTGGTATCTCTCTGTTCTTATGTCATAAGCCAGTATTGACTGCAGTGAAGGTTGAAATGGTTAAAAAAAATGAGGAAAAATTAAAATGTTTGTTTTGAGTTCATATAGAATAGTAATAATTGTGTAGAGAGGAATTTTATATGTGTGTAGTTTTAGCCAAACATAGAAGATTTTAAGCCAAATATAGAAGATTTTCACTACAATTCTAGATCTTACATATCATATACAATTATTTAATTATGTAAAACAATGATTTTTTTACCCAATGCATTTGATAGAATACAGTATTTGTTTCACTGTGACATATATACTGTGAGTACATTTTATATCACTGTTAGAATAAAAAAAAGCTTATAATAGTAGTAATATATGTGATATAGTACTAAAATAAAGTGTGATATCAAAAATATTTAACAGCGTTAATACTCAGCAGTGTTAGACAAATAGATTTTTTAAGCATTTTAAATTTGATATATATAGCATGAAAAGAGTTAATTTGTAAGTGATTGTTTGATTTTAACATTTCTTGTATAACACCTAAAATTATGGACTATGTTTTTTGTGTGTTTAAGTTGCAGTAAGAATAGACTCTCTTATTTTTTCAGCTTTTCTCCCCCTCCCCCAGCTCCTCTTTTCTTTACTTATATCCATTTATTCTGTGATTTAATGATATGTTTTAAGGAATGCCAATAATGTTTAGATCTCATAAGTACATGTACTGTTCTAATATTATATATGTCTTTGCAAGAGTGCAGAAAAGTATTCTTTTATTGTCCATAGTTTTAGCTTTTGTTATTTTGGATATAACAGTCTCTTCCCCCCCCCCTCCCCTCCACCGTATTTATATAATGAACTAGTATTGCTTTGAATTTGGTAACAAATAGTACATAATGGTAAAAGCGAGAAGTCAACATTTGAGTCAGTCATTAACGCCACATATGTGGAAACCACTTAAAGAAATGATTGCACCATTTAGATATGATTGACAAGTAATGATCCACTTAAAGTAATGATTGTCCCACTTAAAGTAAGGATTGCCCACTTAAAGGAATGATTGCCCCAATTAAATTAATGATTATCCCACTTAAAACAATGATTGTCCCACTTATAGAAATGATAGCAACATTTTAAGTTATGATTGCCCCACTTAAGGTAAAGATTGCCTGCTTAAGGTAAAGATTGCTCCACTTAAAGGTATGATTTCCCCACTTAAATTAATGATAATCCCACTTAAAATAATGATAGTCACATTTAAAGTAATGATTGCCCTACCTAAAGTAAAGATTGCCCCCAGTTAAATTAATTATTGCCCCATTTAAAGTTATGATTGTCCCACTGAAGATACTGATTGCCCACTTTAGGTAATGATTGCCCCACTTAAGGTAATGATTGTCCCACTTTAATTAATGATTGCCCCACTAAAAGTAATGATTGTCCTACTTAAAGTAATGATTTCCCCCACTTAAAGTAATGATTTCCCCCACTTAAAGTAATGATTGCCCAACTTGAGGTCATGATTGCCCCAATTAAGGTAATGATTGCCCCACTTTAATTAATGATTGCCCCACTAAAAGTAATGATTGTCCTACTTAAAGTAATGATTTCCCCCACTTAAAGTAATGATTTTTATCCCACTTAAAGTAATGATTGCCCAACTTAAGGTCATGATTGCCCCACTTAAGGTAATGATTGCCCCACTTAAGGTAATGGTTGCCTCACTTAAAGTAATGATTGACCCACTTAAATTAATGATTATCCCTATTAAAGTAATGATTGCCCCCACTTAAGGTAATAATTGCCCCCACATAAAGTAATGATTGTCCCACGTAAAGTTATGATTGTTCCAGTTAAGGATTGTCAGTAAACTGTTGGAAATTCAAAGCAGAACAAGTCCATTTAAGATTTAGGTACATGTTTAAGTGTTTAGTAAAATATATAACTATATTTTTGATGAGTTTATATAACAAGGGTTGACTGTAAGCAAATAATTTACACACAATATGCATTTATGTTCATTAATTTTAATGTATATTTTTATTAATAACATATCCAATAAATTTTTCCTAACATGGCAAATGGTTGATATGTGTTTCTGTGTAATTGTAATGTGTAATTGTAACTGTAATTTGTAATTGTAATTCATTAACCCTTCCGAAAGTTCATCACTTTACCCCTTTGTTTACTCATCATTGTTTTAGATAATTTTGTTCTGTTATAAAGTGCAGTGCACTTTTACATCATGTCCATGTTCAATTTCTTTATGACCATTGTTTTTCATATGGATTTGTGTTACTGTGTAAATCTCACTGACTTAGTGAGAAGTAAATCTATTAAAACTCGACATGTGTTTTACTTTTGGTATTCCCTTGCCTGGCTTCACAATAACCATACCGAGGGCGGCTTTATTTGAAGGTTCTTTCAGTTGATTTGTTTTAAATATCAAAACGAGACGCAACTTAATGCATTGACACATAGGAACAAGTCGTTGATATTTTATTTTTTCTTAGTGAAAAGAAGAGTCTGTAAAAGTGCGATTGAACATTTAAAATGCCTTTTGAAACAAAAATCTACCATTATTCTTAAGTCGAGGTCCTGAAGTCAAATGAGGTCAAACAAAACGGGACGCGGCTATTATTTAAAAAGTATGTGAACGTGTTATTTTTTAGCATTTTGAAGGGGCTGAAGAAAGAGGGCGCATTTGCTAACTTGAATTCAAATTTATGTAGATCTTTGCGAGCCAACGATTGGGGTCATTAATGACGTCAATCTAGACGGGCTTGTAAAAAGGTAAGTTCTATATAGATGCTGGTTTAAAGACAACAGCGGACCGAAAATAACTGGTTCTTCCCATGCTACCAGTACAGACCAGCGATAACCCCTTGCCGTCTTGGCATGGCCATAATTCAGTCAGTAAATATTTTGAAAAATTCTAAATTCCAGTACAGACCAAGATAAGCTGGTTAGCCCTTGACGTTTTCTCCTGGCCTGCAACTGTTTGCTATTCAGATAGTAAATATTTTGAAAAATGCTACAGACCAAGATCAGCCGATAAGCCCCTTGCCGTCTGCAAAGGTCTGCAAAAACATTACATGTGTAGACCGGCTTGTATAAGATAGATGACGGATTGAAAGATAATCGCGGGCCAAAATGAAAAATATTGAAACCTCGGTTTCTTAAATATATACTATGCACATCTTTGAGTAAAATGATTTTATAGCAGAAATTTATTGAAATCTATGAAATTCTTACTGTATATGTCTAATTTGAACTAAACAATGTAAAAACTGTGAATCGGAAGCCGCATTTCCTATTACAGGTCAAGTAGATATGGTCCTTTCTTTAAAAAAAAACTGCCAGTTTTTTAATGAAACTATATATTCATATTATGGTCTGTTATAGTTTGCAGAGTTTAAAATGTAACATCTACTCAGTACTAGAGTGTGAAGCCGAAACATGTTGACTTTATATGTACAATGAGACAGTGTAGCAGTTTTCAATATTTTCAAATATCAAATTTAAGCATGATATATCATTAAAGTTCACGAACATTTCTATACGATATTTATAACTAAGTATACGGTGACATACGGCCACTCAACTCTATATACATTCAACTTGTATAAAATATGCGACAGAACTAAAATTCCTGTGATTTATATATGTAGTTAACTTTGTCACTTAAGTCGTATTTACTTATCAACCCTTTATAAATAGTCCATTTATTGACTAGATATTACTAAAAAAATTTTTTGACCAAATCAATTTGCCGAAATCATACGTGTCCTTTACATTATTATTATTGTTAAAATTGAAGTTAAACAAACAGTTTTGATAATTACTGTAGCTGGGTTGAATAGATTTTTTTTGGAAAATGCACGAATTATTAATTTTAACTATTTTGAGCTTGATTTGATCATTGCCGTATATACCATAAGAGTCGAACCATTTAAAACATTTCCAGTCACTTTCTGCAAAAAAATACGTCTGCACAGTTCTTGCATACGATGTTTTTTTTGTTAATAAGTTACTTGTTTCATAATATTTTGAGGGGTTCTTGAAACCAAACAACACAGATGGTGAAAGACCAAAGCCAGCTTTTCCATGCATTATCTCAAGCTGAGAAGAAACTTGGACCTTCAGTAATTTAGCTTCCTCACAAGAATGTCCCTGGTGCTCCATATTTGAACATACGGTGGTTACTCATAAGGTGGTTACTGGCAAGTTATTAAAAAGCAAAGATAGTTATCAATCTGTGATAAAACAACGTTGATTAACATAATTATACAGTTGCTGTAATTGCAATGTTTCGGCCTTTTCCGTCAAATTTCGGAAAAGGAAAGCTATGTTTACCAGTCGCGTGACAGAACTACTTTTATTCGTCAGTTGTTTCCGAGTTGATTACAGGTAATCGGTGAGGTGTTCCGACATGCAGGGAAAATGTCAAAAGGCCTATTGAAACTATTACATTAACATGCATACCTACACGTATTTTCTAAATAGGTCTTTTTATCTTTTACCGACCAAGACCAATTTTTCTTAAGTATAAAGGTCTCACAAATGTCAGAAAAGATATATAAAAGCAATTACCGTTATCTTTTTGAATGATTTGTGTATATTATTTACAAAGAGTTCCGCATATAAAGTAAATAATTATAAATCCCTCACCAAACAAAGTTTGGATATAAGTACATACACTTGTCAATCGAATAAGGAAGTAGAACGTATAAAAACTATTTTAAATCTATACCCCCCCCCCCTTCTTTTGATCGTTAATAGGTTTGGGTACGTTGACATTTTTTGAAACCATTCCAAAATTTTGGAAATGTAAGAAAAAGATGTGAAAATTGAATGTTTTGTAAAACGAATAGACACAAAGGAAAAATGGAGTTTCGTTTTAAACTTCTGTTTTTCTGTGGGCTTTTGTCGTACGCTCAGTGTGAAGGTAAGACAAAATTATTTATATCAATTGATTTTAGTTATTTCTGTTTTAAATAGATTTCACACATTTGTTTTTTTAAAGGGGCATGCCTTTAAATAAAGGACATATTTGAAAGTTGGAATATGCGTTTGAAGATATTTAATATAGTTATTAAAAAGGCGAAAGACGCCGAGAAAGACTAGAAATTCAAATTAAATTAGATCTGATGACTTTAAAAATAAGTTTTATATTCAAGTCATATTTTACGAAAGTTTTAAATTCAGACGATGTTTTTCATTTGAAGAAACTTTCCACATTGCTTTCTCAAGGTCGGTCGTTCTATTCAGGTGACTACATGTGTGTCAGAAAAAAGTGAATAAATAAATAACAAAAAAATGAATGAAAAGGAATCTAGAACAACAACAACAACAAGGGGAGAATTTTTTTGATATTTAACATTCTTGATAATACCTGATAATGTCGTAATCGTGTTTCCCACATGGACTCGAACTAAACAGAGTCTGGCTTAGAACATGAGATGCATTTTCTATCAAATATGTATCAATATTTAATTGTTCAGTTAATAGCTCTTGTGTTAATTCTGTCTTCCAAAAAAAAATATATGGCGCTTTTATAGTTGTTTATTTTTTCATCTGTTACGGCATTAAACCCGTATGTACCCGGACTGTCAAAGTATAAAAACGGGAACGCTGCAAACCTTAATCTTCTCTTGTTAAAACCATCTTAAGGTGTGTCCCGTTTAAGATATTGCTATTGATTTTACATAAATAAGGTAGAAATATATAAATAGAGTTTAAAACTTTTAAAACTGTTATATGATATGACATTGATACTTCGTTGCAAATTGACTTCGTACAATCTAGCTATTATAATATACTTCAGCACGTTAATAAACATGTACATTTTTGTATTAACCTTCAGAATTTATGTAATGGATTTGTCCTTTACTTTTGGAACAGTCCATTCAATGTTTAAGGGATACAAAAATGGTCTGATTTATACTGGTGACAAAGGCTAAAATCGCGTTGATTACAGCAGGTTAATTGTTTAATGCCGGTTAATTTAAGTTTGTCATTAAAGTTTACTTTAAGAAGTATATTAAAAGGGCCATAATGCCTCAGAACTCAGAAATGCTTTTTTTATTTCTCTTAAGCTTTTCAATTTAGATGTACTTTCATAGTATCCAAAAAGTTACTTATTGGCCAATTAGTTGGATCATCTGTTGCTTTTTAGCAATAAGAACAGTTATATATAGTGAATTAGTATTGTGTAAGGAAATAAAAAGTACTTCTTTGTTTACGTTTTGCTACTTTTATGTTAAATTATTGTACATTTATCACTACTTTCTTCATGTTACAAGCATCCAACATTCCCTAAAACTATTATTATTAAATTGATGTTTGTCCTTTCTAAAGAAGTAAAATTTATTTGATTCTGAGGCATAATGTGCCTTTAAGAGAATTTTGAAAGGACACGTGCGTGTCGTTCATATATAGCTGTAAGAAACCACCCAGATCGTATGGCTATATGAACTTATTTCAATCAGCAACATCACTCCTTAAACTACTCATAGGTTCACATTTCTGTTATTTCGCCAGAGTTCGAGTTCCCGGCTGGAGACAGCTTCACCCTCGTGGACGAGAGTACACTTCCGGACCCTACCCTGTATGCTGACGTCAAAAACACAGGTGAGTAGTTCTGTTTCCATATCTGTATATGTACATGTAAACCGTATTTGTAAAAAATTATAAACAAAATGTACTGGAAGCGCAAAAGACACAAAAGTTTTTTTTAATTAGTTGGACCCCTGAAATTTAACCGATTCACACGGAACGTTTTCAACGAAAAAGAGACGTTCACACGATTCTCAAGTACATTTTCGTCAATTCAAAATTTTAACTTCGTGAATTCACATTTTCAACATACAGAATTCATAAATTCACGATTTCACCTTTACGATTTCATCTACATGAATTCACGTATTCAACTTTGCGATTTTACGTTATGAACTTCACGATTTTAACTCTGTGAATTTGAAATCGTGAATTCACGAAGCTGAAATCATGAATTCACGAAGCTGAAATCGAGAATTCACGAAGTTAAAATTGTGGATTCAGGAAGATGAAATCGGGAATTCATGATGTTGAATTGTCCCCAGCGGTCTTTCGTAGCTGACTGACTGAACACACTTAACAGGCTTATTGTCTGACTGACTTATTAAGTTTTACACATAAACAAACTGTGTTTGCAGTAATAGACACTTTTAGCATTTTTTGAAGTTAGATATCTATTCGTCTCTTAACTATTTTACAGATTTCGTTAATCATATAAATATCTATTATCTACCTTATAATTAACATGATGATCACGTGGTTAGCTGTTGGCGGAAATATGCCACAATTTGGCGTAATACATTTTGATATAAGGAATTTAAGAAGTAGTCCGTAATACAAAAAAGGTGCTTTAATGATAAAGTAAAAATAGTAAAAACGATTTGTAGTTGTAGTTTTCTTTCTATGTTTTATTAAAGAAGTTTGTAAAACACATCAAATCTCTAAAAATGAACACGAGTATTAAAATAACCACTCTTTTTAAAACAGGTAATAAACATTTTTGTAAAATAGAACATAAAAACAGCTAGTAAAATATAGACTAGTTAACCACACCCACTGAGAATGTGTCTAATTTCAACAGTGCTGCTTTACCAACACGAATTGCATCCTATGTTACTCATAAGCAGCAGTTTTTGAATATCACAATCGAAATCTCACTTTTAAAATCCCGCGATCGATATCTCACTTTAAAATCCCGCAATCGATACCTCAGTGTAAAATCCCTCAATTGAAATTTCACTTTTAAAATCCCGCAATCAATATCTCACTTTAAAATCCCGCAATTAATATCTCACTTAAAAATCCTACAATCGATATCCTACCTTTAAATCCCAAAATCGCTATCTCATTTTAAAATTCCTCAATCGATATCTCACTCTAAATTCCCACAATCGATATCTCATTTTGAAATCCGCCAATCTAATATATCTCACCTTAAAATTCCTCAATCGGTATCTCACTTAAAGCCGCGCAATCGATATCTCACTTTAAAATCTCGCATGTTTCTCTATATATTCTTCCCAGTATGCTTTGGACGGCAATTATTATTTTGACATCTATCATCAAATTTCTTCAAAACGTTTACCACTCATTGCTGTATCAGAATAAAGCTCAATATTGACATGCACAAGCATCTCTGTTGATCAACACCCTGTGGAAGACGGAGATATTGGTTGTTGCAGGGAGGTGTCAAAGGTTAAAATATTTAGAAGTCTTACTGTAGGAAAAAATGAAATTGTTGTTAAAAAGAAGTGTTCTACAGATGCCCGCTCTGTAGAAGTTGCACTGTAACATGTTTTTGATATGCTCAGTTGCATGTATGTATATGCTTGGCGCGTGTGGGACATTTTCAACATCTCAGCATATCTCCTACACAAGTCAATTGGACTCTGCAGCATTGGCCTTGTCATCGTTGGTTTCTACAGATTTCCCTTGATTTTGCCTGCAGTAGTTTCACTATTTCATTACGGAGCAGACAGCGGTTAATCAAAAACTGAAAACTATTTGTTTACTTGTTGGGATATTTGTTATTTTCTAGGTTTTCCTTGTGCGACTCTCTTAACAAATGACCAGTTTGCAGACCCGTATTGTTTTTTCCTAATCATTTGTACAAATGGGATTTCTCCTATATGCATGAGTTCACAGTCTTTTTGCGACATATTAAAACCCTCTGTCCACTTATTTTTCTCAATTTTTAATGCTGGTATCTTTCCTGGAAGCAGGTGACAATAATACTCTACCTGTTCACGTATTTCCTTGAAATTTGCTACTTCTTCCATGAAGCCAGTTCCCTCAGCCTCAATCTGCCTGCTTAAACGGTTGTCAAAGAATTCAAATAATAAATAGTCAAAAGCAGCATAATTTCTATGTAGAACTTTGTGCCCCTCCTTTATCGGATATCGGTCCACCTTTGCCACGCCTCTTACATTTTTCAATGCATACATTATATCTTTGAAAGACCAATTTAATTTCCTTTTCATTAAGACCAGTGACACGTCATACCGTTCGGCAGTTAACACCACTTTAAATTGTTTATCTAATACTTCTTTGAGGTATTTTTCGAAAGTTTTGAAGTCCTTTTTTATTATGATATCCGGAGGGACGCCATATTCAAAAGCGAGGTGATTATTCGTGAAGGAATGTCGAATGAATTCGGGGTTCTCGTATTTCATTGGATGCGCCAGGAAAGCGCCAATCGGGTCTGACGAATCTACTGCTCTTTGTACAAATGACAATGGTCTGGGATTAAAATAATTTATTACAGATTTAAAATGTCCGAATGGTTCGCGGATTGTTCCAATCATAACCGTGTCTGAGGGCAAAACAGAGGACCATTCTTTTTCCCCATAAACCACGTGGTTACATAAGATATCAAATGTTTTTCCAGGTGGAGGAGGTAGTGTGTTGTATTTAGTTATTGACTCATTTATACTTATGATATTTGGATATCCAAATCTGTTATATTCCGGGGAAAGCACGAATGTTAAATTTCGACGCCATCCAAAACGTAGAAATATTGCTTGCGTCGTGGTGCTCGCCGCTTTGTGCACTTTTAAAAATCCAATATGAGTGATTGGTGAATGCTTGAACTCAGAACTGGCAAAGATTTCACTACGATTATGTATACCAGCTGTAACCGCGATGCTTATTGAAGTAGGCGTAGGTTTTCCTCCCTCATCACGTGTTTGTGTAAGCATTTTGATTTTCATGTTCTGTTGCATGGCAAACTCGTGCCAAGATACCATAATGGCCACAACAATGCATATGGCGATCACCCTTAACATAAAAGACAAAAAAGTATATAGTATATGAAATAAATAAAATACAGTATGTATTAACATGAATGTCACACAAGCTAAAATACTTATTCATATATTCATATTATGTTATTTTATTTCCGATGTCATATATAAACTATAATAAAGGAATCAGCGTTTTATGTTATATTGTATTATTGTGCATCGTGTTTTTTTGTCACTATATTAAAAATATAATTATATAGATGCAAAAAATGCTAGACATTCTATTCAAGTAAAATTGATCTTAGAAACCCTTATTTTTTTTTAATAAATAAATAAATAAATTTGATTTAAACCAGTCTGGCTTTAAAGGTTAGATCTACTTATTGCTTAACGTGAATTTGATTTAGATAATATTTGGCTTTAGGGAAGAGATTTTTTCCTCCCATGTATAATACAAACATCAATATACATATTAATATCTATAAATATATAAAAGGGTTTGACCAAAAATTATTGAACTTTGTCGTTGGCTCTTCCAGTAATTAGTTTGTTTCATTATATGAAGTTTTCTGTAAATGTAAAAATACTGTATTTAATTTAATCATTATTATTTTTTATTTATCTATTATTCTATTTGTGTGTGGGGGTGGGGTGGGGTGGGGTGGGGTGGTGGTGGTGGTGGTATTTTTCAAAGACTTCATTAAAAGTTACTGAAAGGAAGGGAAGAAGGAAGAAATAACAGTGGTAATTGTATTTCTGTAATTTCTATCTGTTATCCTTTTTTTTCATTGCAATGATAGTATCTACACATATGGTACTAGTACAGCTATATTTTGACATATGCTTTGCAATAAATGTCCTAAATACTAAAAACGAGATCTATGCAAAAAAGGAAATAAGTTCTCTGAACGTCTTTCAGAAATAGAGAAAATCATGAATTTTCGTATTCTTACATATTCTGTGTAAATAACCAATGACTTTTTCAGCGTTCTGTTTAGACCTTCATGTATTTTTATGAGAATCCCTGTAGGGTCAATTGTTTCCTTTAAAGGAACTAAACTTAGATTCAAAAATCTAAAAACATAAAATTTGAATTTCCTAGATTTATCAGGTAGGGCACTTAAATTAGAAATATACCCAGAACTAAATTGAAAAATAGGAGTTTTGTGCTTTTTTGCCTCGTTTCAGTGTAAAGCGTTTTAACGCTTGACAGTTCTGGGTCATTTTTAACAATTTGATTATTCTGTAAACACTGAGCATGTTTTGAAAAAAATTGAGTTGGCAAATGATTTGTAATTTTGCACATAAGTTATTGGTATAGACCTTCATTAAATTGACATTTATCTCGAAAAATGATTTCCAGTCGCGTCATGTCAGAAAATACTTCAGTGGGGTTCCTTTAACTGTGAAAGAACACCTTTAATGGCTATGACCCATGCATGTTTGCGCAAAACGAATAGAAATAGATTTGATTTAAGAAAAATTAAAATTTGACGACTTTGCAAATAAGAACATAATATTGTGTCTTGGAAAGATCGAGTTTTATATAAAGCTGTTACCAACGTGCAATTAACTAATCTGCCTGAAACCTAAAGTCATATGAGAGTGTGTCTAAATTGTAGAAACATATGCTTATCTATGTATCTTATCAAATGTCTTTGTTTTTATTCTTTTCTTCTTACTATTTAGATCAACTTGACAAACTGTCATACACAACAAATGAATATCGAATTCTTTTACGTAGGAAATTCTTTGTCAAGAAATATGATCTATATGGTCTATAGAACTCTATAGACGCTTCTTAAGAATTATTAAATCATATAGATGAATGAGTATTTCTTATATCCAGCAATATTAGATCTATTTATTTATGTCCCTATTATAATAAAGTGAACCATATGTTCTTTTAAAGAAGTAAATTGTGAAAGCATTCAGTATAATTAATGATTTTACGTAAGTCGAATAATACTTGTCTGGTAGACAGAGGTAAAAATGTTTTCCTCGTGTAGAGTTTAATTTCTTAAATTTCAGTTTAACAACACCAGAATGAATGCAGAATGCTTATTTATGGTTTGAAAAAAATAATAATGCAAAAGTCAGTCAGAAAAAAGTTATGGTTTAATGATAGCCAAACGGGGGATTATTGTTCACTGTTTTTTATCCGGTGGGATCATTATAGCCTATTATGTTTTGAGCCACCTGGGGGAGTTGCTTTTTGATCAGATACCTTATCTTGTATTTAATAACCTACCATATGAAACTTTTTAAAATCCGTCTGTGGGCGATATTCATCATCTCTTGTAGATAAGACTTTCTTTCTTCGTTTCTGTAAAATATAAATGAATGAATGAATGAATGTTTCAATGAATAAATAAATGAATGAATGAATGAATGTTTGAATGAATGAATGAATGAATGAATGAATGAATGAATGAATGAATGAATGAATGAATGAATGAATGAATGAATGAATGAATTTATTATTTAATTAATGTCAAAATATTTTTAAGAAAGACAACTCTGGTTTACCAACCTTCGTTGTACATGTCGCCATAGACGGATACAACTTTAAAAAAAAATTCAAACAACATTGCGGGTAATTTAACACCATTGTTAATGTTGAGGCTGACTACTTAGGAGCTGATGAATAACTTCTAATTACTGATTCCGAAGAAGAGCTCTTGAAATTAATGTAGAAGCAATGTAAACAACTGTCTTTATGTTCAAAATTGATTCAGTTCAACTTATTTCATCTAAATTGGATATAAACATTTGTTTGATGTCATGCATTGACCAGAAATTGCCATTAAAAGACTTGTATGCAAAAATACGGAAGCAGTTTGTGACCTGACTCTTAGATAACGGGATTGGGATTTAAATCGCATCAACCTTTCTTGTAGCCACGTTGTGATTTTCAAGTTTCAAAAGTTAATGGATAACTTATAGCTGGCCCTCTATGCATAAAGTGCAACCTCTGCAGAACGGTCCTCTGTCAAGAACTAACTATAGTATAAAAATGTGTTTATATATTTCTTTTTTTGTTGGTATATAACGCCTTGAGTAAAACTAAGTAACACTGATACAACCCTGTATTCAGAGACCAGCCTATTCAAATAGAAATATATGGCCATTATAAATAGATGGTCTCTGAAAGCAATTGGGGTTTTAGCATTATGTATTTAAAATGACGTCATTCAATAACACATTCCATTTGTTGATTTTTAAAATGGTCTATGTCACAGGTTGATCTGTACATCTAATTAATATTTAATATTATTAAAAATAGAGCATGGCGTTTTAAATATTGTTTTCAGTTAAAATATATAGGAAAAAAGTCCATTGAAAAATATAGATATTGTCTAGGTAGTAGCAATATATGAAGACTTCGTATTGAATATACAGTGTCACCTGCGTAGAGCAACACTCTGTATAGAACAGTTACCTCTTTACAACAACCGCTTCAGTTCTTACAAAAAGTACGACTTTGCAACACATTTAACCCCTCGAAAGAAACACCTCTCAATAACAACTTAAAAAATCCGTCCCCGAAAGAATGCCGCTCTGCACAGGTCGTACTGTTAAGTGAATTATGGCTAATTAAATGACATAGCACATAAGTAAGCTTTTCTGAAAGTTTAAACGATGTGTATTAAGAAACACAGTTACGTTTTAAAAATTTTCTTTTTCATTGTTATGTGGATCATGAAAAAAGTCACTATTACCATTACTTCATGCTATGTCATATGCTTCGGCCAATGACATTGATTGATTATATATGTATATTATATATATAAATTTATATATATATTTCCTAATAAAGTTTAATTGAGCCGAGATCTCAGATTATACAGCTTCTATATACAGTAATTTAACCATACATGGATGACCAGAAATAAAATAAGCTTCACGAGCTTATTGTGCAATAAAGTTTACATTTCAAGCATGTCTCTCCTTGTACACCGTATAATTTGTTTTTTCTGTTCTGTATGGCAGTAACGCTTACGAAAGGAAATGTCATTAAGAAAGAATCAATAGTCAATACATAAAACAATTGAAACATAATAGGTTAACTTGATTACCCAATACGAGACATTGTCACTACTCAAATATTGTACAATGCAGTTATTACTGCGAGATTATAATCAGTTCTTGCCTTTTGTTGTATCTACATTCAATTCTTTTTTTTTCTACAGATAATATCAAAACAGAGTTATTTATAAAATAAAACGTGCTGTTTTTAGCATGTGTATTTTTACATGACCTCAATCCGTATTAATTGTATTAATTCGCATTAATCTGAAATAATCTGTTTGAGATATTTTAGAAGGGTTTGACTATTTCCGATTGCCGGTGGACAATTTTTATCTTTTATATTTGACAGGTTTTATGGTCCTGGTCCTATATGAACGGTTGTTTGTAAATATAAAGCGAACCGCCAACTGCCAGAACCCAGGGTTCTAATGTTCCCGGTCCATCAACACAACAGAAATCAATAAAAGAACCTTTCAGAAATTCTTGTGGTCCAATCGCAATTTTTAGATCCTTTCCGAGGACCTCTAACACACAGTTCGTGTAATATATTTGCCCTTCTTTGAGTATATGAAATAGCCCATCATTAGTTATAAAGAAATTTGGTATTCGGAAGAAGCAAACTGCATAAAGCTTGGTCACACTGGCATTGTTTGCATATACATGTACATATTATTAGCATCGTCTAGGTGTAAATGAAGTTCGTTTTGAACTTTCTATTGGGATTTTATTTCTCTCTATTTTATCATCGTCACATCAGCGTTGTTTATGCCGTGTGGAGGCCATAAAAGTCGCTCCGTACATGCATTCAGAGATGTTATATTTTCGATCCTTGAAGATCGTTCAATGCGACATTAGTGTTATGTTTGTGGTACATTTATTTATTTCTACTTGACGTTTCTTTGTTGGGTGGTTCCAACATTCCTACTTAAATAATGTTTAATCACCCTTATGATATGTTGCCTGCTTTATAAATTTGTCTTTTGACAGCTTATCAATGATATGCAGGCTTCATAGTCTCCATTTTATTTAGTTCTGCCAATCGTTTTCTCGTTAGGGCACACGCATTTTACTTGGAGGCCATGGGCCGCTTTTCATATAGTAGCTCTAACATGTCACATTGAAGGTTCCATGATAACCGCCGTATGAACACATCTGTGGATGTTTCAAAATTCTGAATTTAACCATTTACTGTTAAATGTTGAATGCTCCTTAAACCGGTGCTAGGGGTGTGGACGGTAGCTTGCACTTGACAGTACCATCCATGAACAGGCTCATTCCAACCTTTTAAATTTGGTCTATTTGGGCGTTCATATAGAACACATGTATTACAGTATTTTTTGATGTTATCTTCTATATATTGTAGTTTGTGTAATAACCCTATGTTGCACGATATGATATATATTCATGTCCCTGGTGAATAAGAAGATATACTTTAGTAATAATAAATAAAGGATATTCAAGTTTTTTTTCCTATAAAAACAGGATTAATTTTTATTGAGTGGTATGAAAATAAATATTTCATGTGTGGCGGTAGCCACGAGTGAAATATGATAATGTTCATACCACAAGATGAAAATAAATCCTTTATTTTTAGAAAAAAAAACTAGATTTTTTTGTTCATTATATACTGTTTTTCTTTTTTTGAAATAACAACTTAAAGACTCCCCCTTAAAATGTGTGAATTTAAAAGAAAGTAGTCCTGCAAGACACCAGTGAAAATACGGAAAATATGTTTCACTGCAGTGAAAAATGATTTTTTACAGTGAAAATACGGAAAACGAAAAAACGCACTTTATTTCATCAATATGTCTCAATATTTCATTTATAAGTATATAATAAAAAGATATACATGTATTATTATGTTCTTCTTTGTAATCATAAAACTTTGACCGTTTGACTCCGGGGTATCGATAATCGATAAATCAGCTTACTTTTGTACGTGGAACTAATTACATTATATATAATATATAATGTAGTACTTCTATTGTATTCATAATTAACTAACTAAAAAGTCAATATATATACAGCTGTCATAGTTGGTTTAACCTGAATAATTGAATTACCATATTCGGTTCTACGGATATCTGTTGCACTTGTTTACGTTACTTTTTCAGCTTGTCAGCGAAAAGAAATTGCCCGGCTTTGTTCTCCGCTGTCAGCTTATTCTAAAAATGATGTTTTAAGTTTGTCCGATTTGCAATCAATTAGTTTTTTTTGTTTGTTTTTTTTTTTTTTTTGTTTTTTTGGGGGGGGGGGGGCAGCAATACCTTTAACAGCGAACCCCGCAAGTTAAATTCAGTTGGTGTTAAAGCTATGCCAGTTGCAGACGAGTTATTTTTCCCGCCAGGCTCCCATCTACTCAAGATTCCACGAACATTCTTTGCACCCACTCTTAATCCATCTTCAGTTCTGTGAATCTTTTTTAATCTTGCTATGATCACAACTCCAAAACAACATGACCCGAGACTGGCTTATGCTTTGTCAAAGATTACTATTTTGCAACGTCCGATGGAAAGTTCGTTTTGTTAATGCTGTTATTTTTTAAATTTAGAATCGCGTAAGTAATTCAAATTTGAATATATTGTAAATAAATCAGTATTGTCAACAAAATATTCATCCGAAGCTATTCATTCATTTTTTTTTGTTATGTCTTCTCATCGAGAGAACGTTGTGTAGATTTTTAATCAATATAAAATTTTAATTAAATGTTGTCGTGGTCTTAAAACAGACATAAAGATAGTAAATATACATACAAGTATATAAACATAGCAAGCTGTTTTCTCTTATATCCTGGGTTATTTATATTATCTTATTTCATTAAAAAGTGTATTTTTGTTTTGTCGCTCGTGCAGTATGAGCTAAACATCAGGTTAAGCACTCTTATATAAAGCTTTTGTTAAAAACCATTTCGAATATGATGAAATCTTTAAAGGACTTGTAAATCTCTATATCATCCCCATGCATTAAAATTTGAAGTAAAAATACCTTACTCTTAAGTGTTTTAAAGAGTTGTTTAGATAATTTTCATTTAACTGACTCGTGAGAATATTACATTCATGTAATTCTTACTGTCCGGTGAAATATATTGTATATACTACTAAGAGAATCCAAGAGAACGTATGCATAGACATTAACTAACCCGTAATGTTAGTAGCTGTGCATTTGTTTTTTAATTATAAACGCGCATTGTTTGCTCAATATATATTTGTAAAAAATGGTTGTTTTGACTAAATGATAACTACAATAAAAGCAGTCATCATTTAAATTATCATTTATAAATTCGGCCAACATCATCATATCATCATCCTTATTTTGTATTTATTTTAAAAGCGTCCAGCTTACAATTTTCTTTTGGCTGCTCCTGATCATGTAGGCGCTTATAAGATCTAAAGAAGCCACGGAAATTGGCAAAATACGAACGACTGAATGTAAATTTCGACCTATGCATACATGCTATTCGTCTTAAAAGATTATCACAGTTTAAAGTTTTTCTTTTCGAACCGTCAATGTAAAAAAGAAAATAATTATTATTGAAAAATATTATTTCAAACTTACCCATGTATAATAATCGTGTATTGAATGTAAACATTAATGTATATTCAATGTATTAACTTTAAGAGTCGGTAAAACAGTCATTACGTATCGATTTATTCAAATATTTTTACTTCATGCACCGCAGTTTTATTATGCCAAAACAAAGGAAAGGGCAGGACTGTAATAATATATTATTGAAAAAAAGCATGTCATACTTACAAAATAAGAACATAATTATACATATTTTTTTCTTATCTTGTCTCGTTACTTTTTAACCCTTTTCCTTGTGGAACTGAACGGGGATAGATGTTACCACCAGTGCAGAGGCATGCCAGCATGCACACCCATGCAGTCTGACAAGCTTTATACTGTTGGTTGACCATATACACATTTTTAGTTTTAATATTTAATATCCCCCACCCGCCAAAAAGAACAGAAAGCAAAAAAAAAAAAAAAAAAAAAAAAAAAAGCATGTTATGGGATAAAAATGTAATTTTCATATTGAACTATTCTTTTAAAAGGGCCCTATTGAAAAGTAAATGGAAAAAATAAAAAGCGATACTGATACCTGAATCCGTCGTAAATTTTTTTTCAATGAAGAATTGATTAACACACGTCACAACTAATATTCTTTTTTACAGAGAGATATTAAAATATCCGATATTTTTATGTTGTATATTTGTATATGATTTAAATCCATCCAATGTTAACATATGTCTTAAAAAATGAAACAGTTTTCAAAACTATACGATAAAACGTCATAACATTTTCGACTGATAAATTATATTGAGTTATATTCGTTAATATTGACCACCAACCTGTATGTGCGAGAATAAATTATAAACAGAAAATACAAATTCAATATATGTATTTATTGGTGTTTGGTTTAAGAATTATAGCATAGTTAATTCGTATTGATCGTCCACGTGACATGGAAATAGTAAGTTTGACTTTTGAAACGGCGAAACAAACATACGGACTCAACAGTCAAACAAATAGAACCGTTAAGAATGGCCAGAGTTAGAGTATGGTCACGTGATTCCATTGTTTGAAACAACAAATCTAGGGGATTCGAGTCCGAATTACATTCATATCACATTAAATAAAGTTCTCACTAGACTTCCGGAAAGCCAAAGTCATATAGTGGTGCTTTTTCATTTACACCGGTAGTTAGGTATGTCAAGCAGAATGTTCTTGACATTTCCACTAGTCGACTTGTCTTAAAAAAAGAAAAATACAAGTTTATATTTCTGGTTTGAGTCACGGAAATGGTTATAAACGAGACAGCCAGTTTTGGCGCGAAACTGGAAATTAACAGCCAAACAGTTGTCGTGAATGAACACACTTATATTCAAACTCCACCATGTACCATCTGGTACCGTACCATCAGATATATCTTATGATTTCATAACCTCTTCTTTAGCAAAATGCTGTCGGAACATCTCGGCTATTATCAAAAACTCCTTTTCCGAAGATTGACGGAAAGGGCCGAGAAGCTGCGATTGAGCAAAATGTTGTTAAGTTGATTCTTATCATACAACAGAAGGTGAATAAAAAAACATAGGGGTCATTGCGCTTTAAAAACGTGTTTATTCATATTAAAAATACATCGTTAAATCTCAGCATCCAAATAATCAATAAAACATATATATATGTATATATATATTTGAACGAAAATGTATTTCATAAAATATTAAGACTAGTACTGCTAAGCAGTTGCAGGTGATTGTCGAATAACAAAATTATATACTTTCGGCATCATCACTATGGTGGGATACGTCACTAAAGACCGAAAAAGCAACACACTATGACGTCATATAGGTCAATAGTATTTCGTAAGTGGTCAATGAATCAAAATCACAAAACACAACATATGCTTCATATGCGTGACCCGGTATGGTCATCTGGTCATACGCGAACACAATTCTTCAACTAAATCACTAAATTTAATTTCTTTTATAATGTAAATGTGTCACCTCGATTGATATTCCATGGATGCCAATTTTGATAATTTTAAGTTCAGATGAAAACGAATGAAATGATTTTGTGAACGAGCCTACTGTGACAATTTGACATTGAATATGAGTAACCCGCCCACCTACTTTCCAAAGAGTCATAAGTAGTAAATATAAGAAACAAAATAAATACAGGTATATATTTTAAAAATGAATTCATGTCACAGAAATAAAATAAAAAAAAGATAAAACATAATTACAACCTGTATTCATACATGTATTGCACTTAATTGAATGACGTCACTATCCCCTGAATCTGATTTTGGGGAAAAAATCCATTCTTTAACTTCCTCGAAACAGCATGACCTAAATTAAGCCATACTGTTTTTTTTATAAGCTATTAATTATATCTAACGAAATAAGGTATGAAACTTAAAACAGCCTGTGTACCTTTAACACTTTTCACTTTCTCATTTGCCGAAAAAAACAACAAAAAAATCTATAAAATCTTAACATCAGACGAAATTACCCCCTTACCGGTAAACATCTGGATTTCATCATTAGTATTAGGGATTTCAAGGATCACTGGTCAATATGTACGGGTAATGTTCTTTGGAATTTGTTTCAAAACTTGTTTGACACCTTTCCAAGAGGCCGAGCCGTACTGTCTTTTCCTGATCATTTGTACAAACGAGATTTCACCCTGGTGCATTAATTCACAATCACTTCGCGTGATGTCAAAACTTTCAGTCCATCTACTTTCGTCAATTCTTACTGATTGTATGTATTTAGGTACTATATGACAGAAATTTTCTACAAACTTTCGAATTTGTTTAAAGTTATCTACTTCTTCTTGAAAATCTCCCCCTTCCGCTTCTATTTGCTTGTTCAAGCGATCTTCAAAGAATTCAAACAGAAGATAATCAAATATAGAGTAGTTTCTATGTAGAGCTCTATGCTCTTCCCTTAAAACATACCTATCCTCCTTATGTACACTTCTCACATTTTTAATAGCGTACATTATATCTTTAAGTGACCAGTTCAATTTACGTTTCATTAAAACCAACGACTCGTCATACTGTTCGGCAAGAAGGACCACTTTAAACTTTTTGTCTAAAACTTCCGTAAGATATTCCTCAAACGCAGCAAAGTCTCTGTTTATAATTATTTCCGGGGCAATGCCATATTCAAAGGCGAGGCGATTGTTTGTGAACGAATGTCGAACTACTTTGGCTCCCTCATATTGTCTTGGATTTTTCAAGAAAGTTCCGACAGGATCTGTAGGATCTATGCTTGTTTGGATGAATAATATACTTCTTGGATTGAAATAGTTTAAAACAGATTTAAAATGTCCGAATGGTTCACGGATTGTTCCAATCATAACCGTGTCTGAGGGCAAAACTGTGGACCATTCTTTATCTCCATAGACAACATGGTTACATAAGATATCAAAAGTTTTTCCCGGTGGAGGAGGAAGAGTGTTATATTTTGTAATTGACTCGTTTGTACTTATGATATTTGGATATCCAAATTTGTTATATTCCGGGGAAAGCACAAATGTTAAATTTCGACGCCAACCAAAACGCAAAAATATTGCTTGCGTTGTGGTGCTCGCTGCTTTGTGAACTTTTAAAAATCCAATATGAGTGACTGGTGATGGCTTCGACTGGTGTGTGATGTCAGAGGTGACGTCATGGTTCTCAGAAACACGTGTGATATTGTCATGATAAGCCTTTTGTATAGTATTTCCAATCCAGCTACTCGACGGGACAAGAGTTCGTATTCGTTCTTTCTGTTGGATTGCTATTTCGTGTAGAGAAACCATGACCACGAGACATATTCCTACTGCAAACACCCTGTATAAATAAATTTGTCAACATGATGAAGCACATATACTTAACAAGGAGGTTAACGAACGAAGTTGTCGATACGACATTAAACCAGATGATAGAATTAAATGTAGATATTCTTAAAGCAAATGATAAGCAAATATTGTTAATACAAAAGTTATACCTTTTAAGAACCCCGCAGCATTTTCTTTGATTTGTAAACTCCTTTTTTTCAATGTTGTTGTCATTACATTATATACATTTGTTGCGGATGGATATAAAATTGTTACAAATGTCGATGCGTAAGAACTTAACCATACATTTAGATAACTTAATTTATTTGGGAAGTTTGGTGAGGAAGCTAAGAGGTTGTATATATAACTTAAATGTATATATATATCATCATGACGACATAGGCTAAAATACTTACCATACGAAGCTTTTCAATATCCTCTTGTTGAACAACTTCATTGTGCCTCTTGGAGGGGGAAGAGTTATTCTGAAAATACAAATACAAAATATAATACAAAAACAAATATCTTTAATACAATCTTTGCCATGGCGCCAACGGTATTCTTCTTTCTGCAAAACAGAGCACAAAGGGTATGTGTATAGAGCACCCCACCATTAGAATTTGAACAATGTCGGTTGGGCCTAAATCTAAAAATAATGAAAAGTTTTTTGAATTATATGTCTTACACTAAAATAACCATTTATATGTTGAAATATTTCAAAATTTATTATTTCATGTCATCTTCGACGACCTATTTCCGCTTTTCAATTTAGATATGTCGATATTTTTAAATTGTTTGTTGGTTTAACGATTTGGAAGTTATTGCGCGCAATAAATTTGTTTACCTCTATAGACTGCGGCTCTTGTTTTTCTGTCATCATGTCGATTAAGTCAATACCTTAACAATTTTAGTTTCTACATAAATCACAATAAACCTTAGACAAAATGTAAAATGTTGTTTTAAATAAGAGTGGGTAAAAGCATTTTACAAGTGGATCAATTAAATACATTTGTCTTCTTCCACTTATATCGATTTTAATATTCATGAAATCCAATGACCTTTTAACTAGTGGTCAATAGTTTTCACGTATTGAAAAAAAAACACCCAAAAACCCCAAGAAATCATGAGTTGTGATATACATACAAAAATATATGAATACACAATACATGTATAGAGGAAGAGTACTTTGAGTACTGAAACAAACTTTTGACACAATGTTTGATATAAGAATTGCACAAAATTCCGATTTTAGATTTATTTTTGATTATTTTTCTAAGTTATCTATTTCATATATGTCAGTTTTAAGTGTTCTGTCAGTTTAAAGTGTCCAAGTTGGTCTATGTTAAAGGTCAATTTTTTATGTTTTAGGGTGCTTTTTTTTACCTCAGTGGAGTTATTTTAATCAGACTGGTGCAGGACACTAAATCATGAATGTTTAAGCAAATAGATTTGACTTTCTTTATGTGAATATAATTATTACATGTGAAAAAATGTTTTTTCCTATGAACAATTATTTCCTATGAGAAGGAACAGAAATTTTAAATACATTGTTACGATGTTCACCAAAGCATGCATTGCATCCAGTTCGACATCTGCTAATCTAACTTTATTAACACAATTTGTTTTTAAGAAGAATGTTATACAAATGTATATATGAAAAAGAAATGACAGCTGTTGCCATAATAAGGTATGATTATTTTTTATAAGTAAAATGTATGATAATTATCTTTGAAAATTGCTCAATAAGTTAAAAGTTTGTTTTTTTCTTACAAGTTCATACTTTATACCAGATAGATACTAAATTGCAGAAAAAACGAATATATAATGGTATTAACTCGAAGTCAATAGAATAAGGGATCATGTTGCCGGTAAATCGAACTCTAGAGAGAAAGCATAAAAGGTATCGTTGAGCATAATCATGGACGGTAGTGATAATTCAAGTTACCGTCCACGCCCGCTAGCACCGGCTTTAGCAAAATATAAAATTTCAAAGGCATCAAATTTTGAATTAAGAAACATCAGCAAATGTAATAATATGGTGATTATCATGGAACCTTCAATTTGATACCTTCGTGCAATTCCCTCAAATGCCGCATATGGTCCCAAGTTAAAGCTACAGTCTCACTTACATCCCGGCAGAGCCCCGGCAGAGCCCCGGTAGACGTCCGGGGTGATCCGGGAACGACCGGGGTACGACCGGGAACAACCGGAGTACATCCGTAACTCTGCCGGCAACGTCCTGGATGATCCGGGATGATCCGGGAACATCCGGCATTCGATCCCGGATGGAATAAAATATTTAATATCACCGGGGTGGTCCGGGATGATCCGGGAAGGTATAGCTTTGCCGGCTTCATCCTTAGCTCTGCCGGGAACGACCGGGGTTATACCGGGGAAGCACCGTAGCTCTGCCGGCACAAACCGGGGATGATCCGGGGTATGATATAGCCGGTAGAGCTACGGTAGAGCTACGGAAGAGCCCCGGAAAATGCCGGCAGAGCCCCGGCAACTACAGGCAGAGCCCCGGATGATAAAGGTAGAGCTACGGTTGATCCCGGTAGAGCCCCGGCAAAGCCCGGATCATTTCAAAAGAAAAACGACAATTTGCGATGATTGCACTTGTTTGTATTAAAAGCCTTCCCATTTCCCTTCTATCAAGTATGGCATAAGGATTTTTCAGAAAATCATCATGAATTACTATTCTGGAACAATAGATATTATATTAAATAAAAAAATATGTATCAATGTTATCATTTTCGGACGTTTTCAATCCACCGGGGTTCTTACCGGGGCTCTGCCTGGATCGTCCTGGGCTCTGTCGGGGCTCTGCCTGGATCGACCGGGGCTCTGCCTGGGTCAACCGGGGCTCTTCCGGCGTCATCCGGGAACGACCGGGGAAGCACCGGCATGAACCGTAGCTGCACCTGGGCTCTGCCTGGATGATCCGGAGCGCATCCTGGGTGGTTAGTTGAGAACTACCGTAGTGCTGCCGGGGTAAGTGTGACCGCAACAATAATTTCACCCCGGATCGTCCCGGATCATCCCGGTAACTTACCGGGATGATCCTGGGCTCTGCCGGGAGTAAGTGAGACTGAGGCTTAAAAGGATGCAAATGCCGTAAGCGAGAAAACAGTGTAGTGGTAAATGCCACCTACCCCTACCGCAAGAACGTGTGAATATTTACCAACGTGCCTGATAAGTTGTTTGATTGAATTTGTTGTTCATAATTCTCCAACTTATCGCATAATATTACATAGTTTCGCAGACTGAAACTTATCAAATTGTAAAATGTAGAGAGACAATATCATTGGAAATAAAACACAATTGAGCACAGCACTTCCATTATCACACTTTAATTGAATCAAATTGATCTTAAAGCAATTGATATCTTCACAGAAAGTTGCCGTAGACAACCATTGAACAATTTTAATGATTTTGGAGGAGGATAAATTATGTTTGGAGCACGGGTTTCTCGTACATTGCCACACCAAGTGACATTGATTTACGATCACATGTTTCGTCATTTTTAACCAAAAAAAATGCAGGTAACCTTTTTACGTGATATACAATTTCTGCAATACGACATGCAAACATTTATGAAGTGAAGGACTCCCGCTGATTTTCTGCGATGAATTGTTTTGTTACTAAAGAAACACATTTAAACATATATTTCTTAATCATATTTTTTCAAGATGGCTACCTTTGCATCTTTTTACAAACAGATTTACCTGTATGAACATATTATCCGCTTTAATGATCGAACAGATGGCACCAAAATGTCGCCCTTATTAAGTCACTTTATTACAAGCTTACATTATTTATTCTGTTATTTCATTTTAACACTTCTGCTAACGTTCATTTTTAACGTAAATAAAAGTAGTTCACTTTCTTATTAAAGTTTTTAATGAAATGATTATTAAATACCTAAATATATTTTAATTCCATTCTTCTGCTAAGGCCGATTTTCTTCGTCTGCTCTCGGTGTCTGAGCGTTACTCGTATATTATACAAATTCTGCTAATGTCGCACGTTCACGCGGAAGCTTAAATGCCTGGTAACTTTCTGTAAGTAGTTCCTTATTATGTAATTATGTAATTGACACAAGCTTTAACGTATTGATCGGCACTTACCAGGAAATCGAAAAATGACTCTTGTATTATATTAAGAAGGTATTTGCATGGATAATTTTACGACACCGTATGTCCAAGAACAGTACATACATACATAATGAAGGGCCTATATTCTAACGTAGACCTCTTTAACAACGCATGCTAGATAACCAAATTAAAAAAAAAATTACATCGAAAGTATCATCTACTGTCTTGCAACATTTTATGAAGGTTCTACCATTTTGCTAGTTTGAGAAAAAAAAATATACGGTTCTTGCCTGTCAGATGGCATAAACTGGTGCCTGTGAATATACTTTGATTCAAAATAATCGCCGTGCGCGTACTTATATGATATTTTTTCTGCCCATATGAAATACATGTAATAACAAATTAATCGCGTGAGCGGGCTATGAAGATATTTCAACATAATGTTGGTTTCTTTTTTTTTTCTTAAAAAAAAAAAACAAACAAAAAACAACAACACCTAAAAAACTTAACAATTTACATGAACATATAAAAAAATCGTTAGTGTTCAATGCTGAACCTATTTTCTAAGTTTGCACAATATCATCAAATTTTTCAATTTTGTAGATTAATTCCATTCTAGTGAATGTTAAGGTTGATGTATACATGTATTCGCACTTAATTTTAATCATGATTTACTTAAAAAATGACGTCATGAATATGGCTTCACTGAAATGATTATTGTAACAGACATGTGTCGGTTCGAGAAATATAACATAAACTGGACGGTTTTAATCTTCGTATATCATATTAAAACCTTGAAATTTTATTTAAAATAAAAAAAAAGTCATCATGAATGCAAAATTTCAAATGGAACTGAGCCGGAAATTAACGTTTATTATAGTTTGTTTTACTTTGTTATTGTATTTAATTTCAGTATTGTTTAATTTGTCTGATGATATCAAATACATTTATAATAATAATAATAATAATAATAATAATAATAATAATAATAATAATAATAATAATAATAATAATAATAATAATAAATCTTTTTTTTTCAATAATATGTATTGAAGTTTAACTTTTTAAATGAAAAATTATCAAAATAAAGTTTAAAAAAAAGAAAAGAAAAAATAAAAGAAAAGAAACAATCACTTACTATTTACTTAAGATAATCAATAGAGCGGAACTTGATTATTTCCAGTATGCTATAAGTCAACAATACGTCAGATTTCTAATAATGTACAACTCTCTTGATAATTAATTAAATAAACGAATAAAATTATCCACAATTTACTAATACAAACAGTCCGTTATTTAACAGAAACAACCTGTCGCGTTTTTGTGCCTTCGTTATAGATCTA